AGTTGTGCTTTGGCTCAAGTGGTCTTGGTTGTTTCTGAACAACCATGCATCAGGGCGTTCAAGGCTGTTGCTTTCTCTATATAGCCTTACGCCTTTCTTTTTGCTCTTTTCAGACTCGTATCTCGACAGACCATAGCTGCCTGAGCGAAAAGTCAAACTTCTTGTGCAGGCGCTAGCCGCACAGCTGGTTTCGAGGGCAAGGCATCTTTGCGGGATCCCCTAGTTAGGATACTGACGCAGTTGAGGATTCATTTTTACCATGTTTCAGAGGCTTGCTTCCCGTCGGTTTCCGTGTGCTTTTAGACAACGATGACTAATTTCCATGTTGAATGTACCCAGCAAAAGTGTGGTTTAATGTGTTGTTTTCGTGACAATTGGTGCAACCACCAGTTGAAGACAGAAATCATGGTTTCCGCTTACATGCAGATACGCACACACACACACACACACACACACACACGCGCGCGCGCGCACCCGCGCGCGCGCGCGCGCCCGCACGCGCACCCGCACCCGCACACGCACACGCACGCGCACGCGCACGCGCACGCGCACACGCACACGCACACACACTTGCAGCCAAAATGCACTTTGCATACGACACTTGTACTGAAATAGTTGCGACGTTCGAGCTGGAGCTGCCAAACTGCACATTGTAAATGACGCTTGTACTGAAAAGTTGCCAAAGCACTGCAAACCAATACAGGGGACACGGATACTGAGAGAAGGCTACAAGGGCTGTCTAGAAATGGTGACTTTTTAGACAAATTGAGCCAAAATTCAGCAGGAATGCCGAGATCTCAAAGCCATCCACCAAGATGGCAGGGACCCCACAAGCCCCAAAGACTTGAGGCCTTATTGTCTCAAAGACTCTTGAGGCCTTAACTACTCAAAAAAATTGGCCTAGCCAGCCTACTCAGCCTTGGAGTGCAGGCGGAGGACCTTTCGAACGGATTTGGGGTCTTGAACGAACTTCCACCTTTGGGTACGCAGGGCAGCCTAGGCTGCAAAGGAGGCCTCACGTCAGAGGGCCCTCACCCAAATCTTAATCTTGAACCGAACACGGACACGTCGTGAATCGCTGCATCTCATGGTGCCATGGCTGCCAATCGTGCCCTCAAGGCCCATTTGGCTTTAGCGGGGCCAAGGTTCAGTTTCGAGGCTGCAAGCGCTTTGTATGCGGAGCTGCTTGCAACTTGGCCGTTAGGGCGTTGCGCGCTTCATGGCAGAGCCCAAGAAGACTTGGTCAGCTCAGATGGGTTGCGTTGCAGGCTCGTTTTTGGCCACCTTTTTCCTTCTTGCAGCACTGCTTTGCAGCGCTCTTTGTTTGCAACAAGTCCTGCCGCGCGCTGGCCTGAAATGCATCAGCAGCTTCAGAAGCTTGCCATTTTACTGTTTGGCCAGCCGCAGCGACAGGGCAGGCGAGACAGCTGGGGCTGGACAAGTTCATGAATTTGAGGTTGCCTGCAATATGCAAGACAGAATCGCCCCATGAAGTGCGCCTTTGTGCTCATCAGTTAACGCGAGGAGCGCGCGTTGCCATCGCAATGTTTCATCCTTTGCTTCGCGCTTGAAGCACCTGCTGCAATGTAGCGTGGTGAAGAACCAAACCAGTTGGTAACCGGGTTTTCGAGGGTTGCTGGACGCGTCAAACAAAGAGGCGGCCTCTAGCCCGCGTTGGCACGAACTTGTTTCGCGGACCTGTTGATTAGGAAAAGTTTTTGCGAGGCCTTACAGCTTCTCAGCGAGCTTGGCCAAGACCTTGTTGCCTCCAGCGCTGCCATCTCGGCTTGCGCCAAAAGCCAGGAGTGGATCGGGGCATGTTGGCTGCAAGGGTCATGCGTGGCCCAAGCCTCGCGTTGCAAGGACATTGTCCCGAGCCTCTAGAAGCGCTAGCTTACACAGGCCCGACCTGAAAATCTGCGTTTTGCAAAACGAAGCGAAAGCCCGAGCCGAACATTGTCCACCTCTTTGACGATTTTTTTTTTGGACCAGAATATGCGTTGGGGCATTCTGCCGACTTCTGATTGGATGCAACGCACCAGGAGTGGCAGCAAGCCCTGCTCGTGTTTGAGGAGGCAGCCAGTGCTTGCCAGCTGGACTTGATCGCCTACAACGCAGCACTCAGCGCCTGCGAGAAAGGCTGGGCCTAAAACGGCGCAGGTATGCTGGGAGAAAAAATGTTGGTTCTCAGAACCATTCCTGGTGGTTTCCTTTAACAAAATCCTGGGTTCATTCCCTCATTCCAAGACAAAGCAAAGGGACCGGAGCTCGGGAAAACAACGCTGGTATTGTTTCACGGGCTCGGCAGCCCGCTGACATGCAGATCGTTTTGTTTGGCTCGTGCTTGCTTCCACACCAGGCCGTGTAAGGGTAAACGCCACGTTTGCGATTTCTAGCGGGAAATGAGCGTGGCAAGCGCCAAGCCTGAATTGGTACCCCCTCGAAGACAAACACGGAACCCCGTAAAGGGGATTTTGTTCCATATTGTCGGAAAGCGCGCGTTGTGAAATGGTAAGGGCACGTGTTGGCACTCCCCAACACAGTCTTTGGGAAACACTGGTCGGTAGGTGACAAAAGCTACCGGTGTTTGATGCTGGCAACATAGCAACCCCATCTTGCAGGAAAAACCTATGCAAGTCCATTCCTCGCCATTTCTCCCACCTACGGTGAGTTATTCCTCAGCAAGGGTCTCCTTTCCCATATAGTTTTCGGACCATCACCAACTCTTACTTGTTCTGAGGCTGCTTTCGACATTTCTCAGGTCCCACCATGGGTCACGGCCGCAAACGGTTTCGTAGTGTGCCTGTTTCTTTTTTTCCAGTGGGGAGTCTTGAGATTACCCTTCCGGCTTGGGGGCCTCCAACAGGATCTTCCTCTACAATTAAAGGATGCGTTGGGTTCCATGTGAATCCGGAGAGAACCATGCTGATCCAAGAAGAAACGCCCAAGGCAGCCAGTGGCAGACTGCCCTACTGCTATTGGCTGCTATGGAGGCACAGCAGCCTGGCGAGCCCGAATTTCCGTTGCCGCAAGAAAGCAAAGGGCAAGCAGGGTCGCGCTGGTTCCCACTTGTTTGTGATGCCAGGGAAGTGAGGCATTGGCATTGGTCTCAAGGCCTTCCAGTGGCTTAGCAAAGTTGCAATTCCCACACAATTTTGCGGGAAGTGATGGAGAGTATAAGGGACAGATCCGACATGTTCCATTTTCTATTGGAGAGGGGGGTGGGCGCTAGTTTACTCTTTATGGCTCACTCGTCTACTGTAAGGCGTTAACTCTGGGGTGTGATTGATTCTTGGGCTACCACGAAACCGGAGGGGTGCAAAAGATAGCGATGAAACAAGGTAGCGGGGCCAGCAAATGGCTGCACACGCAACATTCGCCCATGGGAATGACTAAGGCCCTTGGGGCTATAGCCCCAAGCCTTCAGAGATGATCAAGACATAACTCGCAGGGAATGACCTTCCGGGTGTTGGGAATGAACCTGAGGAGTCCTGAAGCCATAGTCGATGATTTGTAGCGGTCATTCCGGCCTCCCTTGACCAGGGACCGAAATTCAACCCTTGTGCCAGAGTCTTTGGAGCGAACTTGTTTCACTGGGACAGGTTGAGCTTTGGGCACTTCTTTGAAGTGAGATTGCAGAGCGCAGTTTTTCTAGCTATGTTCTGGCTTGCTCAGACGCTTGGTGCATTTGAGTTTTAGCTAGTTCTGAAAACATGGCGCGGTCGGGTGTTCCGGTGTTCCTTCTATAGGTGCGCTGCGTGGGTGAGAGGTTGTCGGTTTGTGGGTGGTTGTTTTTGCCGCTATGACGTTTGATGTCTGAATATGTCTGAATGGTTGGTGTGGCAACTCTTGTTTATATTCGTAGGTGTGATACGTACGCAAATTGCCCACATGCAATGGTTGATTTGCATGATTTTCGGACATTTGATCATGATTTCGCAGGTTTCTTTGTGATTGCCAGGCCTCTTGATGTGCTTGTCTCCTTGCTGTAATTGGGTGTTGTAAACACAACAAAGCCACACATCTTCACCAATATCATTTGCCAGTTGTTCAGTGGCACCCTTTATTCCTTATTTGTTTGGTGGGTTCCCCGCTCCTCATGATCAGCCTGGATAGGTTTCCTTTTTCCCAGGGTCACAAGGCAACTGGGTGTGCTGGAGTTGATTTCCACCGGAGCCAAGTTACAAGCTGCTCGCCTCACTAATGGGAACCTCGGATAAAGTGAGACGCTGGTAAATTTTGATCGGGGAGTCCTTCGAGAAGGGAGGACCGCCAGCCAATTCTACCGGCCGCCCAAAGGGTGCACAAGCCATCGCGGTACGAGTTTAAGGCACTCCCAGCCCGCAAGACCCACAGATAAGGATACACAATTTTGATGGGTTTGGCCTTGGTGGAAGAGGCCAGGTTTTTCAACCTCAGCTGGTGAGGAAAGGGGAAGCAAACATCAGACGCAACATCAACATAACTTCCAGACAACATGAACCATCGGGCGGGATATCAGAAACATAGTAAGCGCAACATTGTTTTCTTGGGCGAAAACATATTCACAGCGCCTCCGTTCTGGTTTTTTCATCTCCCTTACGTACCAACAGGAGCTCACAGTGCCATCCACTTTCACCCTGTCTTTCATTGTCTTAGGTAGGGATCTTACTTGACATGGCCGCAACACATGGTTGTCGTTGGGAAACATTTTACATGTTTGCTTATGGTGGCTTAGTGGTTGAAATCCAACCACTTAACTGCTAACAATTTAATTTGTTTGCTCCCCTTCCAACGACAACCAAGAACAGTTGATGCCATCCCAAGAAGAAAGGCCTGGGGGAGCTAGATATTGGAAACTGCCAAACCACTGGGGCGGGATACTGTGGATGAATTCCTGCACCCAAGAAACCCAACAATGACCGCTCTGCAAACACCAACGAACCTTATGGTCTCAACCGTGGCTTCAAGCTTGGTTGCTGTTGACCCCTCTGCACAAAGTTTAACTTTTGTGGGCTAAAGATTTCAACCAAAAAATTGAAGTCTAAAGATCCCATTCTGTATTTCTTCCTACTCTGGCATGTTAGATTCTTAAGTTAAAGTCTAAAGATCCAACCCAGTAGCAGTCAACCCAAGTGGTGCGTCCCTGGACGGACGTTTGAGGCATTTGCTGCCGGACCCCATCTCCTGGTGCCTTGCCATCTCCTCCTGCCGCGGAACCTGGCAGCGCGCGGTGGCGCTGTGGGCGCGGTGCCAGGGCCCCACTTTGCGGAGCTCCAGCGCTGCAGCGGCAGCGCCTCGAAGGGAATGTGGTCCTAGCGGTTGATTCCAAGCATTCCTGCAGCGCCTCGAAGGGTACTGTGGGCCTACGGCCTAGTCCTGTCAGCCATCGTTCTTTTCAATCACCGATGGCTGTTTCCCCCTGGGTTTTTAAATTGGTTTCCTGAAAGGAAGGATCCCTGGAAAGAAGGGGGAGGTGTTGTTGTTGTTTTTTTGCAGTGGTGGGGAGGTGTGGGATGCTGAGATGCTACAAGAGCGCGTGGAACATCCGGGGTCGCTTGCAGCATTTGTCAGTTGGCTTGGCTTACAGCCCTTGACAGCTATTGGGTTGGATCTTTAGACTTTGACTTTTGGGTTGAAATCAGGAAGTATTTCCGCTAAACCCCCAAAAAGTTAGACTTTTTGCAGGGGTCAACAGCAACCAAGAGCCTTGGTCTTGGAAAGTTCACTGCGCGGGCGATGCTTTGGACCTTCAAGCTTCTGCTTGTTTAGATCAATGGAATTGTCCACGCTTTTTCCTACTACCCGAACCCTCAAAATTCCCCTAAAAATGGGTTTGACCCCCAAAATTATGGTTGGTGATATCCCATGTTCATGGGTAGTTTCAGGGTCCAGGTATACCTTTACCCATTTCCATCAAGCCCTTTTCATTTCAGAACGGATGCCCCGAAGCTTTGTTTCCCCTAGCCGAGTCCTAAAGGCCAGAACACATGAGGGAAGGCAGCTTCCGGAACACGGTACTCTGCTGCCACTGTGTTTCTTCTCTGGCTGACTTGTAGGGATTCCCTTGTGCGCTTTCTGGAATGCATTCCAATGCCTTGTTGCCCTGACGCATGTCATAAACGAGCTTATCCCAATGGGCGCAGTTTCCTTAGGGTGTTCCTTTCGCGGCCCATGCCAAAAAGGTTGCATCGCTTCTGGCTGGCTCCTTTTTGTAGCTATTGTTTTTTGGGGAAGATCATCAGGTCGTTTCAGCGGGAGACGGAGATGCGGTTCCATTTCTCGCCTTTGAATCCCCATCGACCCGTCACCTGGAAGGGGGGATTCAAAGACAAGGAACCCCATACTTGAGGGCCAGACTGTTCAGTTCCAGGCCAGGGCAACGGTTTTTGGGATTGATTGCCTTTGTGGGGTCCTTGAGCCTCTCTGGATATGTATAGCGGGACCCCAAGAATGGATGGCTTCTACCAGGTTTCCAATTGAAACTACACCAAAACGGGTATCTTCGTGTCCAGGCCAGCGCTTGCGAGAAGGGCAGCCAGTGGCAATTGGCGCTCCAGATTTTCGCAGAGACGCGGCGGTCTGGATGCGGAGGCCTTGGATGGGGTGGGCTCTGCAGAAATGGCTGTGGGTCAAAACCAATGGTACCATTTCGGGGTAGGTGCACCACCCATTTTTGTCTAATGTTCACTGGGGGTACGGGCTTTTGACCCATGGCCAAATAAGTTGTTTTGATCCAGGCTCCTTCATCGCAGGGGCCAGCCATTCTCAGGGGCTGATGGTTGTTTCAGCAATTGGTCAATCAACACTGCTTCAATATCAGCAGGCCGGCTGAGGCCTGGTGATGAATTCTGGTAAACTGACGCTGTCAAGCAAAAAGCAGAGTACTTTGCCATCTATCACGCAGGCGGTACTCGTTAACGCATGGATTCGATGTCAGTGCCGGCAACTTGGTGCAAGCACATTTGGGTGGTCTTTTTTTGTGGGGCCCCTTTTCGTGGTTTTAGAGGGAAAGCCAAGAGGAGAACCACTTGTTAAAAGACACCTATTTGCAGAGTATTGCTTATGTACACCCTCCCGCTGTCACCCCCAGCAACCCCCGCAACCCTGCCACCACCCTTTTCCCGCATGCCATTTACCTGGCAAGAAATCACATATGAAGACACCCACCAACGTTTGGGGGTTAGACGCTGGTTTTGGCCTACGCCAAACAAGGCAACATAAGGCCTGAACGGTTGGGCGAGGGGTCTTTGGGCGGAGGGGGGAGTTGTAAGGTCTCGGATTTCGGGGCTTTCTGCGGTGTTCAGCAGATGCACCAAGAAGCGGTGGCAGCCGAGGTTTCTTTGGTGCATTTTGCTTGGATGTTGGGACTTCAACCTTTTTTTTTCCCAACTGCTGGGTTTTCCATCAAACCACTGGCTCCCAGCCATCCCGATAGCTTGTTAGCTGTTTTTATTGGGGGCTTCCATTGAACCCACCGAAAGTTAGTCGCTTTTAGCAGGGGAGCAGATTTCGCAACCGAGGTTTGCCAGACATCATGAGCTACAACGTCGCAATGAGCGCCTGCCACCGGGGCGAGAAGTGGCAAGAGGCGCGGCAAAAGGCTACTTCATGGGGGGGAGGGAGGGGAGTCCAAAAAAACCTGATTACGCCCTTATCAAGGCCTTATTTAGAGCTTATTTGGGCTCCCTCCCCTCCCTCCCCCTCCCTCCCCCTCCCCTCCCTCCCCCCCAGCCCCCACAGCTACTTGTTCGTCACTCCAATAGCCAGTCGTGCGCGCTCAAAGGGCACAAGGTGTCCCCAAACTCCAAACCCGAAAAAAGGTACGGATTTCTAGCTGGGTACCGTGCAAACATGTGTGGCTGGGGGAATTCTGGGCCTTGCGTCTCCCTTTCAAGCAAGTTGTTTTGTATTGTTTTGTTAAGAAACCTCACTTCCCGAGTTCATGAACTTTAAACTTGTTGGGAAGACCGTTTCAGTGGTAAATTTAAAAGTTTGGCTACTTTTTTGGGCCATCCACTCAGCCAGTGAGAGACAGTACCCTCAAACAACCAGCTCATCGCTCATCGCTCAGGCCTTGGCCTTGCTGACGGAGCTGCGGCGAGGGCACTTGGTGGCCAGCGGCATTACCTACAGCGCCTTGGCCGTGAGTGACGCGATCTGAGTGCCTGGCTCTTAGCCACCCACCCCTTTGGCCATTCCTTTAGCCTCTTAGCCTTTTAGCTTTTTAGCTGTTTTGTGGGGGATTCCATTGAATTCAGAGCTTTTTAGCTGTTTTGTTGGGGATTCCATTGAATTCAGTGAAAGTTAATCGCTTTTAACAGGGGATATGAGGGCAGCCCAGTTGCGAGAAACCTTCAAAAGACTGCGGCTAGTTGAAGCAGCTGACACATGGAATCGTCTTCTCCTATGATATTGACTAAGGTGACTATTTAAAGTACCGCGCAACCGCATAAGGATTTACGCCCTTGTAGTAGGCATGTCGCCTTCGAAATGGTCAGGCAGGTCATCCTTCGAATGTCCCGAAACATTGATAGACTTTACTTCACTGTTCCTGGCAGGTTTTTTGGTTTTTTAGTTTTTTGGTTCTGTTCATTTTTCCTGGGGGTCTGCAAAAAACAACGTCTTCTGCTACCATACCAAGAGTAGAGATGTTTAAACAATGAGCTTTCTGCCCTTCCCTTTCCCAGCAAAAGCTCCCCCCCACCCCACCCCTGAATCAGCATGGTCGTGGAGAAGTTGGGTCCAGTCGCAACTTTCTGTGATGCTGGCCGGTACCAAGGATAAGCAGTGCGCATAGTCCAGTTTGGTACCAAAAGGGGCACCCATGTTCTACAACAGCGGGAAAGGCTGGTCTAGGTCCCCCAGTAGTGCCCTTTTACCGTTTCTTTTTTTGGGGAAAAGTCCCCCTACTAAAATTAAAAAAAATCGGGTACCAACTTATTCTAACCTCTCTACTTCCACTGGACCTAGTGATTATCCCTTTGGCTTCCGGATGCTTCCGCGTTTCGGAGGTGTGGCGGTGGGCGCTTGCCAGGCGGGCCGCCAGTGGAGAACTGCGCTGCAGATGCTGCAGCATTTGCGTGGCCAAAGTGAGGCCTGGCGAGGGATTTGGCGGTCGAAATTGAACCACCAGGAAAATGTGCGTGTTTTACTCCTATAGTTTTGTAAATATGGGTGGTCAAAATGAAACCACTACGAGACCGCAGGTGTTGGTCCATGTTTCCTTTTACCAGGGTAACCCATTTTGAGTCCCTATTTTTGACCCGCAGCCATTTGATGGAAGTGAAGTGAGCCGGTTCTGATTTCTCGAAGGGAAGCCAAAAGCGGGCTGATACTTACAACGTTGCTCTCAGACCCCCTGTTATTCTGTGAGATGGGACTGAGGGATTGGAGTTGTCTCACTGAAAATTAGGTGTTGATTGAATGTGTCAGGGGCCCTGTGAGCAAATGTAACAGACATCACAGATCGGTAGCAATTTAAAGGGCTCCCCACGCAACTGGAGCGAGGACCGGGTAGAACACACGCCCCCGTCAGGTTCACATTTGCTTTCTCCCTATGTCCTACATGGGAGGGCTGTGCACATACAATCTGTTTGATTTCTTCATACGTACTGATAAGTACTGCCTTCATTCATCACTGTTCTTGGTAGAAATGATGATCTTCGCCACAATCGCCCAGCTCCAAATAAAGGATTAGTACAAGGGGTGGTCATGAATTTAGGATTGCTTAGGGTATGTGTTCAGTGCATGTTCGGCTCTGGCCCCCCCTTCTTCGTTCGCATGAAGCCGGCACGTGTAACATGTACTGTGGCAAACTTGGCAGCCATCGCCATGAGTGGGAAGGTGCCCAACTTGATCACCTACAACGCAGTGATGTGCGCCTGCCAAGACCAGCAGCTCAGCAGCAATATCACGGGGAACTGTTGAGATGCTTAGCTCACCCCACAAGCTTTGCCTTAGTATCCCAAAAGATCGCCCCATTCACTCTTTTGAGACCAAAACTAACCGTTCGTTTCCGAAAGACGTTGGCTTCCGCAAGCGTACAATTTGACTTGCAGGGTGAAACACCAAAGAGCCACAAACAAAACTCGGGTAAGCGAAGATTAGTAAGGGAATTAGTTTGACTCATCGCATCCCCACTCCCCCCCCCCACCCCCCAACACCCTAACCCCCCACCCCCCCAAATTCGCTGGCCCCCCAAACTCCCCCACCTGACAACCCAAACTCCCCCCGCCCCCAAACTTCCCCACCCCCATAGCCCACCCCCTACTGGCCCCCAGTTCCCTTGGCCCCTTGGCCTGAGGCTTCAGTGGCGCCTGGCCGGCGCTCTTTTTCGCCGCCGCGAAGCCCAAGACGTGGTGACCCATTCCATCGCAGCCCAGGCCTTCGACACCGGCGCCAGGCCGGCGCGGATTTGTTTTGGCGACGGGGAGGGCAGAGCCTGGGCTCTTGCAGAGGTGGTTGGGAGTGGGGAGGCAGTTTGAGGTTCCAATATATATATATATATGTATATGTAATGTATGTATGTATGTATGTGTTGTTTTGTGTTTCTTTTTAGGTGTGTGGAAAACCCGTTTACCATGGTTTACCTGTCTTGGCTACGGGTTGACCTGTTTTAGACGACATTCCCTGACTTGGCCTCTCTTGGCAAACATGCTAAAAGGATGCGACCACACAGGTCATATTTACCAAGCACGATACTTGCGAGCGGTTTTAGCGGGTTGTTGCCTGGATCAGGTGATTGTTTGCTGTGTGTGTGTGTGTGTCCGTGAGTGATGGACCTCCAGCGTCGGGCTTTAACCATCCCATGAACACAACCATACCCCTCTCCCCCTCCCCCCACCCCCACCCTGCGCGATACCCAGAGACTCTGCCAAATAGTTTGTTTCTTCAAAATTGCAAACCGTGCGACCTGCATTATTTTGACGGTTTCTGGGGGTTATCAAAGTCAGAAAATATCAGAAAATGGGGTTGTTTCCCTTTAGCCCACCACTGAACGGGGGTGACTTTGATCATGGTAAAATAATGAGGCCGGTGTGACATTACCAGCAACTTTAAGGCCTTGGCTTTGCCTTGGCCCCTAGGCGTATCCAGGGATCCGCCTACCTGAGCCGATTCCGTGAGGTGCCGGGAGGCGGTGGCAGTTCTCGCTGAACTGAGCTGCGAGGGGCTGGAGGTGACGAAAGCCATGGTGTGAGGCAGGCGTGGGACAGGTGAGAGGGGGGGGGTATGGCTCACTCCATTTTTGTGGCAAAGCAGAGTTTGGGTGTTTTTGGCTTATTAACTCGAGGGAGGTGGCGGATACTTGGGGTCTGAAATGTCCACCGCTTCTTTTGGGCCTGCAAAGGCAACCACTTCTTCGGGGAGATCAGGTTGGGTTGCACGCTTAGCTTGAACGCACAACCCCGATTCGGTTAAACATGGCCAAGTAAGCCCTTGAGGTTTGGTGGCATTTTTCGGGAGAGGTGGCGTGTCAATACACACTCAGCCCACCACTGCTGATTTGCCGACTGCAGAAGAGGTTCTTTGCCAAGCTGGCGGTACGAGCTTATTCAATATGTTCGCTGGTTTAAGGGTACTTCCTGGATCCTTATTTGGGGATCCCACATTCTGAGACAGCGCCAATTGGTGGGTCTATTTTGTTGCGAAGGGGGGTTCCTTTTTACAGAAAATCCATGGGTCAAAAGCAATGCGACAACCCCTTTGAAACCAGTTCTGCTCTAACTCGTGTTTTGGTCGATGATTTAAATTCAGCTGAGACGGTTTTGCAAGTGGTGGACCCAAAAAGCAGCGATGGATTTTGCTCATCGGGACCCAAATCGAGGGCCAGTTTCGACAAAGTTATCCTACCCATTGTGTTCAGCGTTTATGGGCGTCTTGGTCAGGTTCCGTTTGCCTCTAGGGGGAGCCCTGGCACAGGGCAAAGGCCATGTTTTGTGAAGGGCACCCTGGACACGTGCTGAGAATACCGCAGACGAGGATCGCCCTGGAGAAGTTATGTCTCTTGTTTGGTTGCGATTGCTTCACCATGACATGTATTTCTATGGTGGGTTCCCCACCCAAAACGGTGAACAGCCCAAACCAAGAAATTCGTGTTCGCTTCTGAGTGCGAGAAGTCTTCAGCACATGTTCTGCAGCCCCATTTGGCATTGGACCTTCAGGTGCTCAGAGTGAGTACAGCTAACGCCAGATTGGGGATTCGCCTTTGAGCAAAAGAGTGGCGTTGCTGCATGAACTTTACTCAGGCGTGGGCGGTTATGTTTCTGCACAATCTATGCCGCTCCCACCTGGTTTGTCAGACGAGCTCGCCCACAGGTGATACACTTTCTGGAGTTGTTAGCTTTTGGTCTTGCAACTGCAGGGCTCCTTAAAAGATACATTTTGCCCATTTGAAACATGGCTTGTTCCACCAAAATAAAGGGAACCCACCATTTACAAGGCAATGTTCAGGTGTATAATGTAAGGATCCCTGAACTGGATATGGTTTGACCGTTGTTTTCTTCCAATTGTTTCCATTTGTCAGAGACGTTGCTGCCTTGCATGAAGCTGGATGGCACCCATGGCTGTTCAGGCGCAGACACAGTGTCTGGGTCGGGCTTCATGGCTTCATTCCCCTTGAAGTCGCTGAAAGCAATTTGGGTATGGGTCAAAATTAAAGCACCAGGGGACCGCAGGTTTTTAGTCCTTCGTTCCATTTACTAGGGTTCCAAAATGGATACCCATTTTTGACCCACATCCATTTATCTCAACCATTTCAAATGTCCTTGCAGACTGTCGCGCCGGTTTCTGCATGGAGGGTCCGGGGACAAAGCGCTTACATCGGATATTTGCTAGACCTTGCGCAAGCTGAAGTGACAGCACCGAAGGGCGGCAGGAGCGCATATGTCGTTGGGTTGGGTAGCCAGGTGTTGAGACACGTGGAGGTTTGAGAGCGCTTGTGCCAGTTGGAATCGCATTCTCCTGCCAGTGGTCGCACAAAGGTTTCATTGAAAGCGTGTTCGATGCACAAGACATGGGTGGCAGGGGGCATGCTTTGCCTAAAGTGCTTTGAGCGGCAAGCTTCGACATGTTTGTACCCTGCCCCGCCATTCCGCGCCGAGCTCTGACAGCCGAGCATACACTTCCTTCAACCTCCGGGTGAGCGAACACGTCACTTCCCACTTGACCTTTCGATTGTCATCGTACAGCCATGGCGATTGAACTCAAGCGCTACGAGATTGAAGAAAGGCTCAACAAGGCAGTTGAGTGACTTGGCCAATTTGTGTGACACCCAAAACGTGCTTTGGCCTCGTGGCGAAGGTCCCTCTCGGCTATGTGAGATTTCTAGTATGCATGGTGTGCGCACGATGCTGTAGTGGTGGGGCCGGTATTTGGTGCAACCCTTGTACATGCGACCAATAGAAATGTGAGGTCGGGTGCCAGAGGAGCCAGATTTGATTGCGTAAGTGGTGAAACGAACCGCATGCACTTCTTGGATTCATGGCGAACCCCACAAAGACGTTTTGGCGCAGAGGCACCTACTTCTCCAATAAAGATGTGTGCACCGATCCATGCGGATTTTTTGTTGGTGGGAGGGTAGATCATCATGTATTGATTGTTATTGGGTTGGATCTTTAGACTTTAGCTTTTTGGACAATAAAGGTGTTTTCTACGAACCCCCCCCCCCAAAAAAAAAAAGAAGAAGAAGAAGAAGAAGTGAAAAGCTGTTTGCGCGGGGGGGGGGGGGGGCGTTGCAGCAACCAAGATGTTAGTACTTTCTAAGGAGGTACCTAGACCCCTTTTTACCCCCCCAAAAGCCATCCTCATGAAGTACTTGAACCCTCTGGGCATTACGGGAACCCGTGCTTTTGGTATTCGCAGGTTTGTGGCTGATCTACCTCAGCCTTCCAGTTGTGCCTGTTTGCCCTTTGGGGACCCATTTGGGTTCCATGAGCCTAAGCAGGGCTCCTTAAAAGATACATTTTGCCAATTTGAATCATGTTGCTTTTTCCACCAAAGTAAAGGGAAACCACAATTTACAAGGCAATGTTCAGGTGTATAATGTAAGGATCCCTGCTAAGAATCGTCCAGCAATTGCTTCGCGACTCAGATATGTGTATTACAGCTCCTAGTTCACACCTCCCCTTTGGGTGTTTGGTTGGAGCCCAACCTTCGCTCCTTTTCGAATCCTAATCATTCCCCTTTGCCCCCGGCTCTGCCCTCTTTCCAGCTGAGGGCAAGGGTTTGGAAGGCAGTCCGCTGAAAAGGCCCCAGATCTCCAGGCCAAAGGGCCTTTGGCCTTTTGCGGCGCTTGGGGCCCATGGCCTGCAGGGCAGGTCTTCCCCTGAAACTTTTCCGGTGTCCTTTGCCTTTTTCGGACTTTGGCTTTAAACCCGTTTGTTGGAAGACCAGTTCAGTGGCAAAGATACAGTTCGGGCTTGGGTGTGCCACTCAGGAAGTTGGAGGACAGGTCGGCTGGCCCTTTCCCAGAAGGATACTTCTCGTGGATGATGTGTCGGTTCTCAATTAGGACATGGCAAGCGCCCCAGTTCTGGCTCACAACCATTTCCTGGTTATCTCGAAATGTGTGCTTTTTGCAAGCCATCGTGTTCACCTGGAATGCTCACTGGTTGTTGCTAACTGGTTGTTGCTCACCTTGAGTGCTTGGCTTGGGGTTTTGCTTTTGCGCATGCCAAGCTCAGGAAGGTCAAGCAGCTCCTTGGCGCGGAGAAGGCTCCACAGCTGGCAGGCGACTGCCATGACCAGCGTGGCATATGTGCCTTTTGGGGGGGCTTCGAGGGCAGTTTGGATGTAAACGAGGGAGATCCCACGAGTCAGTGAGGGTTCTTTGGAGATCCAGGTTTGGTTTCGGGCTTGTGATACTGTGGGTGGACCAAATCCTGCACCACCTAAGAATCCCTGGCATGATGATTTCCCTTGTAAACACCAACAAACAATGGTTTCCCATGGTTTCCAAGTGGTGCGAACGGATTTCGTCCACCCACAGTATGAAGGGAATCCCCGAAGCGAGAAAGCCTTTGGGATCGGCGAGGCGGGTCTCAGCTTGGCACGGGGTTTGCGGATATGTGCCTAGGCAAGCTATAACCACTCAAGAGCAGGAAGATCCTTAGCTCCGGGATTTTTCGTTCCAGTTTGTGAACCACAGTAACTTGCCCAGATTTGTGTCCTTGGTGAATCAAAATTGCTCTGCGGCAACTAGAGCAGGACCATGTTCCAAAGTGGTGAAGGGAACCTGGGCTGTTCAGCGGGTTTTCCAGTTTTCCTCGCCCTCGGGATCCGGAACCTCGGCAATCCAGAACCGGAGGGTTGGTTCCCAGTTGCGCGCACGCTTTCTCCCTTTTGTTTGGGTGTGTTCGCCGCCAAGAATGGAGTCGACCCAGAAATGGGGCGTGCCATTGGTAGCGCGGTTGATGTATCAGGGGCTATTCAGGGAACGTTCTGGGAATAGATGGCGCAATCTCAGATCCAGACTGCCCAAATCCACACCTTTCCAATTTCGAGAATTGCCTGCTTCATTTTTCTGAAAGTGGGGACCAGTGTTTGTGTTTATCCCTTGGATTCGTGGCTTGGATTCGTGGCTTGGGGTCGACCCCCGAGCTCCTGTTGAAACCAACTTCTGAGCAGTGGCCCTCCAAGTCAGTTGGACCAAGGGATCCAACAATGGGCCCCCTTTCGTCAGACAGCGGTCATTTCCCACCATCAACGAGGGCTTTTTGCATTTCCATCCTTTCCCTTCTTTGATGGAAACCCACCGGACATTCGCAACTTTAGGGGAAATCCAGTGACCTGGGAGGGATGTGACGCCATGTTCACCCTTGAAGCGGTAGCAATGACTGCCAGGCGACGTGCACCACGAGTATGAGGACAGTCGGCAACATGACTCTACGAGTGACTTGAGCCGCAGGCACTGACTTGCACAGAGCCCGACGTGTTTTGTTTGCGGGATCTGTGATTGAAGCAGTTTCAACATATATATATATATATACAAATACATAAAGAGAACAGTTCAACAAACGAAACATGAAAATCTACTCCCACAACTTGTGACATTTCTGGCAGGACAAGTACCTCCTGGTGGAGCGCGCCACGAATCTGGCGGCCTGCGCTCAGCTGAACTGCCTGGGGCTCCTGGGCATGTCCAAGGAACAGCTCCAGACCCTGCGGACCTGGGCTGCAGGACCCGTAGATGGAGAACCCCGCGTCTTGCTTTTTTAGGGGAGCCCACCCGTTTTTACCACAGTAGGGAAAAATGTTTAACCAAGAATAGTTAACCATTTGGAGGGGAACTATTCCATACAAATAATTGGTGGGTTTTGGGGTTGGAAGTCAAAAAAGAAAGCAGCAGTTTGGTGGAAAGATGGCTGGGTTGGGCCGTTAGTTTCCTGGCATCCTTGCAGATCATCCTTGCCTAAGGTCGCTCGCACGGCTTCCTGCGGAAACCTGGATTGAGCCTGAACCTTGGTTTGCAGGTTCCCCAGGGAGCTAGGCCATTTGCAAGCCCAAACCCAGAAGAAACAACACCCGACAGCAAGAGGTTGCAAAATTTGAACCTGACGGGGGTGTGTTTCTGTTGAGTGAGGATTTAAGTCTTTCAAGGGCCCGTCGCCGTGCTGAGTAGTTGACGGGTTAATCAATCATGGGTCCCCAGTAGCTTTTTAATGTTAGGACACACCATGGTTTGTGGTATGGTTTGATTGTGATGCATCGCTAGAGACATTTTGGGTACATGCCAAACAGCCACCCCCCCTATTCAGAGCTGCTTGTGTGATCCTTCCCTGCTTACGAGAAGGTACACTTCTTCGATGGGTAATTCCTCAAGTTCAAATGATTGTCTCCCCCAACCCTTCACTATGCAACAAAACCTTGATGATCCAGTTGCTCGGTAGCACCCTTTTGTCCTTGTTCTCTGTCTCACTTGTTTGGTCCACCCCCTCAGAACTGGCACCAATTCTTAGGGCTACATATGCAACTGGGATGATAGCTCCTGAAGCAAAGAATAATTCTCCTGGAGAGCTTCAGCCTGGGTTTCCTTTCCGCGCTTTTCCAAGCGCGAGGCTGCAGTGGTTTACCTCTGGTTTCCCGAATCACTTTCCAGGGGAAAAAACACCGAACACGAACTCGCCCGGACAAGTTCGGCAGTGCTTTACTTGTGGTTTCCAAACTTTCTTTCCCTGGGAGAACAAAAACAAAAACACAAAAAACAGAAAACGCCGCCTGGTAAAGTTCGGCCATGGGACCGGCCATCGGACAGGACAGGAGGTGTCTTTGCGCTTCAAGTCCAAGGAGACCTGCGCCTTCCTGCGGGAGGAGACTCGAGAAGAGGAAGCGCCCAGGAGACGCGGAGACGCGGAACGGAACGCGTCGTTTTTGGATGCGTTCCGTTGGCGTTGTCCTCCAAAAGGGGTCCACATACACTCTGGTCCACGAGCATGGAACCCACTTTTAAAACGAAACGAGTTTGTGGATGGAAGGGTCAATATTTTTGGAAGATCAAGTGGCTGCATCAGGTATATCTTTTCCCCTGTCCAAGCGTGCGCTCCTGCAAGCAGAGCATCACTAAGGCTGTACACTGGGCTGTCCAAAAAAGTATTAATGTAATTAGTGGTTTCTCTTGTGAAAATGGTGTCCCACAAGCTCTCTCCCAGACGGCGCTTCTGCATTTCCGACAAGTCGGAAGCCTGGCCACAGGCTGACAGTTTGCGCTCAGAGTTTTCTGGGTATGCATCAAAATGGGGGCCCCCCAGAACCGCTTGGAACCGTTTGGTGCCTTCTAACCCGTAGTCGGGTGCGCAACTATAGAAAGTTGTGTCCTCTCAAGCAGGATCTGTGATTGTCTTGCGGTCTGCGATCAGTGGCCAGGGGAGTTCCCACAAGACACAAGAGCCCTAGATCCTTTTCAATGGTACTATCTTGGGGTTCTCTTTCATATCAACTTTGTTTTGTGAGAAATCCGCGGCTGCAAAAGGTTTAGATGCAGCTCAAGCTGGCCCCAAGGCATCAACTTCTTGAAATAAGTATCCGGCCAAAGGAGTTTTGACAAAGGACCCAAGCCCGATCAACAGGAGCTCTGACTGCCTGTAAGTCACGTGTGCGGGGGGTCACATTGAAGCAGAGCCCGTAGCAATCTAGAGATTTTCACCTTTCCAGGTCGCAACTGAAGCTGTCACTGTGGCTGTACCGCTCTCAACTGCAATCTGCAAGATCCGAAAAGGTTTGGTCCGTTTCGCGGCCTTGGGCCTGGTTAGGATTTGCCAATTCATGTTGGACAGTCTGATGCAGCTGATAGGCCTTTTCCAGATGAGTTGGTATCAACTTGGCTTGCTTTCAATCACCTGCACCTGATTTTGACTTGCAAACAAGAGGATACGCATTTGCATGTTGGGATCCGTTTGACAAACCCACATGTGGGAAGATGGGTTTGTTTCGTCGGTTTCTTCCCCCGGCTTCAGTTTGGTTCGCTTCTTTAGGCTTTCCTCCAGAAACCGCGAGGGCTTCAATGCAGGCTAGTATTTCTTCACCCCCAGGACAAAGGGGATGTTGAAACACAAATCCGCGAGCCCCCTTATGAAAACCCAGACAAGTGAAGGTTAGTACGAGGGAATCGCAACCATGAATTGCAGCCGGCGTCTTAGTTCTTTTCGTCGCGGGTAGGCAGATAAACAACACAAATACATAACACATAAATAAAGTAAATAAACAAGAAGCAACATAAATAAAATAAAGTAAATAAATCGATAAATCAATAACTAAGGCAAATAACATAAATCAGTAAAGTGAAGAATGCGTCTTTTGGCTAGGCCATGTCAATCGGGTTGATCTTCAGGAAGGCCGTGGAGGAGGTCACTGTGGGCGGCGTTTTACGCAGCGCCATCACCAGCAAGGCCATACACCTCTGACGGAGTCCGAAGCGGGGGGGAGTCGGGGGGTCCCTGGGAGCGATGGACGTATTTCTAAGAATTGATTCCCCATTCTTCATGTTGCTTAAGTTTTTTCCCCCCTTGTTGGCTTTAAAGGGAATCTATCACTATTGGAAATATTTGTGATTTTTGCAGGGGCTTGGAAGCATTACTTCCAACCATCATTATTTTCCAAGACTGGCTGTTTTCCACGGATTTTTGGAGGATCTCGAGAAAGAAGGATCCCTGGAAAGAATGGGGGAGGTACCCCTAGAGTATTGTTTGCTAGGTCCCCCAGCTAGGTGCCTTTTTACCGTTTCTTTTTTGGTTGGAAGGGCTCCCCTACTAAAATTGACTACAGGAAAAAGGATACAAGCTTATTCTAACCACTCTGCTGGAGGACCTAGTTTGGAGCCTGCAGTTTGAAAACGGTGGTGCCGTGATACTCGCAAAAAAGACAGACCCGTATGGGTCTTTCTCGACCTGTTGGAACTTTCCACTCTGGGTGGTATTTCAAAGAAGGCCATTGAATGCATTTGCTCCAGAGCCCCAAGCCCTAGTTTTGGGTTGGGGGATGGATGGAATTTATGGATGCTGCGCAAGTTTCGGGGACAGGACTAAAACAACTTCTTGAAAGCTACAGCTGGCTTGCGTGAATTCAGCGGTGCTCGGTGTATCCCAAAGCTTTGTCCTTTTCATGTCCTTTGGCCAAGTCGATGCCGATATAAACTTGTGAAGTACATGCCTAAGTGCGCTAAAAGTTCCATGCCTCCGCAACCCCTACCTGAAGATGACTCCAAGTGGTATATACATCCCTACCTCCAGTCCAGCACCTCCAAGGATGCCTATGCCTGTGACTCAAACCATGTCGTTTAACCTTTGCAACTACGGTGTTTAAACCCCGGGAAATCGGGTGGGCACTAAAAGTGGTAGGTCGTGACGAAGATCACCGAGTACTTTTGGAACTTCGAGGCCAACTTCACCTTGGAAGCGCCTGCCGGCCTGACTTCTTCCAGGGAAAACGCCTAGGCGTTTGATGGCAAAGAATGACATTTGGAGCCCCTCTCAAAGGGTTGTAAAGGAAAACCACAAGGAAGCAGCCGAACCACAGCTCCAAACCTTTGTGCTGGGCTTAGGTTTCCTGGTTGCGGGTAAATGGCAAATCCCCGAGCCACAGCTCCAAAACTAGCGGGCTCACGGCCGGCTGAGGTTCAAGGGCGTGGGCGCGGACGCCTCGGACCGGCTGACCATTTGGAGCCGCCAGGGGCAGGCGACGCAGGGACGCGGAAACCGCGTGCCGGGTCCCAAAATGGCACTAGGGTTGAGCACGGGTAACCTTTTCTGGTGGTTTCGGTGGGTTCCCTGATGGTGGTTTGTAACTTTTCCCATTCGGTCCCCAAATGGCCATGGGCAACTTTTCCCATTTGGTTGTGACAGTTGTATGTTTTTTGGTGGTCACCCGTAGTGAAAGTCATTCGTCTTTTTTGGTGGTTATTTTTGATGGTCACCCCAGGTTCATGGGAGCGTTTGATCAACCCCCAACTAGGGATTTGTCCTGCACATGCTGAAGGAGGTTGAGTTGGTTGCGAGAGTGGCTTGGCAAGCCAGCACTGCGATATCCCCAAGCAGGTAGAGCTGAAGACGGCCACCAAGAATCCGGCGCCCCACCCAGAAGTGCGATCACCCGCCATCAGCAAGGAGGCGCTTCGTTTTGGTGGGCGGGTGTTTTTTTTTTTGGTTGTTTTTTTAATTCTTCTTTTTTCTTTCTTTTTTTTTTCCGGCCATCGGTCGGAGCAACAAAAGGACCTTACAAGAGCAACTTGACGGTCACTTGGCAACTTCACAGAGAGTTGAATCCATGGCAAGGAGTTTAACCCGATCGCAAGCTATAACTAAACATCCGAAGCTGGAGGTGAACTCCAAAACTCACGTCTTGGGCCCATTTGTTGAACACGGGGCGGCAAAGCTTTGGAGCAAAGCAGCCTCCATCTGCGCTTGTATGCCCAGTCAGCATTTTGGGCCCAGGGTTGGAAAAGACCCGGTGAAAGCCCATAGTTGTTAATCAAGCGGCTGCCTTACAGCAAAAGTATTGCTTCTTCAAAGTATTGCTTCTTCAAGGGAAACACTATTGGTAACTGGGGGACCTTATGTGTTAACTATTGGTACGTCACTGGATTGAATCGGTACTTTGACAAACCTCTTTGCACCAGCCGGCAAGCAAGCAGTCTGTCAGAAATGCATCTTCAGGCACATACCTGTACCAACCCCAAACCTAGATCTGTAGTCAAAATGTGGACCAGGATCCAACGTGGAATTTGTTTCTGGGGCCAAAGAGCTGAGAAAGCGCATCCGCTATATCCTTCACCCATGTTTTTCGTTTTTGGATGGGGGACGTGCCCTCGGGAAGCACAAAAGGTGAACATCAGCTGGCTGCTCCGCTCCATGTCCGACCCCTCCACTCTGATGCCCTCCTTCGGCATTGACCGCAATGCCAAGGACTCGTCGGCCGGAAATTCGGCCGGCGCTGGTTGCTTTAAAGGCTGAAGCCTTGGAGTTGGTCGCCAGGCCATTTGTGGCTAGCTGACTTGACCAGAGCCGGACTTGACCAGAGCCTTTGTGGTTTGTGTGACGGCTACCAACACCGAAACTGCCGGGATTCGGAGTCCTCGGGCGGGTGGATTGGAGAGCTGAACTTGGGCAAATATGAGGAGCCCTGTGACCAACCGGCTGATTTGGGGCCCGGCTAATGTCGACCCAGGTTTAAGAAAACACCTATTTGTTGTTCAGTTGTTGTTTTTTTTGCAAAGTGGGAATCCCCACCAAAAGGGGGCACACCAGGGCTCACCTAATCAACATCAACCAGGGCTTCCGCTTCATCCGGAGTTCTGAGACGGATCGGTGGAGTCTGTCGCTGCGTCTCTCGACGCCAGGCGTGCAAGACGCCCCGGAGGAACGGCGAGACTTTGAAGGCCTTTGCACACTTCCAGGCCATCGCCCACTGGACGCCCCCCGGACGAATCGTCAACATGGAGTGGCTGGAGGTATTTTTGGTTTGGAGGGTATCATGTTCAGGGTGGCTGAAAGGAAAACCAAAGGGAAAACTCAGATGGTTGGGGTCTCTCTTTCTTTGGCACATACCCAAGCATAAAATATTCCATTGGCATTTACTAGGTACTACCTGGCGTCATAGGGTTTAGGCCTTTGAGCGTGGCCGTGTCACTGGGTTGGCACTGCTCAGTTCAAATCCGACCTTTCCAGCGTTTGGTCTGGTGAACTGCTCGAGATTCGAAAGGCTGAGCCTTGTGCCGAGTCCTTTGGGTCGGCAACATTTTCTCTATGGCAAACTTGACCTTTTTGGGAAGTGGACTTTAAACAAAATGGACCCACAAACAAGTTAAACTTGTTGCAGAGGGTTTAAGAGCAACCAAGTTCTTCCCTGACCTGCGTCTGCTTTTGTGAGTCAGGGTACTCTTCGGGGGGGTTAAACTGTTTGGGGAGGCCGGGTTGAAGCCCTGAAGCAGAAGTGCTACAGCTCTGCCCAGAAATCGAGCTTCTGATCTGACCTTGTTGCATCCAGGTCCCAGAAGGGCATGGTCCAGGGACGCAGGGACCCAACCGGCTCGTTTAAGACCTGATTTTGTTTGATGGGTTCGTCCTTATGAGAGCGCCCATTTTGGGGCTGGTTTCCTTGGACTCCCGTTTTAACCACGTAGATAAAGGGGGCACCCGACCAAAGACACATCCATGGTCCCAGGAAGGCGGAAACGGACGAGAACTGGCATCTGCTTGGGCAAAACTTATGTCGCGAGTCCATGAAGGAACCTTGCCTAGGCTTTTTTTCACGTTTCCGTGTCGCGTTTCTGGATGATAGTAACTTGCCCAGATCCCACCAACTCACCCCGCCCCAGCACAACAAGCACCACTTTGGGCAAGGCGTTGAGCGATCAAACGCGAAAACTCCACATGTTTGAAAGGGTCGGGGGCGGGGACGAGGGGATTTGTTCAGGTCCTACCTGGCGGACTATATCAACCACCTGCGCGATGTTCAGCCGAAGAAGTTGGATGACAGCACGCTGTCCTTGGAGAATGTCTTTGTAACTGCGCCAGAGGTTGATATGTTTTTTCCTTGAAGGTTCATGGCTTTGTCCGCGCAAAGGACGGACCACGGCTCTTGGGGCTATATTAAAACAGATGTTGGTATGTCTATTTGTTGTTGTTAGATATTGTTGCTGGACGTTACTGTTGTTACTTGGTCGGTGTTTGTTTTAGTTGGTTTGAGCTGATTTGTTTTGTGTATGTTGTGCTTAATCGTTGCGGGTTGTTCTTGTGTTTTCGTTTGCTGCTTTTGCGGTTCTGTTCGTTTGTAGTTTTGGGGCTGCGAAGATCGCGTTTTGCTAACGAAAGGTACCTGTGGCGCCCATCATGTTCAAAGATGGCATCGACGAGGTAGAGGACATCCAGCAACAACAGTCCACATTTTGAGCAAACCACGGTATCCACCGAAGTGTCCATTTTTCTAGGGGTGCCTTCCCCATTCTTTCCAGGGATCCTTCTTTTCAGGAAACCAACAAACACCCAGGGGAAACAGCCGGTTTTTGAAAAGAAGGATGGTTGAAAAGAATGGATTTGGAACCAACCCTTAGAATCTTGGGGTCTACTGACTTGCGGCAATGGAGCTTCTGTTTCAAGCAGTTTTGGCTTCGCATCACGGCGACGGATGAGTTGCACTTGGGCGTCGCATTGGGCGAGCCGGCTTTGGGCCTCAGCCCTCCACTTGCGATGCTTCAGAGGGAACATCTCAGGCCTTTCGGCAGGGCCCGCAGCCATTGGACAATTCACCATTGAACTAGTTTGCATAGATTTAACTTGTACTATACGCTATTCAAGTGATATGGATATTGTGACGTGTAGATGTGTTGTATGCTTATTTCTTATCATAGTATGTTCTATTTTAACATGTCCGTGTTGCCGAACATGGCCACAGGAGAAGCGGTACTTTTTGTCCCCCCCCCCTCTTTCTCACCTGCATGGTGAGCAATGACTGTTGACAAACATTTGCTGGTAGTTCCCCAGCACCACCTTCAGCAAAGAAATCCTTGTTCGGGTGGGTGGGTGGGTGTGTGGGTGGGTGGGTGGGTGGGTGGGTGGGTGGGGTATGGTGAGTGGCAATTTTCCTGTATTTCCCGCTGGTTTTCCTGAATGATACTTTGGATAGACGAATTGCGTTCGCACCGCTTCGAAACCATGGGGATCCATTGTTGGTTTGCATTTACAGGAAAATAATTGTTCTAAGTTGTTTTAGGTACTGCAGGACTTCGTCCATCCAAGTTGTTGTAGGTACTCCAAGTTGTTTTAGGACGTTGTTGCGCGAAACGGGTTGCGTGTCCATCGACCCCCGGGATTTTCTCTAAAGAGGGTCGCCCTGGTTCCATTGTTCAGGGGCGGGGGATCCATTAAAGCAGGTCCAACATGAGGAGTCCTGTCCATCCACAGTGCTTCGGCTAGGTCCCCAGTAGTGCCCTTTCTCAGGGGGAGGGCTTTGTACTAAAATGGACTATAGCAAAAGAAAACAAAAATCACATTTTGTCCAACCTCTCTAAAAAAAATCGGGTTCTCTTATTCTAACCTCTCTTAAAAAATCGGGTACCCTTATTCTAACCTCTCTACTGGAGGACCGTGCCTCGGTGAATGCAGGAGGCCACCTCGGGCCAGCTGCTGGCGGCGCTGGCCAAGCCTGGGGCGGCGGCGGGTTTGGTGCTCACGGCCTCCGCGGGGAATCTGATGCTCGCGGAGGAGCTGCGGACTTTGAAGGCGGGGCGCTTGGGGCGTGGCGCGCTTGGGGTGGGGTGGTGGGGTGGTGGGTGGTGGGTGGTGGGTGGTGGGGTGGTGGGGTGGTGGGTGGTGGGGTGGAGGATCCGTTTCCGCAAGTGAGATGTCAAAGATTGCACTTGTTCATCGTTCTTACGGTGTCTCGGGAGCCGAAGGGGGATGGATACCGCCTTTTTTGCTCCTTTTTCCGCGCACCCCCAATTTTGCACCTGTGCAGGTGGGGCTGCTCGCCGTCAAGCCAACAAGCCCTACATGAGACATAGGCCTCACTTTCGTTCGCAATTTCTGGCCACCTCCCTGGCACAAACAACCGGCAAGGGCGACCTTACGGCATCCGAATAAATGACTGACACGAGGCTTTTACGGTATCTCTCCTTTCTCTCCCCTCTTGGGATTCGGACCGCTTTAGGGTCCCCCACCGGGAAAAAAAACAAGAGAGAAAAGGTACTGCACGATCCGGCCAGGAGCAGCGGGAGAACATCCTCACCGCCTTCCCTGGAGACAACGGCATCTTCACCTGCGCGGAGGTGGGATTCCATGTCAACGCACGGGAAACCAACAGTTTGGATGGAACTTGTTGAGATCGATTTCAGGATTTCGTTTCCTTGGGTGTGGAATCAGAAAATATGTCCAGACCCTCTTTGCACCGAACAAGTGTCTTCTGCTGATTAGACTTGCCGGAGATATGTCCAAAGCTGCAAATACTTTGCTTCGTGACACAGGAATAATTGTGGACAAAAAGGGTTGCCCTCCCACCAAGAATTGGTGCGGACCGACCTGACGAGTAAGGGGTTTCCACGGCAGATCGCAAATGTGGCTTTGCTTTTCCAAAAGCACAGCATACAACACAAACACAGCATTCCTTTGGGAAGATGAATTGCCCCTCCCCATTTTGGGAAGCGTGTCCAATATATTAGTTTGGCTTGTCATCCCCAACTTCCCGAACTGACGTGGAACCTACCAGTAGCTGGAAGACCATTGGCTTCAAGGTACTTTCTGGTTGGTTCCACTTTACTCCTTCTAGACCATACTCCTGACAAGACAGACAGGATGGACCTTTTGCTGGGTTCGGTCGTGGGCATAATTCTCAAGACCACCTCCTGCTGGTCCTACCCACTTCAAGGAACGCCAAGAGAAGGCAGTTGAATCAAATGTGGTTGCAACCTTAGTTCGAACGTATTGGGTGAGAACTCACCAGAGGTGTCTTCTTGCCCGAGGCATGCATGTGCCTGACCTTGACGCACATGCGCTCCATTACCGAGCGCTGGGCGCACGCGGTGGACTACGTGGAGAGTATGCTGAGGAAGTCTTTTCGTCGGGACAACCCCTGCGGAACCAACCCCTTCAAGGGGTCCAATAAATTAAGGCTGTACTGAAGCCCCCCTAGGGCTCCTTTTGGGGTCCTAAGCTTCAACTTTAAGCGGAAAAAGGTCCAAGCCTTAAGGCTGTACTCAATAGGTTGTCAAATTGTGGCTTCCCTGGCAAGGCTTAGGGCTCACACACCGCGTCCAGAGAAGCTTCATCTTCTGTGAGGAAGCAGCTTGTAGCTGCCATTGGCAAGGAGGTCACCCCTTCGGAGTTCGCGTGCTTTGACCGCAAGAGATTGCTGGGCCATGGCGGTGGGAATCTAAGGAATGGTAACGTTGGGGTATACCATCACACACCCAATGCAATAATCCAGCAACGTGAGTTTGATTCGTCAAGTTTATTTGGGCGGCGAGTTCTGTGATGCCAACTTTGGAATTGTGAAGTTGGGAAACCAAAGGGAAACCATCCTCTGGGGGGTGTTTGATTCACGGGGCGGAATCCGAAACGCCAGCAAAGCCCAGCAAGGTTTGATGCACCCTCGCCTTATCACTCGCGTGGTTGAAGGTGCCCAGGTGTTTGAGTATATTTGATAACGCTGAGCTGTCCTCCCAAAAGTTTGACGCCTATGATGTCTTTGTGTTTGCAAGAATGGAATCGGCCCCAGTGGGGGGGGGAGGGGCGGCACGCTGCCCAACGTTTTCTCTTGAGTATGGCAATGTCGGGAAGTGCAAACTTGGGCGCTGCCCAAGTGGAAGTGCGCAGAGTCTGAAGTGGGAGCCTCCAGCCTGCCAACATGAGGTGGAACAATGTCGATCTTGCAGGGTGCCTGGAAATGATTAGAGGAAAAAAAGGGGAAAAGGGTGCCGCTGAGCGACTAGGCTCACGAGCTTGGCGTCGCTTTACGGCCTTTACGTCTTGGCTCCCAGAGCGGCACCTTGATACATGGTGGCCATATTCAGCTGTCCAAGGGGATTTTCATTTGAAAATCAACCGAATTTGGGTTGCATTCTGTAGGGGGTCCTGATTTGTGGCAAGCTGAGGTCCTACATGCGATTTCACTACCGGAAGCTCTTCCTGGATGCGTACCAGCCACTTTGCTGTGTCCCACCCCAACCCTGCGGGAGGAGGAACACTCCCTCAAGTTGTTTTAGGGGTGGCAGCTTCCATCCTCAACTGGCCTTGCCATATAGCCGAAAACCTTCTTTCCCACAAACATCGGAAGTGGAGGCTGGTCTAAGATGGGAGTGGCCTTGCGGGACTTCCTATAGGGAAGCTTCTTACGAAAGCCGGTGGGAAGCATTTGCGGTTGCCTGCGGTACCGATCCTGTGGGTTCGGCTCGGTGAGGCCAAATAGGGTTAAAAACCAGTTATGGGTGGGCTTTTGGATGGCTGGTTTTTGGCGCTTCTGGAAGGACATGGGATTTCCTCAATAGGAAAATGCTTCGCTGGGGGCAAACAAAGAACTCACCTAAAACAACCCACATCATGGAACCTCCCGGATTGAGAATCTTCTGGTTGATTTTGAACCGGGGGTGTCCCCTTTTAGCGGGGGTTCTTACCGCATTTGAAGGGCCCCACCCCTCCTGTAAGGATGGGTTCTACTTAGATCCGGGGTCAACAACATGACAGAAGCGTTGTTTCCATTGAAGCGCGGGTAACCACTCCAAGGTTGCACCAGCCACGCACGCGCACACACACACACACACTGAGCAAACCGCGACTCGGAACGGCACTTGAGTATGTCTGAAAATGGGCAAGCCGCAGAAAGGGTGGCTTTCGCTTTGCTCGCCCTGTTTAGCATCAAAAGAGACATTCCGAATCAAGCTGACTCCTTAGTCGCTTTTACGTACTCCTTCTTGCGGGTGCACCCATAGTCCCGCATTTCTACGCAGGTTCCCAGATTCTTAGGGTAGCATTTTGGTTCTAAGGGCATTTTCAGGTTTCATCTTCCTTCCCCCTTCCGCCCCCGGGGAAATGCCCAAAACGGTGTTTCGGAAGACCCCCGACCCGCCCGATCTGCTCGATGTGAGGCCCAACCAGTTCTGCTTCGCAGTGCGGCGCTCGGAGGTGCACGGCCCGGAGGGCACCGTGAGTATCGAGGTGGCTTGGGGCGGCGGGTCGGAGGTGCGGACTTTGTGTCAGTGGCACCTGGTTTCTTGGTGGCTCCCAGCCATCCCTTTAGCCTTGTAGCTGATTAGCGTTTTGTGGGGGATTTTAATGAGCCCACTGAAAGTTAAACTTTTAGCAGTGGATTTGAGGGCAGCCCAGGGTTTGAAGAGTGTTGCAGGCTTGCGGGAACCTGGTGGCAAGACTGGTCCCAGAAAAGTATATATCCCGGTTTTGCATCGGACCTACATTCCGTTTGGAGCCACAATGTGAGCCTGCAAGCTTGCAGGAGACACATGGGGACCAATCAGCGCCCATTGTGACCCTGGAGAACCACGGCAGCACGCCCACTGCCCCTGGCCTGTCACTTGTGCGGGCTGGGGTATCCGTTTTGGAACTGTTTCAAAGCAAACCCAAGCCCGTGTTGGGGGATATCCTTGTTTTTTGGTGGTTCTTGGTGGTAGTTGCCACTGGGCCACTGAGAGTTAGACTTTCAGCAGGGGATCTGGGAGCAGCCTGGGGTTTGAAGAGCCCAAATCCTTGCGGAGGCAATGGGGAAGACGTTGCTTCTGAAATGCGAGCCTCTGCACAGCTTCACGTGTGGCTTAGTTCGCGGCATACCAAGCTCTTCTAGACGTATAAATGCATATCCTTATCCGACAGATTTAGGTTCACACATTGTGTGTCTATGACTATGTACGTGCAAATAACAATGTAGATTGGCTTCAATGCACATGTATACTATGCATGTCTAGTACAAAGTAGTTATAGTATGCGCGCATGCCCCGTGTATGTGTTTTCCGTCATGTGTTTTACTCCTCCCTTGCGTTTTGTGAGCGTAGAAATGTGGCTCGCCGGGTTTCTGAACTGTTCAAGCGCAAGTTTACTTGTCGAGTTTGCGGTCTTTCAGGCGTGCATTCATCAGTGTGTCCATTATTCTTCGCTGTGCTAGCGAGCTGGGGATTTTGGCCTTGGCACTCCCGTCTTTCAGGTGCGGTGATGATTTATTGGTTCTTTAAAAAAGAACATAATAATAACAATAATAATACTACATATGTATATATATATATATATTCGATGGCCACTAGATAAAGCAGGCCGGCCAAAGCATGCGCACTGCTGTTTTTCACATGGTGAGTTGGTGCTGGGTGCAGCTGAGGCGGTCCTTTTGTGGTTCCCTTGTTACATCATCGAATTGCTACCTGTGAGGATCGGGTCTTTGAGGCAAGCCAACAGGTAGAGCAGAAGTCTCCCCTACCGCAGGAACCAGTGGAAGCCTTCCAGAGTCAGGTTCCCACTTGCCCTGTGGTAGTCTTGTCACACACTTGTGCAAAGCTCGAGTTTGTTGGTTGGTGAGCCACTTTGGAACCGATTTGAGGTGTGAATCGATGTGAGTAGCGAAAAAAGCAACTTGTCTATCGCACTTGTATCATGAAACAAGCCCTGAAGACTTAAGATGATCCCAAATTTTGATGCATCCCCATGATACCTCTGCCCTCCTGCCAAAAAGTCCCCACAAACCGCACAGGTCCTTTTCAGGTGAGCTAGATAAACACCCCTTGCCATAAACATAGATATTTACCCACACGGGCCTTTCCTAGCTTGGGTTGGCTAAAGGATGCTAAAGGGCAATGCAGAACTGTTCCCTGTTTTGCTTTGGACAGATGCCCCTCCAATTCCCGCCTACGGGTCCCCAACAACAAGCTTTCCTCTCAGTGGCTTTGTAGTTAGACCTTGCTGCTTTTTACCTTTTGGACAAATAGTGGCTTCCCCAGCTCGCATAAACGAATCATGTGTTGCAGGGGTCAGTTGTCCAAATTAGATGTAATTTCAGGTGGCAACAGCTTTCTTCTGCGGTTTTTCATTATGCCTTCAAACGATTGGGACCCAGACTGTAGGACACCAACAACTCGGGAGAAGCCCAACAGCCCAGTTTTGCTCATGGATGTTGCTTCCCCGTATCGTGTGCACGTGACCAGGCCATGAACTTCCCGCTGAACGCCTCCACCACGATCAGCTTTGAAGGCCCGGTGCATCTGCACGGATGGCTCTGCCACAGCTTCTCGGGCCAGACGGGCGCGCAGCTGTCTCTGAGGGCCCGCGCCAGGCGCGGACGTGCGGGGAGTTGAAATTTTTGGGGTCTGCTTTTTGCACCCCCTAGTAATCAACCGCAGATTGATTAGTGGGGTGTCCCTGGGTTTGGTGAGGAATCACCACTTTTGGATGGAAAGAAAGGGGTTGACTAATGGGGCACCTTCGTTTAGGTACTGGGATTTGAGGCTTTTGGTGTAAATGGCCAAGTGTCCATGGTGCAGAACTGGGGGCAGTGGGGGAACGGGGTCGTTTGCTTGGTTCGGCCAGGGCAAAAAATATTGGGCGGTTTATGGGTGGGACTGAGCTTGCCCTTGAACTTTTGAGAAAGCGTCTGCTTCACTTCGCCGCTAGCTAGACAAGTGAAATACTTTTTTTGCGTGTGGCCAACGACCGAGAAGGACATCGAGTCAGCATCTACAGACATTGACGCACACACACACAGACACACGCACACAGGCCCGAAGATGCTTGGGGGGGATGCCTATCCTATGGTGCCCTTTTGACGCTGCCTGCCGGGCGGACCTATCGTTGACCTCGGCAAACTCAAGCACAACCTCAAAGAGGGCTTGTGTTTACCCCCCCCTCCCCATCATCGAGGTTCTTGTCATGGGCATCCCTTGCCTTTCACTCGGTGAATTGCCATTTCTTGGAAGGACCACACTTCAATTTACTGTGTGCACATGTTTGCGCCCTAGTTCTTGAAGTGTTTGAACTTTTTGCCTGGATGCTTATGTCGGTTTTTGCCTCTGGGGCTGGGGCTTGTGCCAATTCTGCTTGGATATCCCTTCCTTTCAAGTTTCCAGGTTTACATAATTACTGTGGATGGACGAAATCCTGCACCACCTAAGAAACCCTGAAATGATGATTTCCCTGCAAATACCAACCAACAGTGTCCCATGGTTTCCGAGTGGTGCGAAATGGATTTGGGCCATCCACAGTGGTCCGACAGGCAGTTCAGCTCGATGCTGGTGCTGGTGGGACGTGTCACGTCAGCCACCTCCTTCGACCCCACCTACGCGGCCATTGTGCAGAACAAGGCGCGCCATGCGAAATCAGATTCGCGGCAAACGGCGGTTCAGTCGCAATGACACCCTCTGAATCTTGACTGCTATTGAGTTGGATTTTTAGACCTTGACTTTTTGGGAAACAAAGGTGTTTTCCACTAAACCCCCAAAGGGTTAAACTTTTTGCAGGGGGGTCAACAGCAACCAAGGAATCCCTTGTCATTTTGGGAGGATCCCTACTAAACATGGTCAACCAAGGGTTCCATTTGCTGAATTGCCAATGCAGGGGGCTCAACAGCAACCAAGGAATCCCTTGTCGTTTTGGGAGGATCCCTACTAAACATGGTCAACCAAGGGTTCCATTTGCTGAATTGCCAAGACCTCGGGCGAAGCAATGAACCTAACATTCAGTCCTCGAGAGGGGGAGGAGAAGCATAAATGCATGAGAGTTTGTGCTTGTTTCAACTTGATTGGGGGTGTCAACCGGGTTTTCCCACTCATTTGAAATTGAATGTGAGAACTATTTCGGGCAACCACCTTGCAGAAAGCCTATGAGGGCTTAACCGGGCTGTTTGAGGGTGATCCGCAAGATCATTACCTTGAGTTACGCAAGGGGTTCCCTTTGCAGTGGCTTCCGTATCGGGATTATGGATTTGCGGATTAGCCAACCCTCCATATTAAGCAGCTCAGCCTAATATAGCCATGCGTCATCTTAAAGAAAAAAAAAGAAAGAAAGATAAAAAAAAAAAAAAACACGCAGTCGCTAAACGTGCTGAGCCGCAACCAGCCTATTCGTTGTCTGCTCAGACAGCTGCACCTTTTGTCTAGTTTCCACAGCTGTTTAGCATCTTTTTGCTGGACCGTTGTGAATGTCCGAGCAGGAAAACAGGGGAGCGTCGTTAGATTGGAATGGGGAATCCTCAGCTTTGGCAACAGCCGAGGTTGTGACCCGTCCCCATTTCGGGTCCATGCGATGGTGCACAGACTTGAGAGCTTAAGCTTTCCAACTTTCCAGGTAGCGTCTCCATGACCCTTAAAAAATGGGGTCATTGCCAGAAAACGGGGTCATGGACATTTTTAGAGGGTCATGGCGACTCCAGGCAGGCCTTTTTGTTTGGTCCCTTTGGGTACCCGGTGCTTTGTAGACTCCATGGCTTCATGGCGCCAGCTCGCCAGGACGAGCTGACTGTCCCGCTGGAGATGTCCGTCATTCCAACTCCCAAGGACTGACCGGGCTGCCAACACCTGCCAAGGGCTGTCAACCGGACAACGGTTTCAAGGCCCTCATGTTACAACTCGGCAACTCGAATTCTACAAGCTTAAAAGGCAGTTCAGGACAAGGTTCAAGGGGGATTTTTTTGCGCGGAAAATGCCACTTCTTGCGGTTATGTTGCTTTCCCGCGTGATGTGCGCGTTTCTCAGAGAGAGCTACCAGTGCGTGTCACTGAATAAACAAACTTGGGACATTCGGAAAGCCGGCAAGACCGTTTCGAGGCTCTCAAGTCTAGGGTTGGTTTAGTATTGCTTTTGTTGTGGCTTGGCACTTGGCATGCCAGAGGGCCTGATGGCTAAGATCAGACTCAGAGAGCCAGGTTTCGGGGGAACGGAAACTGCAGCTTGGCAGTCTCAGCCTGTACTACCCCTTGCAAACCTTGCAAATTGTTGCCGGAGCCTTTTCATACCAAGTCGACGTAAGAAAATCAGCGGTTTCGGGGACGGCTGTTGTTTGCAGAGATCTTCTGACTTTCCCAGCACTCAGCAAGAACTAGTGGACAAGGCAGGATGTGGAAGGGTTAGAACATGACTGGATCCGGATGTTTCCCAGACAAGAAAACTCCTTAAAGGCACCCTGATTATTTGTTGTTTGTGTGGGGGGGGGGGGGGGCGTAAAACAAATGGCAACGGCGGGCGTAAAACAAATGGCAACACTTTCAGGTATTTGATGCCGATTGATTTGCAGGGGGTCGACATTGCTGTGGAAGTTCTCCCTCGAGTGTTTTCCTTGGAATTCACAACTCAGCATCCCTAGCAGGGCAACGCCAAGAAGTGTTGTTTCCGCCCTTTTGTAAACATGGAGATGAAGGCGGAACTCTGCCCAAAAGGATTCAAGTTCCATGCTCTGCGCGCAAAGCGTGTTTCATAGAAGCGTGACATCACACAATTCAGAATAGGGGTGTCTTGAATTTAGGGGCTGGGGCTGATTTCCAGCTGGTTCATTCAAACACGGTGGAAACTGAGACCTTGATGTGCCAATTGCACCGGATAGAAGACTTACTAAGGTCAAAAAGGCAAACAAGAAACATGATCAAAGGAAGTTTACGAGAGAGAGAGAGAGAGAGGGAGAAAGAGAAAGAGAGAGAGAGAGAGCGAGAAAGGGAAAGAGGCAGCTAGAGAGAATGAACATATTATTATCAAGACGCAGAAGGGAGAAAGACACCGAGAAAGAGAAAGATCAAGAGACAGGGAAATCGAGAGAAATAGAAAGAGGATGATAAAGAGAAAGAGAAAAAGGAAAGGGAAATACAGAAAACAACAAGATACATAAAATCAGAAAGAGAAGGATTAAGAGAAAGGCAAAGGGGTGAACAATACAGAGGGAGACGGGAAGAAGCGGGCTCCAAACTATGCATAGCTTTTGATTTTTTTTTTGAAAAGTCCGCACCCCGCCCCCCATTCCACGCACTCTCGACAGCCAGCTCTGACAGTAGAAGAATAGGAGCCTATGAAAGCCAAACATCAGCAACACCAAGAGATACGAGATCAACATAATGCAACGAGCGCATAAGATGGCAGCGTGGGTGGGAGCGTTTGCAACCCGCTTGGGAAGTTGCAAGCATGGTAGAAGCTGGGGCAATGGGGGTTAGTTCCCTCACCATAGTGCAAATTGTGCTAAGTGGTTGGAACAACCAAGAAAGGGCCCCATTTCAACCCAGTTTCGCCTTCTGTCAATGGGCGGTTTCCTTAGGGCCTCCCCCAAAACCGCTACCATCTTTGAAGGGTTCCTCACTAAACAAGGTCAGCAACAAAAAGGGGCCCCTTGGTCTGCCAGGGTGCCAGTTCTCCGCGAGAAGGTGGTTTGCTCCATGTGAAGGGAGCCGACTCGCCTGCCCCCAAGATAGAGCAAGCCATTTGGAGGTTGATCAGAAGGTCCTTTACATGGGAAGAGTTACCAATGGTCCAAACTGGGGGCCCTAAAGGAATATTGACCAGCCTCCAAATAACAAGCAAACCACAAACCAAAACAAACGTCAGGTTCCCTCAAGTTGGTGGTTTGGATTAGCTGAAATTTACCTGAAAGAGCCAAAACAAACCAAACAACACACCACAGCCCCCACTCCCCCTCTGGGGAAGGGTCGGAGCAGCTTTTTACCCTCCCACCAAGGTCACATGGAACCTGCAAGGGGTCCTGGAAGACCATGTTCCTCTTAACGGGGCCCCCGAACGCCAGGTTTTATGGCTTTTTTGGGCAACCCCCCAAATGACGAGTAGCATGATGGAGCACGATTTGAGCCGCACCTACCTAGAGTCTCCATGACCCTTAAAAAATGGGTCCATGACCCCTTAAGTTTGGGTAATGACCCCATTTTTTCAGGGTCCTGGAGACACCAGGTACTAGTTACTTGCTGCGCCCAGACGCTCCCAACTCATGTTTCGGGCCCTCGGGCCCTCGCGGGCCCTCGCGGGCCCTCGGGCTGGTTGGGGGGGGGGGGGTCTAAGGCTCGTGGCAACATAGCGCAGATTAGAGAAAGCAAATAGATAGTCGAGATACCGGACACTTAATCTGAACTTAGTAATTATCTACTGTTTCTTTTACTGGGAAGAGATAAAGACAGATAAAAATAACAAATAATAAAAGATCAAACAAAAAGATAAGACAACAAATAGAAAATAAGATAACAACACACAGTTAAAACAGCAGAATTTATGTAAATAACTTGCAAAGAGCTTGCCCTTCAGCAGAAGAAACGTTGCAGCCGGGTGAATCAACAAATGAAACTTTCGAGCTGGAATTGTGGAAGTGTCAAGCACTGTTCTCTCGCTACAGAGTTACAAGAGCCCCCGTTACATACCTCCGTACCAAGGTTCGCGCCGCGTCGGGCTTTGCATGCCCCTTAAAAACCATAGCCATGTATAATCATAACCCGAACAATGACATCATCCTGGCGCAATACAATGTGGACCTGGTACAAAAAATGCGCGTCTGAGAACCCACAAGCATAATAAAAATAACGGGGAAGGCCGGGCTTTGCAAAGAAGAGGTTTGGAGGGGCCGCGTTTTCCATTTAGTTTGGGCTGATGGTTCTAGTTTCATTTAACCCGCTTTTCCATCTAGTTTGGGTTGGTGGCTTGGAGGGCCGGTTTTGCATTCGTTTGGGTTGCTGGTTGGAGGGGGCAATTGTTTCATTTAGTTTGGGTTGGTAGTTTGGAGGGGGCCGCTGTTTTCATTTGGTTTGGGTTGCTGGTTTGGAGGGGCCGCTTGTTTCATTTAGTTTTTGGGTTGTTTGTGTGGAGGGGCCGCTTGTTCTATTTACTTTTGCTTGGTGGTTCCAGTTTCACTTAATTTTCGTTGGTGGTTTGGTCGGAGGGGTCCGCTTTTCCATTTGCTGGTTTGGAGAGGCCGTTTTTGACATTATGTTTGGGTTGGTAGTTTGGAGGGGGCAGTTTTTTCCATTTAGTTTGGGTTGCTGGTTTGGAGTTTGGAGGGGCCGTTTGTTTCATTTAGTTTGGGTTGGTAGTTTGGAGGGGCCGCTGTTTTAATTTAGTTTTGGTTGCTGGTTTGGAGGGGCCGCTTGTTTCATTTAGTTTCGTTTGGTTGCGTGGAGGGGCCGTTTTTTCTATTCGGTTTGGGTTGGTAGTTTGGAGGGGGCCGTGTTTTCCATTAGTTTGGGTTGCTGGCTTGGTTGGGTTGATTATTTGTTCCAATTAGTTTGGGTTGATGGTTCTAGTTTCATTTAATTTGTCTTGGTGGTTTGGAGGGGGCCGCTTTTCCATTTACTGTAGTTTGGGTTGGTGGTTTGGAGGGGCCGGTTTTCTATTATAAGGTTTGGTTGCTGGTTTGGAGGGGCCGCTTGTTTCATTGAGTTTGGGTTGGTTGTTTGGAGGGGCCGCTTGTTTCATTTAGTTTTGGTTGGTTGTTTGGAGGGGCCGCTTGTTTCATTTAGTTTAGGTTGGTGGACAGTTACGCACGTTGGGTCGCTCAATTCATGCTTCTTTACTTGCGAATTTTGGAAGAAACCAACTAGGTCAACATCCAGGGCCCCTCGAATCTGAGTTCCTGGGCTGGGGAGATTGAAAGACCGACAAAAGGGTCAAAAACCCGGGTTGTGAAATCCTAGTTCCTGATTTGGGGAGACCAACAAAATTCAAAACGCTGAAAATCCCGGGTCCCCTAAAGTGATGTGTCTTTAATTGGGGAGTTCAAAAAGTTCAAAATCCCGGGTCCCCAAAGTGATGTTCCGCCGGGTGTTTCTTTACTTGGGGAGTTCAAAATCCCGGGTCCCGAAAGTGATGTTTCTTTACTAGGGGAGTTCAAAAAGTTCAAACCCCACAGTGATGTTTCTTTACTTGGGGAATTCAACAAGTTCAAAATCCTGGGTCCCCAACGTGATGTTTCCGTACTTGGAGAGTTCAAACAATTCAAAAATTTAAAATCCCGGGTCCCAATAATGATGTTTCTTTACACGGGGAGTTCAAACAGTTCAAATGCCGTTTTTTTGCGCAGTTGGAGGGCCTGTCACTGGCCTGCTTGGTTGGGCTCCTGCTTTGCATGAAGTGGGGTTTCCTAGGGAGGGTCCGGGGCCCTCCCTCCTGAAAGGACCCGCCTGCTTGTCGGATACGGGGCCTTGTGGGCCCCTAGTGCAATACGGACGGGATCAATGGATCGCTGATCGACCAAAATGGCCTCGAATCACACCTCCCCTATCCGACGGTTATCCGACGGCTATCCGACGGCTATCCGACGGTTATCCGACGGTTATCCGACGGTTATCCGACGGTATCCGACGGTATCCGACGCCGGGCCCTCGTAGACCCTCAGTTTTGGGGGCCCCGGCCCAATTATCCGACGGTTATCCGACGGCTATCCGACGGCCATCCGACGGTTATCCGACGGCTATCCGACGGCCATCCGACGGTTATCCGACGGCTATCCGACGGCCATCCGACGGTTATCCGACGGTATCCGATCCGAAGCTTGTTTGCAGCCCAAAGGCCCCCACCAAAAAACCAGCCCGAAACCTCCTACGACCGCGAGGGCCCGCGAGGGCCCAAGGGCCCGAAACATGAGTTGGGAGCGTCTGGGAGTAGAGTTTCTATTTTGTTTTTTGTGTGTGGCTGCCATGCTTTTTGTGCAGTTGGATTTTTTCTAGGCCTGTCACTGGCCTGCTTGGTCGGGCTGCTGATTCTCTTGAAGTGGGATGTTTGTAGTAGGGCTGTGTGGATGTCGCTTTCTTGGCGCAGTTGCTTTTCTTCAGGGCCTGTCGCTGGCCTGCTTGGTCCGGCTGTGGCCTGCATGGCCCGCCTGATGACCCGCATGTCCTGCCCACCGCCCACCGCCCACCGCCCACCGCCCACCGCCCTGCGTGAGGCAACAGCTCTTCGCAAGCAAGATTGCCAACAACATCTGCAGAAAACAGGCCGGCAAAGACAACAACCAAATTAGAAACCAGAAAAAAAACTTTGCGAAAAGCAGCAGCCCAACCAAGCAGGCCAGCGACAGACCCTGAACAAACAAACGGCAGCCGCGGACAACAAGCAATTCAACTCTTACTTAAAAATAAAAATCCAACTTTACGAAAAACAGCAGACCAGGCAGGCCAGTGACAGGCCCTGAACAAAATCCAACTGCGCAATAACAAAAAATTGCAGCCACACACAACAAACAAAGCAGCAGCTTACTAAAAAACAAGACCGCGAAAAGCAGCAGCCCGACCAAGCAGGCCAGCGACAGGCCCTGAAACAAAAACAACTGCACCAAAAAAGCGGCATCCACACACAAAAAGCAAATTAGAAGCCCTACTACAAAAATCCCACTTCACGAAAATTAGCAGCCTGACTAAGCAGGCCAGTGACAGCATGCACAAAAAGCATGGCAGCCACGCACAACAAGCAAATTGGAAGCTCTACTAAATAAATCCAACTTCACGAAAAGCAGCAGCCCAAGCAAGCAGGCCAGTGACAGGCCCTGAGCAAAAATCCAACTGCACAAAACACATGGCAGCCACACACAACAAGCAAATTAGAAGCTTTACTAAACAAATCCAACTTCACGAAAAGCGATGAAAAGCAGCAGCCCGACCAAGCAAGCCAGTGACAGGCCCCTATAAAAACAACACAAAAAAGAACGCGGCAGCCACACGCAACAAGCAAACTAGAAGCTCTCGGGAAAAATCCCACTTCACAAAAAGCAGCAGGCCGACCAAGCAGGCCAGTGACAGGCCCTGAACAAAATCCAACTGCACCAAAAAAGTGGCATTCAAACACAACAAGCAAATTCGAAGCCCTACAACAAATCCCACTTTGCTAAAATCACCAGCCCGACCGAGCAGGCCAGTGCCAGGCCCTGAAACAAATCCAACTTCACCAAAAAACGGAAGCCACAGACAGCAAGCAAAAAACAACAATCTCGAAGCAGCAGGCCGACCAAGCAGGCCAGTGACAGGCCCTGAAGAAAAACCCAACTGAGAAACAAAGCGGCAGCCACAAAGAAACCCAATGGAAACAAAACACTTCACGAAAAGCAGCAGGCAGACCAAGCAAGCCAGTGACAGGCCTTGAAAAGAACCAACTGCACAACAACCAAAAAAAAACGCCAGCCACACAGAACAAGCAAACTAGAAGCCCTTCGGAAAAATATTGCTTCACGAAAAGTAGCAGCCGGACCAAGCAGGCCAGCGACAGGCCCTGAAGAAAAGCAACTGCGCCAAGAAAGCGACATCCACACAGCCCTACTACAAACATCCCACTTCAAGAGAATCAGCAGCCCGACCAAGCAGGCCAGTGACAGGGTTAGAAAAAATCCAACTGCACAAAAAGCATGGCAACCACACACAGCGAACAAAATAGAAACTCTACTCCCAGACGCTCCCAACTCATGTTTCGGGCCCTTGGGCCCTCGCGGGCCCTCGCGGTCGTAGGAGGTTTCGGGCTGTTTTTTTGTTGGGGGCCTTTGGGCTGCAAACAAGCTTCGGATTACCATCGGATATCCGTCGGATAACCGTCGGATGGCCGTCGGATAGCCGTCGGATAACCGTCGGATAATTGGGCCGGGGCCCCCAAAACTGAGTGTCTACGAGGGCCCGGCGTCGGATAACCGTCGGATAGTAATGCTAGGGGAGGTGTGATTCGAGGCCATTTTGGATCCATCCATCCCGTCCGGATTGCACTGGGGGCCCACGGCCCCGTATCCGACAAACAGGCCGGTCCCTCCCTAGGAGGGCCCCGGACCCTCCCTAGGAGGGCCCAGGAGCCTCTGGGCGGGTATTATAGGTGTCCTTTTTGGTTGTTTTGGTAGGAACATCATCTACCAGGGAAACCCATCTATTTTCCATAAAAGGACGCCTATCTGAGCTGTTTCGATGCGAGGAGTTCAAGGACGCCATCGCCTCGTTGTCCCCGGAGCAGCAGAAGTTCGCCAAGGCCTTCCGCGCCATGCAGCTGGAGACTTGGAAGCAGATGGATCCGGCGGCCTTCCGGCAACAGGTGGCAACGGGTGGCTGGCAGCGGGGTAAAAACAGGCCTTCACTCTTCTTGGCATTTTTTTTGGGGGGGGAGGGCTTCTTTTCATATTGCTGAGGGGGGGGTTGAGTTGTAGAGCCTAGGGGTTGGAAGCACACATTGTCAGATTTAGCCCATGTTGGATTGATGGCGTTAGCCTAGGTAGTAGTGTGGCCAGATAGGCACCCAACAACCGACCCATGGACCCATGACCATGTTGCTCCTTCGGTTGCATTGCTTGGTTAAGCTGTAGCCGGTGTAGCCGGTTCGCACAGAAGCGGATGGAGTTCTAAATATGTTTGTCCCGAACCCGGACCTCCAGATCCCATTGAAAGTTAAGCACAAGAAGGGAGGGGTGCAGTGGACGCTGGACTGGGCCAAGCACCGTTTCAGTCAAACGTGGCCTTTTGGCGTATGACCAAGTTGAGCTTTTTTATCTTCGGGGTGTGTCTAGCTTGGTCAGACGAGGGGGAATGCTGGTATGTTGGTTTCCCTTGCTTTTTTAAAGCGGGTGGGCTGGGGTACAGGGTCTTGTTTGGGCCCTTACTTGAGTCACCAAGACCTGGTTGATCTGGGCCTGTCCGAACCCAAAGGTCACAGGCCAACGGACGGATATGGGTATGTCTTCAAATAGGGGACCCTCCCAGCACTATCATTGTATACATTGTTTTTTGCGTGTTATCATTGGCTTGTCTACTTGTCAAATATTCACCCCTGATTCACCAACTTCTGTTGTCAATCAGGAGCGACCCCTTAAGTAACCAGCAATCCATTTGTTTCTTCCTCACACTTTTCCTTGGAAGATGAAGGGGCAAACATCACATTTGATGTGTGTGTGTGTTGCCATCGAAAGGGGTTTCTTCTACATGGTAAAATGTTTATGGGGAAGTTTCAGGACCTCTGATAGGAATCATCACGAGGAAGCTGATTTTCCAGCGGTGCACTTGTTCCTTTTCTGGGGCAGGTTTTTTTTCAACATGGCACCTCAGGGCCTCAGGGCGGTGCTTTTGGCTGGACCGTAGGAGTCTTGGCGGTTTGGAAGTGGCTTCGGCGTGAGGAAAGCACTCTCTTCGGCGTCTTGGTGGTTCAGATCAAGCCGCAACTGGAGAAACTGCTGAACCTGCATGATGACAGCCTCACCAAGGAGACAGCTAAGCAGCAAGAGAACGGAACCCAGGATTAATAACCCTGGTCAATTCATAGGGCGCTCCCATATCAAGAGGGACACATTCAATTCCGTGGAAGTACAACTTAGTCCACCAGCTTGATTCATCCTGGGTGCTTCCACTACCCACTCTCCCAAACACATTGCTGCTCACCAACACACAAAGGGCTATTCACGTCCAATCGACTTACCTTTTGGTGTTCTGTTTTTGTTGGTCTGCTTTGAAATTTCCTCGGTGCCCTTTGGGTCTACTTGGAGTCGATCACATTGAATCTTGCACTCGCACATCCAATATCATCAACTATGAATGCACCCTATCTGGCCTTGTTTTTTTTTGTGGACTTGGCAACCAGAAAGGATGTCACTTCTCTGTTGTTGTTGACGGTATATGCGAAAGCACCCCCTTTCCACCTCAAAACCTCCTGTCAACTCATCAACCAAGTGGGCCGGGCTGGCGAGGAGATCAAGCTGACCCAAGATCTGATGGAACTCTTCCTCAAGTACCAGAGCCTCGCTAAAGAGGGCAACTGCAGAAATGTGAAGTTGCTCAGTGGATGCCATGTGTTTGGACTCCGTCTTGATCTTTGAGTCATTCATGGCGCCCGGCTGTTTGACTAGATTCCGCGCCCGCTGAGTACCAAGTTGTTTGGGTGGGTTCCCCATGAAAATGGAATAGGCGCCCCGAAAAGGTTCCTAATCGTTTGTCTAACTGGGATGTATTCGATTGTTTAAGCTCCACCAAGTTAAGCGTGTTCAGATTCTAGCAAGTGAGGGGAATGGCCAGAAAAAAGTTGCGCTCTTCAAGCTCAAAGGGATTACGGTCAATTTGGATCCGGGAAGCCCTTTATTATTATAAATATAAAGCGGTGTGACAATTGACCGTCCCGCGCCTGCCACACAAACCGCGCTTGAACTCGATCCGAGGGGTTGCTACCAAACCGTGTGGATCACCTGCGGGTCGAGTTTCCAACTCCGTTTTGCGTGGCGGGAGTGGGAGGGTCAATTCTCACCCGCTTTCAAATTTAAGAGATTTAAAGGTTTTGGAGTGCAAAATGCCCAGCAACACCTTGCAGGATTCTAGGTGGAAGGGTTGTGTTCTCTGACAAGGCCCAAAAAACGCAACTTTTGTCCTGGCAGTGTACATGGCCTTGGGGCCTAAAGGCAGGGCTGCTTGAACTCAATGCAACACCCCTTCCGTAACGCATAGCCGGACAAAAGTTGCGCTTCTTGCAGTTCAACTCGGTTACGGTCAATTTGGATGCGGGAAGCCTTGTGCAGCTTTAAAACGGTGCGGCAATTGACTGTCCCACACCGGCCCCACAAACCGTACTTGTTAGTTCGATCCGCGGCAGACCGGGTATTGTCTTTTCAACACAGATCAGAAGCATAATCTTTGTCTGACTGAGGAAACATAATTTTGTGGAACTCGCGGCTCCTTTCAATCATGTGGCTGCGGACAGGGGAAGAAAGTTTATACCTCTTGCTGGCTTTGTAGATCACTTGCGGATCGAGTTTTCATCTCCGCTTGCGGGGCAGGAGTGGGACGGTCAATTTTTCTCCGCTCTTAACACTAAAAGACTTTAAAGGTTTTGAGGTGTAAAGTCCGACTGCGAATGCGCAACACCTTGCGGGTTGTGTTCTCTGAGAAGGCCCAAGAGGCGCCTTTTGTCCTGGCAGTGTGTTACGGGAGAGGGGGCGATTCTTTTTTTTCAATGTCTGCTGTGTACATTGGCACTTGGGGACTGGTGCCAGGCCTGCTTGAACTCAATGCAACACCCCTGCCGTAACGGATACGGTCAATTTGGATCCGGGAATCCTTCTACTACTATAAATTCAAAACAGTGTGACAACTGACCGTCCCATGCCTGCCACACGAACCGTACTTGTTAGTTCGATCCGCGGCTGACCGGGTATTGTCTTTTCAAAAGAGCTCAGAAGCATAATCCTTGTCTGACTGAAGGTCGAGTTTCCAACTCCGTTTTGCGTGGCGGGAGTGGGAGGGTCAATTCTCACGCGCTTTTAAACTTAAAAGACGTTGAAGCTTGCAGGGTTCTAAGGGGAAGGGTTGTGCTCTCTGAGAAGGCCCAGGAGGCGCAACTTTTGTCCTGGCAGCGTGTTACGGGAGGGATGTTGGGTGACAGGCTGTCGTTGTGGCGGTTGTTTTTTAAACCAAAAATGGGCCCCGAGGTCTGGCAGCAAGAGGTTTGGCGCTGACGCCTTTAAAGAAAGAAAGAAAATGCTCCAAATGTATTGCTAATGGACACATGTGTCCGCAGTAGTTTGGCAGTAGTTTGGAAGCAACTACTGCGAAGCTACTGCGCTGGAGATAATTCCGCAGTAGTTTGACAGCGGTTTGGAAGTAATTACTGCGAAACTACTGCACCCTGGCCAACAAAGTTTTGGAGGAATTTAGCCGCAGTTTGGCAATAATGACTTCTAAACTGTTGCGGCAATTCGGAAACCAGCAGTTGCAAATGCTGATGGGCCAGGAAAAAACGGCCAGCAGCTGCCACGGAATCTACCGGTGACTCAAAATTTGCTGCGTTTGTGGCTGACACCTTTCAAAATTAGCAAAGCTGACCCCAGAGATCCTGCAGCAAGAGCTTGGGGCTGACACCTTCCAAAAAACGAACTGGCTCTTACCCCCCAGCCCAATTAAAAAGGAATCCCAACGTGGGACTCCCTGAAAGGATTCTCCTCTAAGCATGTTGTTCGTTTTGGGCATTATGTGAGTCAGTTTGTTTCATCTTGCTCCTAGTGCGAGGGGGTCCCCAACCTGTTGGGCCGCAACTTGGAAGCGGACAAAAACAGGTGAGCTCCGTCCAAAACCTCCGTGCACATGTTTAGTGAGAGTCGAGTCATATCGACTTGAGGTTGCGTAAGCTGGCGAAGTAAGCAAAAACTTCCACATGTGGTCGCGTAAGGAAACACTCCACGCGCGTAAGGTTGCGTAGATGGCGTAAGCTAGTGGTGTAAGCAAACTGATACGACGTAGCAAATCACGACAGGTTTGCGTTGGATAGTTGCAAGTGAGGATCCCCAGCGACCTGCTGTCCTTCAGCGAAGATTCGCCTGAATTGAAGACGGCTCCGGCCACCGCGCGCTTGGCTGCGGTGAAGGGCCATGTGACCCGGATGGATGGACCTGGATATGATAAAATCCGCCTTTTTCATGATGAGCTCGCCAAGGTTCGGGTTCTGTACATGGGGGTCCCTTGTTAGGTCCCCCTCTCGGGTAAACACGAATTCTTAGGAGGACCCGACTTTTGAAAGCCTTCCAACATGGCTCCCGTGGGCATTCTCCGGCAACGGGCGAACCGAACATGGAAAATCAAATGCGCAAGAGGGAGGAGCAGAGGAGTTTTTTGTGTGCAAGACGCCGCCTTTGTTGGGTCCTTGCATTGTGTCCTGGTCACGAAAAGGGGCACGGGCCCCGTGGTAGGCTTGCATTTCTTAGTGTAACGCCAGCCCTTTGTTCAAACTTTGCGGTTATTCAAACTTCATGTTAGATGTTAGATTTTCGGTTTCCCAGTCCCGGTTAGGTCTCGAATGTTTCTTGGGGCTTCGCCCCATAACGATTGTTGGGGGTTCAAGGTGGAGACAGCACCACGAGACCAGTTTTTTCGGCACTTGCATCAAATCGATTTGAACGGCTGTGCCACGGCCTGAGGTGAAGAACATGTATGACATGATCAACCAGGAGCCTAACCCATTTGTTCCTTTGCCGGACCCGGGAAGTCACGGAAGTCGATGAGGCTGTTGGAAAGTTGCCCGAGCCAGCGGCAGACTTGCCCGGGGCGCCGAAGTCTTTCCGCTTGAAAGTTCCCGGTCCAGTGGCTCAGTTCGGCTGAACTTAGCTAAGGCTTCGAGGCTCTAGACTTGGGGGGTAGCCGCCGTTTCCCCAGGTCTTGCTCATGGCGTTGATCGGGCGTCTTTCTTACCACAGTGTTCCAGACTTAAATCATGGACCCATTGTGAGACATAGGAACCATGTCAGGTTTTTAGACATCCGATGAGACAAATCGGACGTTTGTCGTCACCTTTATGCCACGAGTCACTTGCCATTCCCGGCATGCTCACAGGGCTGATCTTTAGTCAACTTTAGTCATTCGACATCGGCCAAGCCTCAAGGTATGCTACAGCCTCCGTGGATCCAACTTAGGCAGAGTGCCGGACGAGCAATGCGCTGAGTTTTCAGAAGCAGCCAGGACAAACCATGATCACCTTTTTCCCAACAAAAATGGAATTGGATAGCGGGCTTCCTAAGAGGAACGCCAGTGACATTCCTGGGCTCTCCAAACCTATGTAAGTCCAAATATATGAAGCAGGCTTATAAGATATGTTGGGTGTACCCCACCCCACCCCACCAAAAAAAACAGAACAAAAAAGACAAAACTGAAAAAAAGAGGAAACGCGTTAGGCCAAGATTGTCATTTTGGGGTATGGCAGGAGAAGGAGCAGGAGATCGCCGACAAGAAGCAGCAGGCGCTTTTCCAGAACCCCTTGCAGGTGGAGACGCACCTTCAGAGCCTCGTGCTGTGCGAAGTCGCTTGGCTGATTGGTTCCTGGCAGTGCTGCCAATGGCCTATGGAGGGTCCAATGATGTGAAAAGGGTGCGCCAATTTTTCGGGAACACTGAACAGCGCCAGTTTTTCGGGAACACTGAACATCCGGGAGAAGCATGGAGAAAAAGAGTGGACACTACAAAAAATGATAATCTACAGCGAGAGAATGAACGCACAACGTCAAGTCTGGTGTGTTGGTGTGTGTGTGTGTGTGGGTTGGTTTTGGGGGGGGAGACGAGGTCCCGTTCAACGAGGGAAACCCGAGAGGGCACCCTGAGGTATTCTTTCTTAATGAGGTGCCCCCGCAGAGGGCATCTCTAGTCTGCACTTTGAATAGGCGCCAGGCGCTTGTGTGGGGGTCTTGGCGAAAGACGAGCTTTTCCATTTTTTCATCTACCAGTCGTCGCTAAGGCTGACTCGGGGTTATGGGGACCCTCAAATGGGTGTTTTGCTGTGGACCTCCCCAAATGAAACCGGATTGATGGTTTCCTTTCGACACTGCCCTGGGTGTTCCCCAAAAAAGGGACACCCATTTACAGCTCAAACGCGCCCATAAACCCTATACACCCGGAAGCCCGTGTGTTTTGTTTTGGGGGCGCCCTTTGCTTGCTGGCTCCCAAAGATTGAGCAACCCAGAAAGAGGTGTACAGCAGTTCACCTGTTGGTTTTTATGCGCTCAGCCAAACACAAAGCAACATCCAGGCGCTTTTCGAAGCTCGAGCTTCCACTATAACGACGTGAGGCGAGAGTTGGTGAAACAAAAAAACCTCTGCCGTCCGGAAGGCGCGGGGAGACGCCAACTTTGGAGCCCAAAGGGTTCGAAGCTTGCGGACAACTGCTACAACATGATCCTAGCTCAGACACCAATGAGAAAATTCTCGGAAGGGAGCAAGAAGAGAAGTCGAGAGGCAAGAGGAGTAGGGCGGGGAGTAGGGCTGACCAGGAGCAAGGCGGTGTACGGGGGCTTCGGAGCCGCGTGGTCTGTCTCAAATCGGGCGGGAGGGGGGGGTGGACAAAAGAGTCGGTGCTTCCGCTTAGGTTCCGGTGGATTCCCTAAATATTGCAAGTAAACCAAGCACAAGCCATTGGAACTTACAGGCTTTGCCTTGTTCTCTACATGGGTGTGGGTCAAAATTAAGCCACCAGGAGACCGCAGGTTGTAGTCCAAGTTTCCATTTACCAGGGTTCCATTTTGGGGTAAACTCATTTTTGACCCACAGCCACATGCAATACTTCGGTTGCATCCACCGTTTTTTGGGTGTCAACCCATCAACCCAGGAGGACGCTGCACCTGCCAGGCGATCCGTGAAGCAGCGGAGGCTCGGCTTGGGAATTGGGGGAAATTTTTGACTCCCGGTCTTGGCTCCAGTGACGACATTTGCCTATGTAGTAGCTAAAGGGATCCATCCTCAAAACAGAGAATAGACAATGGCTGGTTACCTACGAATGGATAGAGGTAACTGGGATCCCCTTAGCTGTGCCCTTCTTTTTCGTTTTTGGAGGGGCCTTGTGTCTCCCATGCTTCTTTAACCCGGCCATGGAGGATGTGTGGGCACAAGTTGAGCCATCAGGGGGCCGCAGTTTTTTGGTCCGTTTTCCTTTTGCCTGGATTCCATTTTGGGAAAACTAATTGTTGACCCACGGCCATGTCACTTTCCGTTGAACCTGGTTTTGGGGATAGGCCGTTTCGGTATGGGAACCCACCTGCATGGTTCAGCTCGGGATCATCGCCTCATGCTGAGAACGAGCAAGAGTTGCAGCCGGGTACCCGCAACGAATGTGTTTGCTATATAATATCTCTAGTAGTTGCAGAAGTTCCTGCAGCTATACCAGTTTTCAGGACTAGAAAATCAGTTAAATCATTTTTGAGGCTGACGCAAGCTAAAAGCAAGCTTTTGTTTACTGTTTTAACTGTTTTAGCTAGCTGGGACAACGGGTTGTTGCTGTATGCATATAGATATAGAATGGTTCACGCGGGTGTGCCACACATGACGAGACACTATTATTTAAATATGTTCCATTGAAGCGCTTTGGGTGCCTGGCGCGGCCAGCACCTGCCATCCCGGCAATTCAACCCAGTCAAAGATCTCGCCAGCCACTGCTGCTCATTTGCTTCCAGATTTCTCAACTGCTCATTTGCTCCCTTTGTGTCCAGTTTGGCTTGCCCACGCATGTAGGAAATATTGGAAGGCCAATGCACTTAATGCTATTCACACAGTTCAGAATGCATGTCTATCATAGATGTATACAGCACGGTCCAGCTGAACTCGTGGTTGCTTCCTTTTTGCGTGCCATGATCTACTGGGGCGCTTTTCCCAGGCCAGATCTGCAGGTCCCTCCACGCGAAAGGGCTCTTTTCATTCAAGGACGTTCCTCACAAAGACTTGAGCGCCGATTCGTGCAGATGTCGTGTCTCCTTCAACAAGTAGCTCTCTGACAGAAACTGCAAGTCACTTGTAGCATCGGTGTCACCGGCGCGCCGATCCGAGTGCCCGCGCCGCCCCAGCGCCGCCGCCTGTGCCGTCCCCGCCGGCCGCGGCCAGCGGCGCGGCGCCTCCTGCGCCGCAGTCCGCAAAGCCGGCGCCGAAGCCGGCAGAGCCGAAGGCGGAGCCGCAGGTGCCAAAGGAAAGCCAGGCAGGGGCATGGGTGTCCTTTGGTTAAAAAAGGATGGCTTCCGCTGGTTTAGGTTTTTTCCGTTTACCAGGGCCATTTCTTCTCCCAGGAGGTCATCCATGCGGGTTCAGAAGAAGTTTGTTTTGCGGTTAAAGGGGTGTGCTGTAGCTTTGGGGGATGAATGCAAATGCCCTGGTTTAAGATCGTTTTGCTTGCGATTCAAATGCGTGGCCATAAGGATCCACGAAGAGAAATCACCTATGTGGGGAGGTTCACCTTTCAGAAACCAACGCCTGCGCCTGTGTTGAATGCTGGATTCAAACCGCAAGATGGATCTTTGAACCTGCATGGCTTTATTGGCAAATGTTGGCTAGGTACATGGTGGTTTTAATTGCCCTCGAGTGTGGTGCCAGTGCTTGAAAAGCTTCCTAATGGCAAACCAAGATGCCACATTTGAGCTTTCTTGTGGCAAGTGGGAGCCGACTGAAACAGAATTGTAAGGATGGGGGCAGGTGCTACTTCCGCAATGCTTTCCTGAACTTTTTTCACCCACCCCCTGTAAGATTTTGCCATGGGAAGCGCTCCCAATCCTATCACAGGATCTGTTTTAGTTTCAACCCTCCCCCAAACTGTAAATGGCTTAAGCATCCTTGGTCAATTAAGTGGAGTGCCAGAGTTTGCGTGTTGGCCCTTTATTCGCTGTAGCTGGTCTGTTGATTTGTCCCACAAGGGGGGGTCAAAAAAACATTCCCACACTGGATCCTGGCATATGCCTGTGTGCAAAAAAGCGCAGGCCGGCGGTGGAAGCGGAAGCAGTGGCACCTGCACGACGCGGGACTATACACAGGCCATTGAGCATTGATTTGGGGCTTCCAAGAGTTAAGAGTTGGAAAAGGACATCATGGACGTCCTTTGCCTTGCTTCCCCAACACCACTTCCTGAGTTCCCGAACTTTGCACTTTGCGTTGCACTTAAAAGGTTTGGACTTTGTTTTGGCTAATTCACGCAAGAAGTGAGAGCATGCAGGGGCATTCTTGTTTGTTTTGCGCCTCCTATTCTAGGAAATGCTTAGGCGCTGGGCCCCAAACGTTCCCTGCCCTATCCTGCGTGCAGGTTTTGCTTGGCACCCCGGCAAGTATACAGGGAGATTCCCTTTCGACGCACCTTCCAAGCGGGGCCCATGTCCATCTGAGTAACTTCTTCGCCTCGAAGGGCAGCGCGCTCGCCGAGTTACGTGGTGGGTCCGTCGAAGTCAATGGAAGGCTTTCAGCGGGCCCCCAACACACTCGGTCGAAAGAGCGGAGACGCCAGTTCCTTGCGCTGTTTGTTGAACTTCCACTCCAGGCGTTACACTCAAGTCAGTTTTGGGGGCAATCAGCGTTTTTACTGGCAAAGGAAAGGGTGTTCCTGGATTGATTCTAGGGTGCAATTCGTTTTGGGAACAAAGAACCTGGTGGAGGACTCCCCCCCCTCCCAAATAAAGCACTCGCTTGTTGGGTTGGGATTCGCTGGCCATTTTGGACATCGCCAGTCTCAGCAAGTAGCTTTGCGCTTGATGACTACTACGGTTTCTGCTCCATTGGCAGCAGCCCAAATGGCGGATTCATTTCCCACACAATCCCTCAATGGAGTGCCTTCAAACAAGTCAGGAAAGAGTCACGCCTGCAACTTCGAAAGGGTACATGTTTTGCTGCCTTTTGGTGAAAAGAACATTGTTGGTCTGCAGTTTGGTGTCTTGCCGCAGAAATGCAGTTTCGGGAAATGCGTCATGAAACGTTGGTCGTTGCTTGGGAGCATGTTGCCATTTGAACGGCACGAGTTGGCGCTTGTGTGGGTCAAACCTTTCTGCCGATTTTGCGCAAACCTACAAGAATTGTTTTCTCAAATCAGCGTCGTCTTAATTAATGCAACATTGTGTTTCTGACCAAGCAGCACAAACAAGTGCAGGAATTTGCATTGGCAATGGCAGGTTTGTCAGTTCCTACGATGCCCCTAAACCAAAAATTAAAGGATTCGGCCAGTGGCACAAACATGCTTAATGTCAACTTCTGGAGGATCCTAGTCGCCTCTAGTCGCAACCCGCCAAAACTACCCGTGCAGTCCTTGAATTTCTGAAGTTGTACAATCCTTCCACTTGCCGCCGAGCTTGTGATGGCTGGATCGCCTCGCCAGAGCCAAACACGTGCATTTTGTGGACCTACCAGCTTTTTGTGTTTTGTTTTTGCTGGCGAGGGAGGGCGACGGAAAAGCCAAAACAATTGAATGGCTGATGGAACCTCACCTCCTTGGATGTGTTGGACACTATTTTTTGTTGTTGGTATATGATTAATGTTATTTGTTTTGCTTTTCGGTTTCATGTCCAGTGGGCTAACGGGCTGCTGCAAATATTTTCCGCCAACGAAAGTTCAGTTCCAAGACGTCAGGACTCGGTTCGGGCAGCTCATCACTGAAACAAGTTCCAAAGCATCCCCAACCATCCTGCTTGCAACCTTAGCTTGGACCTGGATGCTCTTGGACCGGTTCCTTTGCAAGAAGCCTGAGCCTGGTCAACTCTTCAAGCCTTCACTGTAGTTCCTGGATACGTTAAACAAGCCAAAAGGTGTGACTTCGAAGGGACCGCCCTGACCTCAGACTGACGCATTCGAACACGCGCCCCGCTCCTCTGCATCCGGCCATCCGGCCATCCGGCCGGATCGGTGGATCGATTGAGACAATCAGGTGCCGCAGGAGATGGACTCCCAATTCGAGAAGTTGGACCCGGACAGCGCGTTGCGGCCCACCATCATCAACGTGGGCGGCCTGCCTAAGGTCTCCAACGGAACCGGGAACGCGAGTAAAACCGCATGGGCGAGAAACACAAAAAAAGCCAGACCTGGTGGCCTTTTTCCTTCACGCTTTTTGGGAATCACTGGGGAGGACTACGTGAACCATATTCAAACTTTGTTGGCCTTGGGTGATGTCAGAATCCAAGTGGAGATTCGGCTCAAAGAAAAGTTCCTGAGAAGTCTAGAACTTAACACTAGTGAACGCATCCTTCCGGTTGGCTTCTGCTCCTGGCTCTGGTCAAAATGCAGGGGAGTGAGCAAGCAGGGGACTCGAATTCGGCGCGAAGGGGGCGACCGGAAACTTTGCTTGCTTACGGAACAGGTCATGACTGGTGCACGGAACCCACCAAAGGGTCCCAAGCTTTTGGCTTCGAGTCTCGTCCCACTCGGCCCCGGCCTTCAGCGCTTGCCTTCGAGGCAGCGCTTGGAAGAAGCGCTCGCAGAAGGCGTTGCTGGCCGAGCCCAAGGAGTCGGGCCTCGACAGTGACGAGCAGAAGCGCGAGAAGGCCGCGGCGAGGGAATCCGAAACATATTCGAAGCGGCCGGCGGATCGTTTTTTTTTTCTTCCCCTTTTCGGGGCCACTTGGAGTAAAGGTCCCCGAACGGTATTACCCTCTCTCCGAATCAATAGCATGCGATGGCACCTGACAGGGAGTCGATCCTTTGAGAGGAAACTGAGCTTCCAGGTACCTCCCCATAGGTGCTATGTTAGTGGATGGGAGGGTCGCCTCTTTGATTTCCAGGTCCTTTCTGCAGCTGAAATTTGCTCTCGCTCCTCCAGTGGGTTGCTGCTTTTTGTTGGCTCGCCTTACCGGCGGCCTTTGGCAGCCTGTCTCCACCATGGTCATATGAGAACTTCGCGCAAAGACGGGCCTCCTGGGAACTGGTAGTTCTTGTCACAGACTCACTTCCCGACTTCCTGGACTTCCAGCTTTTTGGGAAGACCGCTAGGTCCCCCAGTAGTGCTCTTTTACCCTTTTTGTGGGCAGGGTTCCCCTACTGAAATAGACTACAGAAAGAAAAAAGGTAACCCTTATTTTAACCTCTCTGCTGGAGGACCTAGACCATGTCAGTAGCAAACAGTCTGGACTTGTTCTACTTCCAGTCCACTCTGGAAGTGAGTACATAGGTGCATCCCATCAGGCCAAAAAGCGTCCGACATGCGGAGAACTCAGCTGAGATTAGAGCCCGGCAAACGGGCCAATCCGCAAAGGGGGATTCCTCATCTTTGGGTGTGGGTTCGGTTCTTTTTTCAATTGACGAGTGCAGTTTGCCCAGAGGGTACATGATGTCAACACTAGCCGCCCCTCTGGACGGTTTGTTTCATGTTGGTTGCATTTTTGCCAAGCGCCGCCCAGAGAAGAAATCCTTCCCTAACTGTTGGAAATGGGGCCCTTTGGCGGGGTTCACACTGTGGATGGACACAATCCCTTTCGCACCAGTTGGGATGGATGAAGACCAAACAAATACTGGGAGAAACCAACTGATGAACAAAATCGCTTTCGCAGCAGTTGGGATGGATGAAGCCCTATAAATACTGGGGGAAACCACCTATCAACTGGTGCGAAGTGGATTTCGAGGACCCATCAGTAGCACCCCTAGCCTCGGACCCCAAAGGTGCTCACAGCTTCCGATCAGGATGCAGCCTTCGACCTGCTGGATGCCATCACAAAGTGTCGACCTCGGTCAGGGAAGCCATGCCATGCCCAGTCCATGCCATGTATATTCATCCGTCCATACTTTGCACGATATAATAATAGTAAGTAATATATATATATAGGAAAAAGGCGGTTTGGGCAGCTTCCAACGGCCAGCTAGTAAATAGCTGTGAAACCATGTTCTGCTTATGCTGCCGATTAGGTACAGGGCAATGGAGCAGCCTTGGTTGCTTGAGCATGTTCCTAATCGCCATCATCGTCATCATTCTCAGCATCAGCATCATCATCATCATCATCATCATCATCATCATCATCATCATCATCATCTTCATCATCATCATCATCATCATCATCATCATCATCATCATCATCTTCATCATCATCATCATCATCTTCATCATCATCATTGTCACAAGCATAACCATCACATACATAACCATTGTGTTGATCATGATCAGCATCATCATCACCCAAATCAACCTGTTGATACTCGCATGTTTGCACCATGCTTTTTTCATTATGCTTGCCTTTCTTATTGACGTACCCTTTTCCTGGTGATCATCATCGTCATCACCCCCTCCCAGCTGGCATCTCCCACCATCACCGCCTGAAGACTGAGATTTGCAGTGAGCAGGTGTTGATTCCTCGCCAGCTCAGGTCAGGCGCTTTGCCATTGAGCCACGCATCCTTGCACATCGCCCCTCAGCTTTCCAGTCGCACCCGTTTTGTGTCATGTTTTTTGCGGCCGGGTTGATGCCTTTCATTTCAGTTTCAGGTGTCGTTCGTTGCATGCCCCTCTTAGGAAGGATCAAACATTTGAAGGATTCCCTTCAACGTGTGCACGGCTTTGGCAGACAATCAAATGACATCCACAACTTTAAATTTAAACCACCAAACAAGGGCCGTCCTTTGTTTCCTTTGCCGCTGAGCCAGTGAGGTCATTGCGGCCACGCACTGCTTCGATAAAACAGTGGTGGACACTGTGGTGCAGGCCGTTGGTGTTTTTTTTCTCGCTTTTTTTTCCGTTGGCATGTCTTTGATCATCTGGCTGTGGGTCAAAACCAATGGGATCCCATTTTGGGGTAGGTGCACCACCCATGTTTAATCTATTTTAGTGGTGATTGGGATGTTCACTGGGGGTACGAGATTTTGACCCATAGTTATCTAACTCCCAATCGGTGCTTTTGTTGGCTAGTTTGGATATTAGGGCGTTTGTACATGTTTGTACACTTCCTTTGGCCTTCCTACTCGGAAGCCCTTAGTTCAGGTTGGTGCATTGATTCGTGTGCCCGGCTTTTCGATAAAATATTTGATCCGACCGAGGGGTCCAGTTTTTCCCCTTTTTCAGCCCGTTCAAACATGACTTTTTGGATTCACCTGTTGGATCGCTTTTAGATGAGTTTCCTTGTAGGTGTATGTTGGGGCCAAGTTGCTTTAGCAGGTTTGTTGTTCTATGATTCGGATGGCAAGCCAACAGTCCGAACGCCGAACTGTGATTCTCCCTGGCGGTTCCTGTGCATTCAGTGCCCTTGTTCTAGGCTTTTGTGCGGCAGGGGCAAAACAAGGGAGTGGGACCAGTTCGCGACGCAAGTCGGGGTTGTTTCAAGAGGTTTTGCTGCATGTTTGGATGTCTGGTTTTGCATTTGACGTTTTCAAGGCTCAGATTCCCATTGTATGTTTGGAAAAATAAACACATGGTAAGCCCCCCTTTTTACTTCAAAATAAATAGGGGCTCTAAGCCTCAACAAGACAGGGGGGTCATCCTTGACGCGTACTAGGTCCCCCGGTAGTGCCCTTTGACCCTTTTTGGGCGAGGGTTCCCTACTAAAATAGACTACAGGACAAACAACGGGTACCAACTTATTCTAGCCTCTCTACTGGAGGACCTCGTGTAGCGACCCCAAAAGGTTAAGCTTTTATTTCCGTGTTCTTTGGGCTGAGAGTTCCCGAGCATTTAGCAGGTTTGCTGCTCTATGATGGTCATCCTTGACGCGTAGAGGACAACGTGAACCCCATCGAGAAGGTGGAGCGCTCGACTTTGATCATGGCCTCCACGGTGCACCAGCAGCCGGTGGCCGCGCTGATGAATGAGGCAGGTGCTTCCGGTGGTTGGAATGAAGGCTGGGCAAACTTGGTACCAGGCTGGCCTCCTGTCAATGTGTTTTTTCTTTTCCGAACAGAGAGCTCTAGAAGGGTTTTCTGGAGAGAGACAAAGAGAGAGAGAGAGAGAGAGAGAGAGAGAGAGAGAGAGAGAGTGGGTGGGTGGGTGGGTGGGTGGGTGGGTGGGTGGGTGGGTGGGTGGGTGGGTGGGTGAGTGGGTGAGGGAGCGGGTGGGCGGGCGGGCGGGCGGGTGGGTGGGTGGGTGGGTGAGTGAGTGAGTGCGACAGAAGCAAAGTTTGTGACAACCGGTGAATGAGCAAAAGGGTTGGCTGCAGAAAAAAACAAGCAAGCCATACTAGGATTGTACCCCTACTTGGCCGCCCATGGCAGTCAAGGGGGTGATAAACCTGCTAACTAGGGCTTGCTGGGCTTTCACCATTTGTAGCAGATGTTGCCCCTGGTTCACCTTAATCAAGCACAAGCCAACGGGTGGCTTGAATAGGTAGTTTGGGGATTCGATCCCCAGTCCCTTTGGAACCCAACGACACCCCTTGGATGTTCAACCCACTTTGTGGTTTAGGTTATAATGTTGGTAGGAGTTAGCGCCCTTTATAACCTTGGCTATAGCCGTTGAACAACCAACCTCTAGTTCCCTTTGCAGGTCCAAGGTTGGAAACAGGGTTGGTTGCCACACATGTTTTGACAACCAGACATGTCTGAATTCCCCTTCAAAGTCATGTTTCCTTGACTGGCTGCGAGTGGGAGCATTGAGCAACACCTGTCGGATCAACCAGCCATGGGCACCCCTAGCCCCCTTCAAATCACAGCTGAAGGTTCAGATCTGGTTGCTAGAATATCTATGCCTTGTTTAGTTTGGCAAAAGCTGAAGTGGAAACCAAGGTAGGGCAAAACACGTTTCAACCAGATCATGGCCTTCTTTAACGGGAAGCCAAAAAGAGTTTCCTACAAGCAAAACTTGACCTGTGAAACAACAAATGCGGTCCCCGGATGAAGTCTCGCAGTTGATTAAAAGGGGGTGGGCCCTTTCAGTGGGGATTCATCACTTTTGGAGAGAACACGCCCAATTCATAAGACGGTCAAAATTACGCCAACTGACAGGCCATGGGTGCGACTTGCAAAAGGACCCTTTGGACATCATGAATTTCGGGGGAATTCCGTGTCCACCAACCACTTTGAAGGTGGATGCCGATTTGCTTGGGACCTCCCTGTCTTGAAACAGGGGAACCCCCCCCCATTTCAAAAAAGTGTTCTTTTGTTCTCCCGTTAAACCAAGATGACAAGGCTACACATAAATCAGACGAGTGACCCATGCGAAGTGAAAACGCGGTTGTTCCCCAGGAAGATTTACAGCCATATGTTTGAAGCAGTTGTGTCTCAAACGTGTTCAGACGTGGGTCGAATCGCACGACCAGGCCAGCCAGCAGCGGGTGTTCAACGCGTCTCCCCAGCTGTTTTTGCAGGACGCAAAGGACGCGAAGGATGAGGCGTAGTCGACTGGTCCTCCAGTTTACCAGTTGAGGTGGATAGAACCAGATCACACGTTGAACCATCCGACTTGCACCTGCTCTCGTCTTATCCGAACCAAAGTACGTGACTGAGCTCCCGGGTGGGGGTCTAAAGGGGAAGAGGACACCACCCCTGTGCAACCTCATTTCATCCTTGAATTGTCCATAGCATTGAAATCATGAAAACTTGAAAGATCTGGCGCTTTTGCCCAAGGAAGAGGCGCGGCATCCCCAACAAAGGGGCGGTTTTTGTGTTGTGTCAAGGATTGCCCCTCATGTTTTGTCCAAGCGGAATCTGGGAAGCACAGGAGGACCAGGCGCGAATTCGGCAGGCAGCTTCCTAACCAAAAAGCTGCTCGTTGGTTCAACATTTGACCTTTTTAACCTTTTAGACAAGTCGCAGATCTCAAGTGGTGCCCTTGTTGACTTTTTGTCACAGGGGGTTTCCCTCCTTTAATCAATCTATCAAGTTCAGGCAATCAAGACCGCTTTCTGGGCTCAGCTGCCTGCCGGAACGCCTGCGTCTTGATTTCAAGCGGCATTTCAGCTGGCGCTTGGCGCAAAGCCAGTGACGCCACCTGGTCGCCGATTTGCTGCAACAATGGCAGCTCGGTTTCCTTGCCCTTTGATTACTTCGGCGTGTCGATGTTACAGCTCGGCATTACGCTGCAAAAGACGCCACCGGGTCCAAGAAACCTTGGAGAATGGTTTCGGGAGGGTTGAAGGGGGTCAAATTAGCCTCTTAGGGCGGGCTGGCCAGCCTTGGTGTATCATTGCAACGTGGAATCAATTACAGCACAGCCACATGCCCATCGATTGCCAGCGGAGCGTCATGGGGCGGCCCAAATCGGCCCCTGCTTTTGGGTGGTTTTGTGGAAGGGACACCCACCTTCTGGACTTTGGCCAACCTTCTGGACTTTGGCATTCGGGCTGGAAGCTCCGGAAATGCTTGCATGGCTTTTCTGCATTTGGGCAGCCTGTTGGGGCTTTCAGGTTTTCGACTGGCCATTTGAGTCGTTGAAAATTTAAGCTGCGCTGGATTGGCTGCTTGCTCTCCTTGTGAAGATCTGGCACGTCCCAGCCTTGTTTCCGCCAAAACCATCTCCAGGAAGTTTTCCAGGAAGAATTCGCCCAAACCCCTGTTTTTTTGTTGGTATTTGGGTACTTTCCTGGATAATGTCGTGGAGATGGCGTCTTAGTTGAAAAAGCCCGATCCACGGTATGAACAGATGGCCGAAAGTGGACGACAGAACCTTCTAGTTGGTTTTTTCTCATCCTTGCGCAAAGGGGAGAGGGCACTCGGCCATATACTTTCACCGCCTTTTTGGGGTCGACTGGCCGAGGCGCCGCACTTACGGCGCGCACGTCTTCTCCGCGGGATGAGGTCTGGGCGGAGTTTCGTTGCCCGTTTTTTGGAAAGGGGTAGGAGCCAATCTGCATTGTAGCTTGTGAAGTCTCATAAATTGCCGCATTTCTAGCTTGTGAATCTGCAGTTGTAGCTTGATTGATTGGCCTTGTTTCGGTTCTCATTTGGCCTCCATAGGACTTTCTGACAGCATTACAACATGCACTCGACAACTCCCCCGCCCGGCTGACAGTTTTGGGAGTCTGGGAAAGGTGGCCTGCGGGGCTATCTCCAAGGTGACTGTGGGTTGCACGGGTGATATTTGTTGCATGTTTGAGCACCTTTTAGTCACTGGTTGGTTCTGCAAATGTGATCTGACTGTCGCAATACGTTTCAACAAAAGTGACTTTTCACTGCACTTTGATGGCGAAAAACAACTATGTGACTACAAAACCATTTTTTAGCAAGCGCTGGTCAATTGCCGGCACTTCACCCGGGACGCCAATTACCGGCCATGGGGGCCTGGTACACAGAGTACAGGTGTCCGCGACCCTCAGTGGTCTTTCGAATTTCGAGCCCGGCACCTGGGCGAAGTGAACGTTTGCGCTCGGTTTGCCCTGCCGCATGTTAACATATTGACGCATTTTTGGCCCCCCCTCCCCTCAACACAGCCCCAACATGCCCTGAACACAAGTTGCTTCATAGAAGAGGCACTATTCTTGGGGCTGTTTCGTGGCACAACTACAACGTGTAACTTTCATGGCAGGTAGGTTCTTTGTGCACAATGGCATGGCAATCGAGTTGGTTGGTTTTTCTGATGGTCCCCATTCCGGTTTAGGTTAGTTTAAACAGAGAACAGCAAACCGCCATTTCGGAGATCGCTGTTTTGACACACATCCGGTACAGTAACCCTCAATTAGTGCTTTGGATTTCTGGGTTTTTGGGGGATTGAACCCTGGGTCTTGTGGCAAAAGTGGAGAATCGCCCCCCAGAACGCCAAATGCTTTCCCAGAAATTGTACAAGGCAATGTGTCAAAAGAAGGAGTCGGCCAGTGGCCAAGGAATGTGGTCACCGGACGAAAAGGCCCGCACCGTGTGAGGCGTATAAAATCGCATCCGAAATATGGCTTCCGATGTTTCCATTTTGCGACTTGGTCACCTTCTCGTGAGTTTCCTCTTGGTGGGCAATGCTTAAGATGAAAGTAGGGGGATGGGCTCAGGCATTCTACATGTCTAGAGGGTTCTCATGTTGTCCCCTCCCAAACTTCCCCAGAATTAGCTTCCCTTTTTGCTTTTTGCTTTTGTTGGGTCCCTTTGTTTTCCACTAACCCGCAAAAAAACTATTGTTTTTTTTGCTGGGGTCCGAATTTTCCAGCCTAGCAAAGAGAAAAGTAACTTCTGATAGGTTCTGCCGCACCCCGGACTAGAAACCCTCCATGCTTCCATCAACGTCAAGGGGTCAGCTTTGGGGTGTTCCTTCCCCACTCACCCCAGCGAAGACCACGTTTACATTTGATCCGCCAATTTGGATCTCCTGAGGACAGCGTCTGACAAAGGGTTCACCAGATTCTTGTTGCCAGAATCTTAAATATAGTTTTGCTGGCCGAGAGCTTGTCCAGGAAGGCCTTACTGCTGCGCGGGGTAGCCCAGATGCACGGAAAACTTGGGCGCATCGGTTTGAGTTTGAACCGGGCGGTCATTCATACATTTGGGTAAAAGTAGATGGCCCGACTTCCTCATGTTGGATCATCCCCTTTGCCTCCCCACAAGAGAAAATGGCCAGCTCTTCCCAGCTTTTTGGGTCACCTCCCGCTTTCATGATTGGAGGGCATAGGGAGCCGTACTGTGTATGGACAAAATCCACCAGTACGTCGGTGGTTTGTGTGGTTTGTCCGATTCAGATCGACACCGCGCTGGGACTCTCGCAATCCGCCTGGATGTGTCGCTGAGGCTTGCCATTTGTGCGCAGGAGTGGCACGCAGATGTGCGCAGACCCGCGCTGGAGGCTCTCTGCAAGGTGGCGGAGGCTGGGGAGGGAAGCCGATCCCGTTGGGATTTAAAGTATGTCCCGTATCCTTCCACTGTTTCCACTGGGGTGAGGTTTCACGGGAACTGTAGGGAGCCCTGACCACGGCATTGAACTGAGATTCAGGGTGAGTCCAGCTGGCGTTTTTCCAGCCAAGTTGCTCAAAGCTTGGAATTCGCGAGGTGCTGTTTGCACATGACAGTCGGGACGACCGCTTGGAACCTGCGCTGGGCCCAATGCCATTTGTTGGCTGCTTGGGCATTGTGAGGGCTCCGGCTTGAAAGCGGTGGCGCAAATGGTGGCTTGTGTCGTACCATGAGTGGATCGAAGCTGAGCCAAAGCCAGGCTCGCAGGTCTAAGCGACCTTATAGCAGTGAATGCCAAGATGCCAAGGCATATGGACGTTTGGAGGAGCGCTGTGCAAGCATGTTGTCTTTTTATGGGCATGTACAGGTGTTACGGCTCGGGCCTTTGTCCTCGTCGTAAGAAGTTGTTTTGTGTTGCGGCCCTTTTGTCCCCTCGATCCAAGCAAATGACCGCGCTTCCAGAGTTCCTGGACTTTTTAAACACCATTTTAGTGAAAATGAAAAGCTTGGGTAATCTTTTTCGGCCAATCCCCTCGTTCGGAAGTGGGTGACAGTGGCTCCTAGTGGCTAGTGGCTGTTTTGTGCTGGTGCCCTGTGGCCCCTCACTTGTTCCACTTGGATTCCCTTCGACTTGGTGCGATCGATGACCGAGACCGGATCTTGGGCATGAACCGTTTCATTCCCTCGTTCCCTGCCTATCGAGCCATGAAATTGACCAATGCGATCCCAAGGTTTGAAAGTTGAAAGCTGGAGTTGCGTGATCGATGGATGCCGCGTGCTGAACAGGCATCCCTCACCTGTTAGGACTTGCATGTGAGTGTGTGTGTGTGTGTTGTTTGAGCGCACCTCTGTGCAAAGGGAAGCCAAAAGGAACCCCACAATTTTGAGGGCAGCCTATTTTGACACCCCACGTCCTTTCTGACAGGGTCTCGCTCCTGGTTTTGTTCAAGGGCAGCGGGGCAAAACTTGGCGTCCTTCTCAAACGGCCAAACTTCGAAGACCAGCCAGGAGGTGCATAAATTTCCCTTGGGCCGCTTTTATTGAAATACTTTGTGCGCATGGGTTGGTTCAGTGGAAAGCAACGGGAGAAACCGGTGTGAAACATGGAGGTTCCCTAGTTTAAGATGCTTCCATTCCACATTTTGGCTTCTCCAAGTGAGTTATCTTCTCGAATTCTGGGATGAAATGTGACCTGGGTGCTAGCTATATATCAACCCTGGTTATTTGTTCCAAGGAAACCAACAGCATGGCTAGTTGTATGGAACCTCCCGGCCAGCCTACCTGGCCAGCGGTATCCAGACCCCCCAATTGGGCATGTGAGACCTCGCGTGCCAAAATAGGGACCCCCAAAATGGCGGTGTCCAGCTGAGTTTCCTTTAAACCAACCTGAAAAAGGATATCTTATCCAGATTCTCAGATCGTTTTTATTTAAACCAACCTGAAAAAGGATATCCTTGCCAATACGCAAGCCCGTTTGCCGGCAGCCTCGAGGCAACCAAAGGACGAGGGCCTTGCGGCGAAGCCGCTGTGACTGCCGAAGCCTTTGGCGGGCTCATCCGGCTTTTGGAGGAGTCGTGTTATTTTTTATTTTGGTTGTCCGTTACACCGACCTTTTGATATCTTTTGGCTTTCCCAGTTTGGTCCATGAGTCAAGGTCCCAGTTTGGTGAACCTATTTTGAGGTCCTGGCAAGGGGCAAGCGAGAGCTGAGCCGGCTGAATGTGTGGGGCCACAAATTTGGCAGTACCCAACCACAGCGATGCTCTTGGATGCTGACAGGGTGGTGTGTTTTTATAGGTTTTCGTGGGGTCTCCATCGGTTTCCTTGTAGGCCATAGCCAACTCACAGATCTCAGCCCTTAGAATTCTATCAAACACAACTCTTTGAGAGGCTGTCAACGCTTTTTCCGCCTTCCTCAATGGAGGGTCCAATGATGCTTGGGGGCAGTCCCCTTATTCGTAATTGTTCAGCGGCAACGTCAAAATTCCTTTTCGTTCGGTGGGTTTTGCGCTAAAGATGGAGTCTGCCCCAGAAACGGGGTCCAACAAGATTTTCACCGAACAGATCCCTTGACTGGATCGCTAGCATCGTTGGACCCTCTGTGCAAAGGGGAAGGGTAGGATCTTCATTGGAAGGGTGTGGACCTCCAAAGGTCCGTTTCAAGGTCCGGGGGTGGTTCAAGGCCCCAAGTGATTGGGGCAAAAGGATTCCTCGGAAAACAGCCGGGAGATGTACAGCTCGGCTACAAAGACGGCGCAATTCCAAGCTGCTTCGGTCCACTTTCTCTTGTTGGCTCCCAGCCATCCCCTTAATTAGTTTTTTAGCCTTTTAGTGTTTAGCGGTAGTTCCCATTTAGCCCACTAAAAGTTGGTCACTTTTAGCGGGGGATCAGAAAACGGGCAGCCCACTTCTGACTGTCCACGTTCCGACGGCGCCTCCAGCGCGCCCGTCCGTCGGCCGCGAGGCGCCTCGCGCCGGAAGCATCCGAGGCCCTGGCGGCGGCAGCCAGCCCGCAGGCCATGGCGTGCCTCAAGAAGCGATGAGCTCGGAGCGCGAGAGTGACCGAGGGGAGCGGGAGCTTTTGTGTGGCTGAAACCGATGGGACTTCCTCGCCCAAATGGATCAAAGTGGTGGGTTGGGTTTCCTTGGCTCCCCTTGAAAACCAGCCCAACAGGGGGAAGTGGATCGGAGGGTTTTGACTGCAGTTCTGAAATACGGCAAATGGTCAAGTGCGGCGGACCCCCGCCAAATGCGTTGTTTGGCGCCGGTTTCCGATAAACGGTACCCCAAAACAAAGGGTTGTCAACGTTCAACTCAATGTCGACCGGGCGGAGAATTGGATTAGCTTCCTTGGGCTTGGCCCAGAAGTTGTTCCCTGTCTTCATGGATTTCGGAGACCCAGTAGGGCAGCTGAAGGCGCCACTTCCAATGCTCCGAACAGTTTGCCATAGCCCGCCTGTGCCAATTTTGCTGCCACGGCCGTTTCCCTAACACATCAACGCTAACATGGGGGAGATAACAAAACTGTCACCCTTTCCCCACAATTTACCTGTCAAACGAAAAGGAAGAACTTGGAGGAACAATGCGAATTGATGCCAGTGGACGACAAGTTCTCACCAGCCATAACCGTGTTGTTTGAACAGCGTTCAAACCTCTAAAGAAGCAACACGAATGATCTTATTCATTGGAAGCTGGTTTACTCACTAGAGCTGTGGGAATAACGCTCACGAATGACGTTGCTGCCTCAAATGTAAGGCCTCACTCTGGCCGTTTTTTGGGGGAAGCCATCGGGAAAGGGAAATGCCAGAGGGGTGCTGTACGACTCACGGCTGACTTACATTTGCAAGTTAGGCGCTAGAGTCACAGATAACACTATACACTTGAGGTTGGGTACTGCCTGGTAGAATGCAGGGAGGCCAGGCAAAGGGAATGTTCCTGTTCAGCCAGGTTCGTGTTTGGAGTATCTCATCTTGTGGTCTCAGCCAGGGCTGCTTATGGAGTGCATGTTCTTCAATAGCGATCAGCCACCGGAATTTGTGCCAAGTTTGCAAAATGCCTACCAGGAACAACAATTTGCTATAGAAATGTGTGCAGGGTTTGTCAAATGCCTACCAACAAATCGCTTTTTTGTATGAATTGCTGGCTGGTTTTGGGATCCAGGCTTTCCATGGAACGGCGGTTTCTCACGTGACGCATAAGGCTCGGCAGGTCGCAGTGATGCTGGTCAAGTTCGGTGCATGAGCCAGGGCAATAGAGTGCCGGCAGCAACATGGATCTTTGGGTTGGTTGGTTTCCTTAGGTTAGGAGTCTCAAACTCATTCCAGAAGGGTACCCTCAAACGTTCACACGCGTCACCAATCAGAAAGCCCCTTGCATGGAGTCAGGCCCATGACGATGCAAGGAGCGTTGACCACACTCGAGAAGGGCCTGACTTCTTTGCCAGGTCTTGCGAAGGTCCTAGGCTTTATTTGGAAATTGGCTGGACGCAGCTCTTTTGCATGCAGCTCACAGGACGTTCTGGCGACCCTCTCAGCCCCCCTCTTAGCTGTCATGGCTGAAAAAAGGTAAGACCTCTCCAAACAAGCACGGTGGTAGACAACAGGCCCTATACGGTTCCTGTCAAGTTTCATAATTACAAGAGCGAGGGCAATTCATGCATGCCTGCACGCTCACAAGCCAAGCAGATTGGCCGTTTGGAACGTAAAAGCGGCCAGCTGGGCCGTGTGGACTTTCGAGACGGGCGGACTTGAGCCACAATCAAAACCTGGATAGATGAAGGCTAGTAAGGGACAATCCCGACCAAAAGATAGCTGCGGCCGCCTTCTAAATCCTTTACATGGTTCTGGGTCGACAATGATTAATACCGGGTTTTGATTGTGACTCACTTGCTCAAAGCCGGCCTTTTGTGTGTTTTGTGTTTGGTGCTTGTATGTTCTATGTAGCCCCACTCCGGTGAACCAGTTCATGTTTCAACTTGGAGTCATTTGCTTGCCCAATGGGTGCCTGAGGTTACACTTGTCATCCATAGTTGTGCCAAAATCACCCCATGGAATTAGATTCTGCCGCTGCAACTCCCCACTCCTTTCTGCGCCTCAAAAAGCGGTCTTTTGCCGCCGAACCTCGGGTCATCCCATCGATCCGGTTTGACGCCCCGTCCATGCCACTGCTCCAAATAGATTTCGAGGTGACCCTGAAAAAACTCTTCTCAGCGAGAGCTGGTGCTTAGGGAGCCCAAAGCACTCGCAGGAGGTCTCCAGATTTTTCGACTTGAAGCATGGCCTTTGCCTAGCTGGAGCCAAGGACGTTTTTTCTCAGGACTCGAGCTGAATTGCTTTTAAGGTCCAAAGTTGCCTAGGGAGCCTTGATCGATCTGAATTCTGTAACAAAAAAGGTAAGAGTTTGCCTGTGAGCGTCAACGTCTTCAACCCACGAAGTCATTTTGCACGTCCCATGGCTCAGGCTTCGAAAGGAGGAGTTGCGTCTAGGGTTCCCGCGCTTCGTTCCGTGCGGTTTTTTGGCCAGCGATTTGTTTATCGCCCCACTCAAGGCGGGCATCAGGAATCCATGGTCAAGCGGTGATTCCAATCGTTGCGTTGTAAGACTTCAGCGCATGCAAAAGCATGCCCGTCCATGATACTGTGGGTGGACAAAATACTGCACCACTTGGAAACCATGGTCGAAGCCACTTTTTGTTGGTATCTACCGTTGGGGAAATCGAATCGAAGAATCCGACACCGTTTTGGGTTTCTGAACGGTGGTGCATTTTATGGATTTGGTCCAGTACGGTAGGCTTCCCACAGCCTCCGGCGAATCAATGCGCTCGGGATCCTCCGGAACCGGATTACAGGACGCAGGTTGGTCTTCGGGTCCCGTTTATTGGAAGCCCTGCCCAACGTGAAAGCTGAGGTCAACCCGGTGAGTCATCAAAAGCTGTTTCTGACAATGAGGCTGGTGTTTCTCTTCCGATGTTTGAATTGCCGTATTTTGACAGTTTGGATTGGTGGCTTGGAAATTGAACCCGTGCTTCCTGTAGAGGGTAAATGGGACACCCCTCCACCTGGGCGACGGGGAATCCGATCCATTTGCGCCGATGGATCTGCGCTACTTGCTAAACCTCGGCGTGGACCTGGTCTTGCCGCTCGGATAGCACCTGGGAATGAGGCTTGGGAATGAATGGCGACTGTGATGTTGGGTGGCCTTTTGCTCGGGCATCGTTCAGGCTCCGGAAAATTGTGCTCATGGGTGAAGGGTCCCAACTGGGATTTGTTTGGTTTGTTTTGCTGAGTTTCCCGAACGACTGAGAAGATCTGAAAAAAAGAAAGCAAAGTTGGCATTTTCAGGCTTACTACTGTGTCAGGGCCCTGGGAGCTTCCATGTCGAGGCTTTCGGATGTAGGGCGGTAGCCGGGGAGCATCTTTCCGCCGGACGCTCTGCGCATAGGCGGAGCCCTCTTCTGTTTTGGCGGCGGCAGGGCAAAGTAGAGGGGAGAGAAAAAAGGAAAGAGGGGGAAGGAGACAGGGAGGGAGTGGTAGGAGGTCCCATTTAGGTGGGGTGGCAAGCCCCGGGCCAGCAATGCTGGATGGGCAAAGGGGAGGAAGTGGACACAGCGAAGTGGACCTTTGTGCGACGGGCTCACTGTCGAGAACCACCGAAACATCACTCTTCTCATTCCTTGATGCCCTTCAGGGTCTTCCTTGCTTATTCCTTTGGTGACAGTTGTTTCCCAAGTTTAGTTGAAGGTGATGTTTACGACAAGGCAATATTGTTTCCCGAAAGTCGTGACAGAAACTCCGAAAAGATGAGATATAGGTTGGGACACAAATTTGGATGTCTGTTTCCACTGTTAACTAATGCAGCGTCACTCTCAGGCCAGCACCACCAGCGCCGCGACATGAGGACGTACCCGGGATCCCTTTTTGACATGTGGGGCGGGGCGAAAGCTTTGGTTTTGGTGGCGCCCAGGAACGCACTGGAGGGTCCCTTTTTGGTTTGGAACATGGGCCGAACCACCATGGTCTCCCTGTGATTTGCTTACAAGTGCAATTGAAGAGCACACAAGAGTGGCATCATGCGAGGGAATGTTCTTTCAACGGTGAGTGCTAGGTGTTCAGAGGGGGTTTAGCTGGCGCAGGGTTCGCTGTTGTTGATGGAAGTGGAAGATCGCGGTTGTTTATAACTATCATGTTCTTAAAAGACAACTGCCCCTGCCTGGTTCACTCCGAAAGGGGGCAAGCATGTTTTTCTTTTGTGATTTTGATAAGGGACTTCTTTTTGACCTACAAGGAACTACTTGAGGACTTGAAAATCTAGGATGGAATTTGCGAGCTTGGGGTCAGTCTTTGAGTTGGAGTGCTGACCTCGTCAATGCTCCTCCGACAGACGAAGGCTTATCTTATTTCTGCTCAGCTTCCACCAGGTGCCTCTTAGGAAGCCGATTTCTGGCGTTCAGCGTCGGACTTCCTTGCGCGGCTCCCTCTTGGCTTTGTTTTCTCTTAAGCTGCGTCCAAGAAGAGGCATAGATGCTTCTATGCTTCAGTGCTCTTGGCCAATTTGTCTTGCAGGTGCTCAGCGGGGAATGAGGGAACGACCCATATAAACCATCCCTTGTGGCTTTCTACAATTCAGAAAGCCCTTAACGGGGGATCCGCTAACGGGTCTGGGTTTCAGGCAGTTTCAGTACAGTTTGGTTTGTGCTTGAAAAGCAGGTTGACTATGTGTTTGAAGCAAGCCTTGGTGAGAATGATAGGGCATGGCTTGGTGGCACATTCCTGGGCTTAAAGGTGTCCATGGTTGGAATTGGCAACTTTCTAAGAGACATAAAATCAAGTGTGCTTGGCTCTAGGCCGTACATGTTCAGTGGTCCCCGATTGCCTTTCTTGGGAACTCACTGGATTGAGTCTGCTTAACAATTGTGGGGTTGCCCGGTTCATTCCCTCATTCCATGCTGAGCACCAGCAAGCTGTGCTTCTCGGTGGGTTTGCCGGCGCCGAGGAGGCAGAGTTCGGAGCCTGGCTGACGGGTGCCCTGTGTCAAGGCGCTTTGGGCGAGCAGTGGGGAGGCTTAGCCCGAGCGAGAAGCGAGCCAGTGAATGCGGGGCAAAGGGGGGGGGGGGTTGGGCTTGTGCAAACGGCATGTGGCACGTACATCTGGAGTGGTATGTGTGTTCAACAGTTGACAAGTCAACACGCACATGCGTAATGGGAACCCTATTCACAATTTATAATTGTGTTTCTTTCCGAATGATTGTCTAAAATAAATGCATGCCAATCAAAGAAGTCTGTGACCCCTTCTAGTACTCCTAAGCGAGGTCTTTTGGCCTGCCACCTTGGTCAAGCATACTGTGGTGCTATCGTTGTGTTTGGCCTGTAACATTTGAGCATGCTAGAGCATGATTCAACGTGATGGCCGTGGCACCGAGAGCCGGCGGCACATGATAGAGGTTGGTCGCCTAGGCCCTTTTTCCATGCCATGGCCTGTTGGACGAGAGTTTGGGCGCAGGTTCCTTGTGGAAAAACATTTCCTCGCACAACCGCATGACTTTTCAATCCAACTCTTGGGTATCCTTTCCAGGTTGGCTGAATTCAAGGGAAGCCAACAGGAAAAACAGCCCGAGGTTTGCCTCTTTGACACCCGCGCCATTGACCGTAGACCAGTTCCTGGGCCCGCAAGGTTTCCGGAGACCTGCCGCCGTGTCAGCGAGGCGGTTTCAGAGACGAGCTCAGCGTCGAACTGTGGCCAGGTGGTTGGTTTAGCCTCTAGGGTGCCTTGCCATCCATTCCAACTGGCGCAAATAGAGCGGCTTTTTGTCTTGATCTACAGTAAATATGTAGCAGACATTGTTTAGTTTCCCGCGAAAGGGCGGTTCTCAGGCCCTCGAAGGACTGTTTCGGAAAATTTGCGTTGGAAGGTCCAGGGTGTCTTTGGGTCTCGCATGTTCCAACCCAATTGTTTTGTGATCCCCCACCGTTCCTGATTTGTGTTCACCCTGCCAAAAGCTAGGCATAGTGGTTGAACACGTTCTTGGCGTGTCGTTGAGTTTGCGTTTGGTTCCCCTTAGTTTCCTGACTAAAAAAAGGGTTCGCCTAGTTCAGAACTCTCTTTGAGCAGGAGACTCGGGCGCCACCTTTCATGCAACTTGCTCCCCGAACCGCCCCAAGAAGGCCTGTTAGTCTCGGAAATGCGCGTTTCTTTGCGGCCCATCGAGGGACGTGCCTTGGCTTCAAACAAAAAGTGGATCTGAGTATGTCGTCCGATTGTTTGTGGCAATGTTCATGCGGCAGGTTTGCCGTTAATTACTGGTACATCTGGTACGCGTGTTTGTGACAGCCAGCCGCCGCCAATCTCACTCAATGGTCGTCCCAAGTTCCCTCATTCACTGTGGTCAAGGATAAGAGCCTAACTTAAGTTCATCCCAAAGTTTAAGTCTTGTGAATTTACCGTGGTTCCCAGTATTGAATGAAGGTGCCATGTTTTGTGTATGGCGCATGTTTTTTGGGGGAAAGCGGGCCAAAAGAACAGAAAGTAGAAACCCTTTGGACCAGTCGCTTCTGCTCTCCCGAAGATACAAGGCTTTGCGCACTGCCACCTTGCCAACCGTTGGGGTACTTCTTCGAAAGGATGCCACGGCGGCTGGTTCCTTGTTGTTCAATGCTCATTGAAGCCATCAAACATGGTTCCCCGTTTCGAGAAAATCCATTTGTAGACTCTTGCGACTATGATTATTCTTGACTGCTTTTGGGTTGGATCTTTAGACTTGAAATTTGTTGGAGGTCAAGGGGTTTCCACCAATCCCCCAAAAAGTTAAACTTTTTGCAGGGGGGTCAACAGCAACCAAGTACTGTCAATTTTCTGAGGCTTACAATGCATCCTTCTCTTCACCCATCGTTTCCTTCAAAAAACACACACACACACGTTCCTAAGGTTGCTGGTCCGTATTTCCGAAGAAAGCCATCCATGAAAAGATGTTGGGAGGTTAGCTCGCTTAGCCAAACAAATCTACAAGTCCAGTGGAAGATGAAGTGCCGCAACTAAACTGCGCACAATTTGTCCATGTTCTGAGGCTTACAGAAATGCTTCTCTTCACCCATTGTTTTCTTCAAGAAGCCACACGTTCCTAAGGTTTGCCGATGTTTTCCAGCTTGTTGGACGCCCCATCAAACAGTCCTGGCGCCAGGTCGCCTGCTCCTGGCGCAGCCGCTTTCCTTCACATCTCTGGGTGCATGGCTTGGGTGAAAGCGGACGTCGGGGTGAGAACAAAGTGGTCGCAGAATAGGAACCCACCTCATAGCTTGGTGGCTCCCAGCCATCCGGTTCCTTAGCGTTTTGGCCTGTTAGGTTTAGTGGTAGTTTCCATTTAACCCGGTAAGAGTCAGTTTAGCTGTTAGCGGGGGGTCTGGCAGCCCAGATAGGTGTTCAAGTTTTGCTTTGTCACGGAGCAGTTTGGTCCATGACAAACTCCATAGTTCGTAACGCTTCGCACTGGCTCGACCACCTCACTCTTGGCAGCAGCGGAAAAGCATATGGACGAGCGAAGCTGGCGAAAACCCAGGTGGATGCTAATCACACTTTAGTCAGATCGACATTCGGCTGCTGAGAGAGGAGAAAATATACTGCAATTTCCGATTCAATGAAAGGACAACTAGAGCTGCGTAGCCCAAGAGTTCAAGTGTGAAGATGAATTGGGCCAGAGCGGACGCGTCAGTGTCATTGACCATTCAGGAGATGAGTGCTGCATTCATTGTCATTGCCTTGTTAGCGGACTCATGTGCAACCGCTTTTTGGCTCGGTCTACTGGGTCGGGGTAGGTTTGCTCGCTGGATCAAGAGACGGGCACCAAACTCCAAACGAATTCAGATTTCTTGACAGGCACCCAGTCGTTTCTTTTGTGTTCATCTAGGATCCCTTTTTGTTTCCGCCACTACAACTGGTCCAGCGGAGGGTTCCAATTATTTTTCCACCAGGATGACTTGTTGCCACTGGGAATAGGCTGCCTTCGAACGTTCCATCAGTGATTCAGGGCATCCAGGGATTGACCACTGGACCTGCGTGTGAGGCGCGGCTGGCTCGGGACAAGTGCTCCACGCTGCTGAAGGCTCCGCACACGTGGCTGCGAGCCTGCTTTGTCCAAAACTTCTGGGTAGATCAAATCCTGCAGCTCAGAGGTTAGAATAAGGGTACCTTTTTTCTGCAGTCTATTTTATTAGGGGAACCCTAAAAGGGGTGAGAAAGGGCACGACTGGGGGACCTAGATCAAAAGGGAAATACTGTGGATGGATCAAATCCTGCACCGCCTAAAACCCCTGGCGTGATGATGCCCTTGCAAATGCCAACAAACAATGTTTGCCCAAGTGGTGGGAGTTCGTCCACCCACAGTATGGAGCAAGTTGTCACCCAAGCCTGGACCTTCATTAGCTACAAAATGTTGTGTCCCTTGGCTGGTACTCGTGCGTTTGTTTTTTGGGGGGAACAGGCACACATTTGGAATCGCTTATTTTTGGCAGTTGCGGCGGCTTCTTTGTTCTCATATAGTCTGTTGCGTGGAAACATGTGGAACGGGCGCAAATACCGGCCAAATGAGCGCAAATCCGAATCTTGCAACAATGCGTATGTTGCAAGAAGCCCGTGTTCATGAAATGAGCGGTTTTGGGCCCGAGCACTTTTTGGATCATTGGACGAAAATAGTTGGCCCGACTTGTTTTTCGTGCAGAAACAAATTTATGTAACAATGGAAGGTCCAGGAATGTTTGCCAACGCTTTGCTTGTTGTTCATTCTGTCTTTTTGGGGGGGTGGTTCCGCTTCGTAGCATCAACCAGCCGAAAAGATGGGTGTCCTTCATTTGGTTGACTTTAATTTGGGTTTGTTTCCAAATGACCAGCCTGCTTTTGGAAGATGTTAAAGGGGAGGCCAACAGAACCCCTGCCACGTGGCAAATTCTATACTTCCTGAGAAGCAACGCGCCTCAGATGGCTTGTCCCAAAACATCGGTCGCCAAATCGGGTTGTCTTGAAGTCACGCAGGCCTTCAGTGCTGTTTTTTTTTTCCCATTTGCGGAGCTTGCCGTTGCCATTCATTATCCCATGAGAGGTCTGAAACATTGTTGTTTTCCATATATCGTCAAATAAGTTTCTAGCATATACATTAAATTGGCCTCGGCTTCCGCGTCGCTGATGACCTTTTCGCCGTGGCATGTTTCTGCCTTTCGTTGCTGCTGAAGCTGGAGATTCTCAGAAACCACGATCACGGCCTTGATGTGTCCAAAGATTGGATGTGGCCTTTGCCTGCTTGAAAGTTGTACAAAGACTATACCCAGCAGTTGTAGGATTGCCCTGTCGTGGTTGAGCTGGCACTTCCCTGCTGCGGTGATACGGCGTCCACAAAAATATAAAGATGCGGAGAAGACAAGGCAGTCGAAGCCTCCATTCGGTTGTGTCTTTGTTCAAATCTACCCGTTTCTGGGGGAAGCAAAAGGCAGCCCAGACGGTTGCTGCCAACTTCGGTTTATTCTCCCCTCGAAATCCCTTTTGCTAGCGAAGGACATGGGGGTGGCTGCTCCTCTCATGGGGGAAAGGTCACTGGTTGCATCCGGGCATGTGAAACTATCCCGTGGAAGGGACATGTACTTTCCCGCCATGGGCCCTCTCCAAGAGATTCCCCCCTTGTTCTACTGAGCCCAGAAATTCCCAAACATTATTATTTGGTTGGCCGTCTTTTTTTTCAGAACCCACTGATGTGCACAAAAAACGCATGAGACTCGTCCGATGTTTGATCGAAGTCGCGGGCTTCAGGAAGCCCGGGAGGCAGTGCCCGTGGTTGCCTTCGTGGAGGAGCGCCTGAAGGCGCGCGGAATTCCGGAGTCCGCTTCGCGCCAGTGCTGTGGGGTCGCTTGCTGAATTACCAAATTTCACCCTTCCCCACCCAAAAAACAAAAAAACAATATATATATATATATATAGAAAAAGAAACAAGCAAAGTCAACCACAAAAAGCAACCAACAACGGTGGTGTTCCCCTGGGTTTTTCTAGCAACACGGGTTTCGTTGAGGTTTAAGTTTAAACTCAAGCCCAAAGAAGTTCCATCTCTCGCGACGCGTGTTGCTGGGATGGGGCCGGAAGTTTCGGAACTCGGGGCCCTTGTTCAGCTGACGATCAGGACCTTTTGCAAGCCACCAGCTGTTTCAATACCTGACCCCCTCACTCCCTGAGTTCATGGACTTTATACTTTTTGGGAAGACCATGTTGGTGGTAAACAAAAGTTTGGACTTTTTTTGGCCAATCAACTCAGGAGGCGAGCCCCTTATGCTACCCATTAAACAAAGGCAATCACCAACCAACACGTCTTGGGGCAAAACCCAGTGATGGGTGTGTTTTGAGGGTCCAGGTGCATGTAAATGAAATTAATGGACCGGCCAGGTTGCTCATTGGATTCCGCGCGCCTCTAAACTGTTTTTGGTGTTTGGCGGCTTTTCCTCTAAAATGCTCACTTGTTCACAACAGGGCTGCGTTTGTTGGGCAGGGTCACTGACAGCTGGTGGTTTTCCCTTCTTGGGTGCCTCATTCTTTTCGCTTGCTTTCAGCCCGGGGCTGGCAGGTTGAAGGCTGCGCAGCTCGTTCTTCACTTTTCAACATGGACTTTGGATTGGCCAAGTTGTGGTCCACTTTTCCAGGGTCCATGTCCATTGGGGGAAATCATTTGCCGGTGACAAGGCAACTAACGCCGCATTTTGCATTTTAAAATGCGGCGGGCGAACAGGGTCCATATACGAACGACTCTGCACTTCTGGCAAGCTTAGAACGAGGGGTAACAAAAGCCCGAGCTCCATGCTCGGAGCCAAGCCAATTCCCAATTGGTAAAAATGTGGGTGACATTTGGATCTTGTTTTCCCGAAAGGAAGCCACACAATGCATGAGTCTTGAAATTTCCTGATGGGCGTTCACCCCGCCGGGAGCCTGACTGCGCTATATCCAGTCTGGCTTTGACCAATTTGCCGCATCAGGAGTTGGATCCTGCAGACGGGCCTATTACCATCGCAGACGCTCGCCCATCTCGATTTTCTATTTTTTCCTTTGGCTTTGGGACGGGATCCTCTCAGAACATCCAGTTTTTGCGAGCCTTTCGGAGTAAAAGTGGGGGACCCCTTCTTGGGTTGTCCATTTGGTGTGTCCTTGTTGTGGAGGGGGGGGCGCTTGATTGGTAAAGGAAGCAAGAGGGCAAGCAACTTGTTTCGGGGTCCCGTCATTTTGTAGCTATCCTTTTAACACGGGGAGTTCCCGTGTTCCACTTCCATTCCGTTTTTGCAAGGCCACGTGACACTAGACCCTTCCCAATACCCCAAAACGAGCAACCAGTTTTGAGGTCGACCCCATTGGCTTCCATTTCTTGATCTCGCCTCGTTTTGCACCTGGCTCTCACCCGATATGTGTGTTTACATCATACATCCGTCCATCGAAACAAACATAAACCAACATGAATCATGAAAGAGCCGCCCAAGGACCCTAGCCTCGTGGATCGATCCAGCCCTGGGTTTTGGGATTCACAGTTTGGGCACTGCGCCAGTTCAAATCGAGCTGTCTTTTTTGTGGCGTGACGTGTCAAGCGGGAATATAGGGAATCCTATTCCGCGATGGATCTTTGCCGTCTTGCTGCTCCATTTCCTTCCATTTGGTGAAGAATATGTTTTTTTTTTCCCCTGTTGGTTTTAAAGGGAATCTATCACTACTGGAGTTTTGTTTTCTCCAGGAGACTTGCCTCAGTGGAGGGCCATTGGAGGCCCCTGCTGCGTTTGGGCCAATTCATCACTGTCAGTTGATAGTAGGTACCCAGCCATTCTTAGTTTAGTCTTTGAAACTTGTTTTAGGCTACGCACGGGGAACTGGAATTGCTGGGTAGGTCCCCTTGCTTTCATTTTTTTTTGATAGTTTAAGCATCGTGTGTTTGGCCAATTTATAGGGGGCCCTTTTGGGTTAAAGAGAACTATGCGTGATTCTCGGAATGTTCTCTGTTTTTGGTCCCTTATCAAAACTAGAGCTTGTTGTCGTTTCTTGTGGTTCCAACCGTATGTTCCTAGCAGCTTCTTTATGCCAACCCAAAGAAGAAAGTGCCAACAATGTTGATCATAGGTGTCCTCTTTGTTCAGTTTGGTTGAGAAATAGATTGGCTTGCTAGGCCTCTGGTGAATTTAGTCATAATGGCCATCCATTTGTCCAAAGGGCACCCAATTTTGAGTTCTTGACTCCCAGGCAAGGGAACCTTGCCCAGGATCTTTGCTCCGGGCTCGGGTTCCTGGGCATGTTCCTCTCTGAGCTTTTGCCACCGGACCGTGCCCACGCCGCTTGGATCCGACTTTGACCGATTCAACAGGCCGAGGATTCGCGCGGTCCAAAAGCTCGGAGTCGTGCCTTGTGGATCTCCCGTTGCCAGTGAAGTCCGGCAGAGTAGCCTGGCGGTTTCACTCAGATACATAATATGTATATATATATATATATAAGAGCAACGTAGCATGAAGTTCTCTCTCTTCTTGCTCTTGCCTTTTTCTGTGTCTGTTTCTCTTTCTCTTTCTCTCTCGCTGTCGCTCTCGCTTTCCCTCTCCACCCCACGAAAGTGACAATCCACAAAACGACGATACTTTGAAGGTCGACCCACCGAAAGTGGGCAGAGGGTCGGCACGAAGTGAGAACCACAAGTGTTTGCCCAACGTGCGCACGTTGCGCGAGCGAAGTGAACGTCTTTCAAAACGAGTGTTTGACGGTCGACCCCCCCCCCCCGCGCGAAAGTCCGCAAAGGGTTCACCTTTTCTAGGTCCCGTAGTGCCCTTCTCTCCCCGTTTTTGGGGGAGGGTTCCCCTACTAAAGTGGACTACAGACAAAAAATCGGGTACCCTTATTCTAAGCTCTGTACTGGAGGACCTAGTTTTGAACGGTTTTGAAGGCGGCGCAGTGGCGGCCATGCCACAGGTCCTGTCTTGAAGCCTCTTCCGAGACCGCCTGTGTGAGCCGCGTAGCGACTCGGGTGGTTTGTGCACTCAGGTGGTTTGCGCACATGCGGAAGGGCCGGTGCCATGCGTACGTGCGCTGTTTTTGCCTGCTTTTGTTCCCCAGCTATTGCGGTTTCCAGCTTAGCATCTTCACTCAGAGTGCAAAGGCACGAGCAATTAAGTAATTAGTTGCGGAAGGTTGTGTTAAACTTCCTTTGGTAGAGACCAAGGGATTCCCTTGGGTCAACGCAATTCTGTTAGCGGGACAAACTGACGACTTGAGACAACCCAAACGTATGTCAGTGGCTTGCATTGGCAATGGCAAGCCCCAGAAAGGTATCTTGCAGGATAATTACCTGCAGATGTTCTAAGTTTCATGTGTGAACGAATGGGAAGATCGTAGATCTTCCATGTTTCGGAACCGGAGTAGAGAAGGGTTTTCATGCTGATTGCTTCGAGAAAGACATGGCTGGCGTGGCTGAGGCCATTTTGCTTTTGGACCAGGCCTGGCCAATGAAAGGCGCGGTTGCCGTTGCCCTTCTCTGGTGCCAAGTAGGCCGTGTTTGCCTTTTGACGGAAGCCAAAGGCGGGTGGGGATATGCTGGCCGAATTGTTTCAGCACTCCCGATGTTTACATTTAGGCTTCGAATGTGTGCAGGGCGAGTGTATTTGCTGAGGATCGTATGTTTTGTTGGGCTAAGCATTGCAAATATGTTTCCGCACGATGTGGTATTCGTTTCATGTTTGGCGCCCATTCGGCTTTTGGCTATATATCTCCTGCCACCGGATCTCTGAGAAGCGTCAATCCATGTCTGGGTTGCGTTGTGGGCACCCAGCACCCGGGAAGGGCAGCGAAGTGGAGGCCCAAGACCTGCATGGCTTTCAGGTCGGGGCCATGGGCCCGTGTCTCACTGACTTCCTGAACTTAGCACTTTGTGGGAGGACCATTTTGGTGGCAAACAAGAGTTTAGACTTTGTTTGGCCAGTGCACTCGGGGAAGTGAGGTGTCGAAACGCAATAGAGATCATTAGCGGTCCAAATAGGTCTGCCTCAACATAGGGAAGCGTTCGCTTCCAGAGGTGTTTTCAGAAATTAAACGCCCCATATGTGGGTCCACCCCGTGGCACATTCCTCTTTGTTTTGGCTGTGAGAATAGATGGCCATATCTGCTTTTCTCGAGACCAAAGGGTTGACCGCAGGACAACTTCATGGGTTCCTAGAAGTTCCTTCATGGAAGGAATAAGCATGGGCCTCCCTTGAACCCTGCAATGCTTGGTTAGGTAATGTAATGATCCCTCCTTTGCGAAATATGTACTTGCGCTTACCCTGCAAATAAGTGGTTTTCCTTTGGCTTCCCTTTGGAACACGGCGAATACGCTACCCTCACAAAACAACCGGGTTGATGTCCTGCCGGTTTCCCTTCAGAAATTGTATTCCAAACCAGACATGTGCGTTTTAAGCCTTTTTCTCTGTATACAGGCCCACAGAAAGGCACCCTCAAAAACATACCTACACCCAAGACCCGGGCTTTTTTCAGGGTATCAGGTCGACCCTCTACTAAAAAGGAGGTATTTACCATGGAAACCCAGGTTTTCCCAAAAATACTATAGAAAAAGTGGGTATTTGGAGTAGGGGGTAGATCACCTCCCAAAGAAGAGTATCCTCCAACAAAGGCATGCCCATTTCGCAGGCGTTGAGCCACCTAGTGGCCCCGGCAAGCGCGGACGCACGCGGCTGCGCCTCGGCACGTGAAAGGCTCAGCCTGTCCGTCCGGGTGCAGAGGGGTTTCACGAGGAAGCCTTAGGGAAACCTCAGGGACCATAGGGCACTTTAGGCAAAAGGTGGGTGTGTTTTTTTAAATCTGGACCCCCAAAAATGGCTTCGGGTTCCCCTTTTGGTTTTAAACTGAAAAGAGGTACCCTCAAAAAGGACGCTCTCAGGTGCAACTGCTACCGTGCTACCTTCATGCCTTGTCATAGTACTGATTACCCTGACTAAGCTCCCCCTTTTCCACCCCTTCAAGGTCCCCTTCCCCGTGGCCAACAGAACTGCAATAGGCGTTCATGTAAAATCAGTTTGTGTTCTAGTGGAGAGGGCCATGATGAACCAAGGCTATGTTTGGTTATATAGAGGGAACTGGTTGTTCAAGGAAATGCTGCGCCTGCCTCGAAGTTTGCAAGCCATCTCCAGAGTACTGCGCCTGCCACGCAAAACGGGCCCCCAGCCGCCTGCTCGACAACATCCAGTCCCTCTAGACAGCTACCAAATGCTGCCCATGCCCCGCAAACGCACACCAGATGAGTCAGCGTGAATGAGTGAGTGAGTGAGTGAGTGAGTGAGTGAGTGAGTGAGTGAGTGAGTGAGTGAGTGAGTGAGTGAGTGAGTGAGTGAGTGAGTGAGTGAGTGAGTGAGTGAGTGAGTGAGTGAGTGAGTGAGTGAGTGAGTGAGTGAGTGAGTGAGTGAGTGAGTGAGTGAGTGAGTGAGTGAGTGAGTGAGTGAGTGAGTGAGTGAGTGAGTGAGTGAGTGAGTGAGTGAGTGAGTGAGTGAGTGAGTGAGGTGAGTGAGTGAGTGAGTGAGTGAGTGAGTGCGTGGGTGGGTGGGTGGGTGGGTGGGTGAGTGAGTGAGTGAGTGGGTTCGTGAGTGAGTGAGTGAGTGGGTCCGTGAGTGGGTGGGTCCGTGAGTGAGTGAATGAGTGAGTGAGCGGGTCCGTGAGTGGGTCCGTGCTTGAGTGAGTGAGTGAGTGAGTGAGTGAGTGAGTGAGTGAGTGGGTGGGTGGGTGGGTGAGTGAGTGAGTGAGTGAGTGAGTGAGTTAGACCGTTGTTTTGGCAATCCTTGCAACTAGGAAAGATCGTAGTGCTGGAATAATTGTTGGTTGCAAACGCAAGGGTGACTAAATTTCCCAAGCTTGTGCTTAATGGGGCTGGGATGGTCACGGGCTCCAGATACCTGGCGCTAGATTCACTCTATTTTGTGTGGTTCAGGTTGGTTGCGGGACATGAGGTTTTCGCAACCCATTTTCCGTTAGAATGCCATGGAGCTTGGCAATGTCTCATAGTTGTTTCATGCATCAGCTTGGATTATGAGGCCCATAGGCTGGGATTTGTGGACTTCCAACTGCGCTTTGACCCTGAGGCTACCTGACTTGATGGTGGCTCCTTTCAGTGAAAGCCCACTCCGGATGTAGGTTGTGCTACGTTTGTTCCTGGGGTCTGCATGTCAGAGCCATAACCAGTTTCCCGCCTTTGTTGAGAAACGCGCTAACTTCGCGAGGAATCAAAGCCAAGCTTTCAACCTTGTGGAATCCAGACTAGTCCGGGAATTTTCCTTTGAGCTGTTAGTGGTAGTTGCTCTTGATTGCCTACTACAGGGCTGCCTGGAAAGCACTGCGAACAACTGGTGTAGAGGGCCCAACGTGTTCAAACAATTACTTGCCAGGGACGGACGGACACGGTTAATTCCTCAGCGCATCTCAGGAACTGGGACCACATCAACCAGCTGCCGTGGCCCATCCAGTTGGTCACACGTCGGGCTGATCTGAAGTTGCCCTCGACTCACGAGCAAATCCTGTCCAGACGCCTGCCCGGATGACCCACCCCAAGTGCAAGCATGCATTCAAGGCCTCCCTAAGCATCAGAAAGGACCGGGTCAGGACCTCGCGAAGCTTTGGAACCTCTCCTTGTGAGGTACTAGGGAGAATCATTAACCCCTCTTTCCATTTGGTTCGCATCATTTACACGTGCCATGGTTTACCAGTGGACTATGATCCTATGAACATTTCATATTGTAGAATCCAATTCTATGATCCTTACGTATTATCTTGAACATCTGGATTTGGAACTGGTATTGTGTTGAACATCCACTTGAATGGATCAAACATGGTATTATCTTAACATCTGACTCAAACAGTATTATCTTTCATTTGCCAGTGCCATCGTTTACCCGTGCCATTCATTTGAAGTACCATGATCCTGAAGTAGTATCTTGAACCTCCACTTTGGCCGATGATTTGTTGTTCCCTAGGACTGCTTGAGCCAGCGCCCGGCCCTGTGATGATTTTGGGCATCCACCTCTGCGGCACCTTGGCACGAGCCGATTATTCCCACTTTTTGTGGCATCTGGCTGTGGCTGTGGTCCCTCTTCTTGCCGTGCTTGGGGCTTCCGTAAAGGCCAGGATCAATCGACCCTTGAAAAAATCGGAGGTGTCCCATTTGACTGTGGGTCAAAACCAATGGTACCATCTTGGTTGGGATTGGTGAATTCACCACCCATTTTAGGCTTGCTATTTTAGTGGTTGGAAATTGGGATGTGAAAACTGGGGTACGGGATCTTGACCCATTGCCATTTGGCCGTGGCTCAAGAACATGTACCAAAATGGCGCCTTCATCTAAAACCTGCGTAACCACGGCTCTTTAATTTCGAGCCACGCCCATTTGTCAACGACACGCAGAAAATGAGGATGAGAGAGGACAGTCCCAGCCATGGTGTTGATGCTCTCCTTGGTTTTGGGGTAGGCTCCCTGAGAATTCCGCCACGGAAATCGGCGTTTTGCAGCCAGAGGAATGCGGGCAACACGAATTCTAAACGGAGCTCAGCTAAAACGAGCTGTGCTCACAGTCCCTGAGTTGTGGTTGGCGCCTTCGGCCAGAAAACCACACCCCGAAACCGCTCCGGTTCTTGAGATCGGAATCCTCAGAACTCTTACCAATTCTTCAGTTTACAGATCCCACGCATAATTTTCCAGGGGTTGGCTTGCTGGGGGGGAATTGCGCGATTCGCGCCTGCCCTGAGCATGTACAGAAAGAGCTCGAAAGCAGATCTCTTTGCATCATCAACGGTTCTGTTTGATCGGACCCCCGATTCACACCCAGCATGTCCGTTTGATCATTATGTATATCTAGGTTTTCTTCAAAGCCCAGCCTTATCCCACAAATTGTGGCCGCCCCTTCCAAGTGTTTTTCATGCTCAGTTGTTTTTTTCTTGTTTCGTTTGAAGTGACATCATCCACCATAGCCGTCTAAATGGGTTGTGTGCGAGGGAAGCAGCCCCCAACGTTATTTATTTATTTGTTTGAGAACCTCGATCTGTTCAGGTGCGGCCCGTTGTGCAGCTGTAGCCACGAGCCGAGGAGCTAAAATAGACCACAGAAAAAAAAAAAAAAAAAAAAAAAAAAAAACACATCGGGTACCCTGATTCTAACCGCTCTACCGGAAGACCTAGCAGTGATTTAGCTTCTGACTTGGACGCTGTGCGTGCTCCAATGCGCCGCGGCATGCCCTACAACGGTTTGTGTGAAATTGGGTATGGTCACACTGCTTGGTTTTATGCAATGCTTGCATAGGCTTGGCACAGGCATGCTGGCGGATTGCCATGGAAATGCCAGTGCAAGTGCGGACTACCGCCGGCTTCACGTCTGCCCCACCACTGCGGACACTGCAGCTTACCAAGCCAGCCAAAGATCTGCGCAAGGCGGCAAGCATATCGCTAGTCACGGCCCTGTCGCACCACCATTGGAAGAAGAAGGTGGGCTCCAAGCTTTGCAGACGCGGCAAACAGCCAAACCTCACCCTGTCAGATGCGTCGGCGCTTTGCAAGCTGAGAAGGTTCCCGTCGCTGTCGGAAGCTCGGTCTGCGTTGGGGTCGCCTGTGGGATGGCATTTGGCAGTCAAGGATCTCCTGAAGACGCTGGCTGGGAAGAACCGTGCCGACCTTTTGCTCCGCGCGCTTCAGGTGTGCATGGATCGCCAGGTGCGGTTGGATGCCAAAGACTTCACTGTTGCGCTGTCCATGTGCGCGAGGTTCAAAACTTGGCAGGACGCATGCCTAATCCTCAACTCCATGCCGGAAGCAACGGTGCAAGCCAACATTTACAGCTTCAGTGCCACCATTAGTGCTTGCGAGAAGGCCAGTCAGTGGCGGCAGGCAATGGCACTGTTCACGGCTTTGTGTGCCAATGTGCGACCAAACATTTATAGCTTTTGTTCCACCATCAGCGCGTGTGAGAAAGGTGGGCAATGGGAAAAGGCGTTGGCTCTGTTCACATTGATGCGTGCAGCAACAGTGCAAGCAACTAGTTACAGCTTCAACGCAACCATAAGCGCATTTGAGAAAGGCGCGCAGTGGCAGCAGGCCTTGGCCCTATTTCGCGAGATGCCGACAGCAGGCGTGCAAGCAGACATTTACACCTTCAATGCGGCAATCAGCGCTTGTGAGAAAGGCGGGAGGTGGCAGCAGGCCTTGGCCCTGTTTATGTCCATGCCTACAGCACATGTGCAAGCAGACGGGATCAGCTGCGGTGCCACGATCAGTGCTTGCGAGAAAGGCCGGCAGTGGCGGCTGGCTTTGGCTCTCTTGGCGGGCATGTCGGAAGCACGGGTGCAAGCAACGGCGATCATCATCAGTGCCGCAATCAGCGCCTGCGAAGAAGGCGGCAGATGGCAACATGCTTTGACCCTTTTGACGGGCATGCCGTTCTCACGGATACAAGCAGATGAGATCAGCTTTAATGCTTCCATCAGTGCTTGCGAGAAAGCCTCGCAGTGGCAAAAGGCTTTGGCCCTGTTTTCTGAGATGCACCAAGCAAATGTGCGAGCAGACATTTACAGCTTCAATGCAACCCTCAGCTCCTGTGATAAAGGCGCGCAAGGGCATAGAGCATTGGCACTGTTGACATGTATGCCTGAAGCAACCCGGTGGTCCAGTTGGGCCGTTATGCTTTTTTTGTTTATATTTCTAGGGGTTGGTTCCCCTTTCTTTTCAACCATCGTTCTTTGCAAACACTGGCCGTTTTTCCTGGGTTTCAGGAGGTTTTCTAGAAAGAAGGCTCCCTGGAAAGAATGGGGAAGGTATCCCTAGAATGTTGCTATTGTTCCCCAACCCCGCGGCCACCAACAGTCACCCATTCCTGGATGAACATCACAGTGGCCATGGGTCAACACTTGCATTGTTTACGGGAATAAATAAATTTAAACAAGCCCAACTGTTCAAGGACGGACAGCCACTGGTTGCAGCTGAGGCACAAATCCAAGCAGATAAGATTTCCATCAATTCAACAATTCGGGCATGCGAGAAGGAGGGCGTCCTGGGTCCATCTTTGGGCCTACTCCTGGGCCATACATCTCCAAGCGGCGCTTGAAGATCACTCCACCGAACGAGCAGTGTAAAGCAAGAACTTCAGGCTATGCATCAATGCAGGTTGGAATGATCTTATTGGTCGAAATTTAGGAGAGACTCTTTGCACAGGACCAGTTTTGAAGCTTCCACGTTGGTTTCCAGTGGAGGTGTCTTAATTGCAGCCGTCAGCGCCTGTACGAGCGGTCAGCAGCAGGCATTGGTTGGCGGGTCTTCGCCAATCCTGGTCAGAAGCCCGTCGGGGCGGAATTGCCACAAGGCCTTGTGGCAAAGCCGGGTTCTGTTGACCTTGATGGCTTACAATTGCTTTCACAAGACGCGGCAAGCACAACGAGGTGAGCATGTAGTACGATATGAGCTTTCAAAAGGAGTGGCAAGCACAGCGAAGCGGACGAAAAGTACGAGAAGTCGAACCTCAGAAACGCCATTGACGCAGGCGGGCATGTGTCAAAGCAAAGAACCCCTGGGTTCCCTTCGAAAGTTGACCAACATGGGGCCTTAGACGGACCGGCCATTTGCTGGCTGACTTCAGCTGAGACCTGGAAAAGACTGAGCGAGCTCAAGCTACTGTGGATGGAGGAAATCCGTTTCCCACTTTGAAACCACGGGAAACCACTGTTTGTTGGTATTTACAGGCGGAATCATCAGACACTAGGGCTTCTTAGGTGGTGCGTTTTATGGATTTCATCCATCCGTATGAATCAGCATATCTGCTGAGAGCAGTTCTACCCCAAAACCACTACTCCATGAGCAGAAGAGGCATGCCGTTTTTTGTAGAACCATTATGTATCTGTTACATACCCTTTCGTCCCATGGAGGTCGTGATTTGTGAGTGGTGGATACTGCCTGAGACAGCTGTTTGTTGAGCTTAGCTCGCAGTTCAACATTCTTTGCGAAAAGGTGGGCGCGTGTTCTATTTGTCAGTGTTTCATTGCTGGGTGTCTGCTGCAAGTGGCCGGGTATTGAGGCAGTTGGTGCCTGACCGCTGTCTGTGAGAAGGGGCCAGTCCTGTGAGATGTTCCAAGGACTTCTGGATAGTCTTGGCCTCGTCGCCTGGTGCACCCCCTTTCTCGTGCTGAATTTTGCAAGAGCGGTCTGTGCACCAAACCACATGTGTTTGAAGGTGCCTCGCCCCCGCACTCCGATAGAAAGTTTAACGTAAACAAAGAGAAACGTGTTGTGCGTGTGGTGGGTGTTTTACGAAACGCTGAACAGAAGGGTCTACATATATATTTGTATATATATATATATATATATTATATATGTTCAGTTGTTTTTAATGCTAATGACTTCGGTTGTGTCAAAGGCAGAGGTCCCCTGTAAAAGGCGGCAAGAGACGTCAACACCAAGCTCCAAGAATGTTGCCAACCCCCCAAGTACATCTGGGCATTTGGCAAAGCAAGGGGACGCCCAAACTGCCTGTTGGTTTCCCGTTACTCACTCCCGAAGTTCAGGGACTTTAAGCTTTTTGGGATGACCATGTTAGTGGTAACTAAAAAGTTCAGACTTTTTTGCCAAGCCACTCAGGAAGTGAGTTTCAACCCACCTTCAAAAAGGCGTAGCCGTAGAAAACAATCCCACGTGTACATCTGGAGGCCTCCTCTCCATCCGCGCAGTGGAGACCTTCAATCGCGGCCCCAAGTGTGTGGCCTTCGCGTTGAAGCCCTGCTGCCTGCCCTCTATGCACTACGCCACTCGAAGACGATTAGACCTTAAGGAACAGTCCTTTCAACTACGTGCTTGCAACCATACACGTCTCCATAGTTGTATATCTGTATACGCATATGCATATATTTTACATATGTATATATATATATATGTGTACACATTGTATAGGTGTATGCATCTACGCGTCACGTTCCGTATATACATCCATCGCACATTTAATTGCATATGCACACAGTGTATATATATATATAATTATGTATATATAGGGGCTGTGGGTTTGGTCCAAGACCCAAAAAAACTGTCATGGATGACAAAGGGCCATTCCGTACCAGGAACAAGAATGTTCTCTATTTGCTGAATCATTCAGATCTGCTGTCAGTGCTTGGGACACGCGTCAATCTTCTTGGCGGGCTTTTGGCTAAGCCATCCAAGCAAGGACCCACCACCAAAGGGGTATGATTGAAATTTGATGTGCCCAACTCGCATTGTCGCCGTGGTTGCGGAAAAGGTGGTGGATATTTTTTGCTAAAGCCCTTCCGTTTGGAAAATGGGGATGTGGGTAGAGCAGGGTAGGGTAGCACTGACCTCGCTGAGTCTTTGGAATCAACCAACAAGCTAGGAAATGCTAGGAATCTTTTTCATGAACAGGTCTTTCAGTTGCACGCACTCAGTTACTCAGTTGTTCAATTGTCTGATTCCCATGAGGCTCAACCAGCTCATCGCCAAGGGCCAATTTCACCACAGGACTTGGCTCGCAATCCGAGCGCCCTCGCGGTCCCATACGTTGGCCCGGCCTTTCTTGGGCCAGAAGACGGTCTGTTTCCTTAGAGAACCTGCGGGCACGGGGCCGTTCCCTTCAATCCGAAGAGTCCTACATACCGGGCGAAGTACTTCCACGCCGAATTTTTGCGACTCAACCCGACTTGGTTTCCCTTTCAACGCCACAAGACCATACGAGCTCCAAGGAACAGCGGCCCATTTCCATGTCCCCGGCTTGGGTGGCTTTTGGGTGCGGTTTCCCCGCGCCTCGGTTCGGCTCGGAGGCCAAGCAGCAGGTTCGCTGGACCTTGGGCTCCCACACCTTTGGGGCCACTGAGGCCGGGAGGGTCAGGGCCTTTGGTCGGCACATTTTCCCCATGGCCCTTCGGCCCTTCGGCCCCAAAAGCCCAAAATATGTTTCGGGGCCAGCTGCCAAAAATCATTATCCCATTGTCCCATTATCCAATTTTGGTCATTATCATCTTTGATCATTATCATCTTGGGTGGTTCTTATTTTTTGGTGATTCACCTTGCCCTTTGGGCAAGTGAGTTCTTGGTGACGGAGCATGGGTTCAAGGATGCAAATTCTCTGCCGCGCAAGGTAAGAACAATCAAGTCCGGCGGGGGGGGGGATGACTCACTTCCTGAGCTCATGGACTTGTTGTAAAAATGAAGTTCGGACTTTTGGGGGCCATCCACGAAACTAAATTAATCCTACAGGCCTTTGAGAGAGAGAGAGAGAGAGAAGTGTATATATGTATATAGAGAGAGTTGTTCAATGACGACATTGTTCTACATCCGTTGGAGTAAGGTTTGCATGTTTGGAGCTGGCTGTCTCAAGCAGCAGGCTTCTAAGCGTTGGGTGCTGGCCCTGGTGTACCCACTCGCAGCTGTTGACTTACTCACTTCTTGGTAGATTTTGTACGTTTCCACTCATCACGAGGTGCCTTTTGAAATTTTGGGTGCTTGTCCTTTTGCTTAAGGTGATTTGAATTGGTCATGGTGTTTGTCCGCAGTTTGTCTTTGAGGAAATGGCCATGACTGATAATTTGTTTGTTTCTTTTTGGGCCGGGGGCTGTGGCAATGCAGCTCTTCTATCTTTTAGTGGCACTAAATATGCCAATGGGAGTCGGCAAAAACAGTTGCTCGACTTGGGACACACTTGGCGTATCCTGGTTATGCTGTGAAGTGTTTGGGGGCCAACAAGGCGGTGACGCTCAATTTTGGATGTGCTAAACATCCTTTGCAACTCATACCCTTGGCATCACTGAAGCGCAGGATTGTTTGTTGACCATACATTCAGCATCTTGGGACCTCAAACAGTCCGTTTCCTTCAAACCCTTATGGAGATCCGGGCCCCCCTCCATTGTCCGCTGCTTAAGGCCGTTGCCCCTCCCCAAATGGGTGAGCGTGCCACCTTTGCTCACTCGAGGTGTGCGCTCGGGGCAGCTACAATCGCAACCGCTGCTTGGACGCGGGCCGGCCGTCTGGGTATAGTGTTGCAGTTCGGCATTGCTGCCCATGTTGTTCTTTCAAATTTCGAGCGTTCAAGGCTTGGCCCCCTGTTTTCGAAGCTTTCTTGGCCTCCATTGTCGGCCTTGTCCCTTTGCACCTTCCGCCCAAAAAGTATGTTGTTTCAGTAAAGTGGGTAAGCAGGTTAGTTAGTTAGTCAGTCGGTTTGATAGATAGGTTGCTTGCTTGCTTGCTTTCTTTCTTTCTTTCTTTCTTTGCTTGCTTGCCTGGTTTGCTTGCTTGGCTTGCTGACTTTCAAGTTCTGTGGCCAGGGGTCATACTTTGTGGCAATGTGTCGATCTTGCTGCATTGGCGGCTTGGCTTGGCACTTGCATGTCCGAGGCAACTTCTTCGCAGCTTAGCGTGAGCCAAGTTAGGTCTCAACCCGAGCCATAGGTCTCAACCCAAGCCATAGGTCGAACAGGATAGCAAGGCTCATCCCCCTAAAAATGGGACGGTTTATTAAAAACTTTAAAAATCCACCCGCGCCCGGAGAGTGGAATGGGTCAACATGTCCCAAGGGTGCTCTTCTTTCCCCAGAAAATCGACCAGCGCCCTGTGAGTTGAGGTTGGAGGGAACACCCCCCTAATGGGACGGGTTTATTAATCCTGGGAATCCTGGGTCAACATTAAGCATCTACCAGCGCCTCAGTTACATTAAAAAGTCGACCAGCGCCTCAGTTGAGGCTGGAGCGGGCCATTGAAGTCCAGCCTCGCGCCGCGCTTCCGCTGCTGGGCCGAGAACTTGCTGCGGGGTCTCGTGGCCCAAGGCAGGGCTTTGCGGCCTCGCTCGCGGCTGCGTGCGTGCGGCATGCGCGGAAGGCGCCCAAAGGCTTCTGGGGTAGACTTAGGATACATTTTACATTTTACCAGTGACTCCATGTGAAGCAAACAATAAGATATTCATGCTAGAACTGGGCCCAACTCTAATCATGGCTTGCGAGACCAATTATCTCACTTTGCAAAGCCGAGCTTTCCGTGTTTGGCTTGGTCCTTTGCTCATGGTTCAGGTTCGTTTTGGGATGTTGGGGTCTTGGAGCAGCTTTTGGGCGCAACTGGCCCAATATTGGGTTGAATCCATGCCGTTGTCGTTCAAGGGGAGTCCAACTCAAACAGACGGGTTGGTTTACAAGACATGCTGTGGGTCAAAAACCAATGGTACCATTTTAAGGTAGGTGCACCGCCCATTTTAGTCTGATTGGGTTCACTGGGGGTACGGATTTTGACCCATGGCCACATGGTTGCACGAGGAAAGTCGGCTCAGGTTTGTGCTTCTCAAACCGTATGTTTTTCGGGAGGGCGCCCAAGGCAATTCAATGGGCAAGCGGAGCGGCGAGGCAAGCGCAAGTCCCACGTCGAGCTGGTGGAAGGGCACTACCAGGCAGCGCGGATAGACACGTTGCTCACATGGAATCTTTAGAAACGTAGCTTGTGGAGTTGACTATTGACCCCTTTTTGGGGGCCAATGTAGTGGCAACGTGATTCTGTGAGCATGCATCACGCAGCTCTTTGGCGTGGCCAGCGTTGAGGAGAGCCGAACTGGCTTGGTATTGCGTGCCACTGGTGTTTGCCAGTGCCATGGTAATTCATCTCAGGAGTTTCCCAAACCTCTTTCTGGTTTTGTCAATCAGGCACAGAACAGCAAATTATTATTGGAAAGGTCAGGGGCGGGTACGGCCTAACCCCAAACATAAGGGAGGAATTGACTGCCAACCGTTGGCTGGACCAAAACACATTTCACTCGTTGCAGAAGATGGGCCTTTCCCCGCCAAGCAGCAAGCAAGCCTGCCAGGCAAGGGTTCAACATGCGCGCTTGCTCGTTTTTTTTTTTTTCTCCCTGAAAACACGTTTGCCTGCGTTGGTCATGTTTGTTTTGTGTGCTGTGTAATTTGCTGGTTTGTTTGTTTGTCTATTTCTTTGGCTGCTTGCTCTCTGACAGGACACCTACCTCTTTGCGCAGCGGCCGTTTTCGGCAGAGCGGCCCCAGGTCCTTGTGCCCACGCCAGAGGCGGGCTTTTCAGGGGTTCTGAGCGCATGTGCAGCTGAAGGCCTGTTTGTGTTTGATCATTCTATGTTTTTGTTTGAGGGTACCTCACCAGCCTCACTTCCCCAGTTCCTCGACCTTATACTTTTTGGGAAGGCTGTTGTGGTGCTCGCCAAGAAGCTTAGCCTTTTGGCCAATCCGCTCGGGAAGTGATATACTTTCCTTGGCTGGTTTTCCAGGGAACACCTGGTGGCCGCACGCCTGTTTCGAGTTTCGCTTGGGGAGGTTGGTGCGACAGTTGGACCGAGGCGGACCCTTCAGCTGGCAAGCCCAAGGAAATTTCGCCGGGCTCATCGGGCTGGCTCCCATCGCTCTTTCAGTTTAAGGTTGGCTTCCAGGTGGCAGAAATTGGATGTTCGTCTTCCTTGGTGCCCCCCGAAAACGCGTAGTTCCTTGGTTTTTTTCCACGCCAACAAGGTGACCTTTCTTCGGGGTTTCCTCCGTTTCCCATTTTGGAACCTCCAAAAGCGGCAGTTTCAATGCAAACCACCAGCAAATTGCAACCTTTGAAAGGGACGGGACATCTAGGAACCCGTGTACCTATTGGTAAACAGCGGTTGTGTTTGAAAAGACCAATGCACCTGGACAAAAACACAGTATTCAACGTGAAGGCCATACTCAAGAACTGTATTTATTGATTTTGGCCAATGCACGCAGGAAGTGAGCAACCTCGGAAAAGGAGACGGCCCACAAACTGGGGAGCTGCCTCGGTTTCCAGGTGTCCGCTCTGGAAGCTGCCCGCAGGATCCTGGCATCGGAAACCGCCAACGAGACGCGACTCGGATCGACTCGATGCGGGGTTTGTTGGGGGTGAGGCGTTACGCGGCCGCAAGAGGCAGGGGGATGTCCAACTTTTTGGCATAGAGAGCGAAGGCTTGACCAACTTGACCTTGCGTTTCTCCTCTGGTTCTCCAAGTATGGGAGATCCCTGTTGAACCCCTGGACTTTGGGCCTCGTTTTGGCATTTGTCCATTAGCTTTCATGGTTGAACCATGGTTTTGATACATGTTTGGTTGTACTTCCTGAGTTCCTGTACTTCTCTTTTTGGGGGGAAGGCCATTTTAGTAGCAACCAAAAAGTTCGAACTTGTTTTCATTTCACTGAGGAAGTGAGCGGTGTGCTTGCATTCCTTTTGGAATCCGTTTTGAGAATCTGAAACAAATGAACCTTGGGGCCTCTTGGGGTGTCTCCCTGCAAAACTCAGCTGAGCCGAGAACCAATGAATATACAAGGTGGTCGCAAGATGGACTAAGTGTCCCCGCATCGGATTCTAGAAAACTCAAGAAAAACAGTTTGGATTTGTTTTTTGTCGATTCCACCTGTTCTTTCCCCTGACTGCTGGTCCTTTCTCATATTTAGTATGGAGGTGGATCCACAACAGCCGCATCCAGGGCATCCCACATTTTTGGAGAGCATCCCCTCATGGCGTGTGTGTTTTTGAAACCCACAACATGCACCAAGAAACGATCACTAAATCCCTGTGTTTCAACAACCCCCATGAGGGGCCCTTCTGGCCTCCACCCATTTCCGCGAGACACCCCTCTCTGCCCCGGGATTCCTGGAACCGACGAGGCTGGCGGTGCCCTGCGATGCCTCGATGCGCCAAGTCCGCCGCCGCTATTTGGTGCCCCGTTGAGGGCGGTTTTGGACTGGCTGTCGCTTCTCGCAAATGGTTCCCACTTCTTCAGGTCGATTGCGTGCAGGCCAGCAGGAAGAAAAAAAAGGATTTGGGGGAAGCTGACTTGTGGGGCCCTTGGGGCGAGCATTTTTAGAAGCTCTGAAGATTTCGTTGCGGGGACCGGCAAGTCTAGACAACTGTTAGGGATGTTACTTTAACGGACCATCCATAGAAAGAATGGAGAAATTATTCATTGGTGGACGTGAGCCGCCACGTAAGTGATCTCCACCAAAGGGTCAAGTCACAAAACATTGGCAGCCCCTAGAGTCATCCCAAGGGAAACGGGTTGTAAGGTGCTCACAAAGATGCTGGGCTCTTCCGAGGATGAGGCATGGGGGCCGGGGGCCAAAATTGGGGAAAGCTCCTCCAAGACTTGAGGCGAAGATAGATTTTAGTTGCATGCATTTTGCTTGGATGTTAGGACTTTAACTTGTTCCTAACTCGTGGGTTTTCCGAATTAAACCACTAAATTTCTAGTTAGCAGGGGAGCAGAAAGCGACCGAGTTTTGTTTGGGGGGGGAAACATATGGGCCCTGTTTGGACCTCGGTGCCGCTTTGTACCGCCCGATTCTCCAGCCGTAGTCTTGACAAGTCAGGTGGAGGTATGGCAGTTGACTTCTGCTCGTTTCCCGTACGTTTACTTGTGGGCAGCAAGCCTTGTTCCCTTTGCCCGTGGCCGAGAGAAATCGAGTGTTCCTTTTTCTATCAAGCAGCGGTCCTTAGTCCGATTGTCAGCTGGTATCTCCGAACACGACATCGGAAATGTACCGCACACTGGGCCACAATCTAGAAACATGCTTCGAAGTTGGGGAAGCAGCTGGGGTTGACAGCAAAGTAACCCTGCCACGGCCATTCGAGTCAGGCACCTGGATAGTTCCAAGGGGTCTTGCAGTGTTGTCAAACAATAGAGACCTTTTCAAACCGCCGGGGCCTATTTTGAGAAGCACCCGTAGCTGGTTCCGATTCCCGGACTCAGCAAGCGTAAAACGCAGTGAAACGCAGTCTGGGTGCTTATCAGCCAAACCCATGACTCAGAATTGTCATGTCTATGCAAGCTGTTGCATCCTTCAAACTCCCTCAGCCCTCCATGCGAAGGAGAAAGGGACCTGGGCCGCGGCTCAAGGGGCGAGTTGTGAAGTCTCCAGATTCCTGGGGCTGAACAGTTTTCTCTAAAACCCAATTACTAGGAACAACAATCTCAACCGATGTGTTTTGATCAATTTGTCATTTTTCAGGAGCTTCAAATGACATTTGGAGCGTTGTCATGTTGCAAGTAGAGAAACACGGACTTCAACTTGGCGCGGAAACGGGGAGACGCACGCTTCAACTTGGCACGTTTCTCTCAGGAGGGCCTTGCCGCTTTCCGGAAGATCCGCGTCGCCTTCGAGGAGATCCGCGCGCAGCGCGCGCTTTGCGCATAGGAAGGCAACGCGAAAAAAGGCGGCGCCGGGTGCCGTGTCGCGGTGGTTTATCCTTGGCTGCAGGGTTGGCATTCGGGTAATCCTTTGGTGGTTTGGATTTGGATTTGAACCCCTGGCTTTTGCAAAAGGTAAATGGGAAACCCCTCCTTAACCTCCAAACCGGAGGGAAGCTGAGTTGGATCTTAGATCCAAGTAACTAGCAAAAAGTGACACACTTTTTGTGGCAGGGATCAAGGGGTAGTGGCCACCAATCAAACAAAACCTTTGGGCCAATGTATAGTGTAAGAACTTGATTAGTGAACCCGGTTTTTCCAGCCGACTGCCAACCAATATTACTTCAAAGGCGTCAACGGGGTTTGGCCAAAAAAGCCCTCTGAATTTGTTGGGGCCATTTTTAGAACCCCTCTGATTCAAGACGCCCCTGTCCGGCCCTAAATTCAGAGAAATACCAAACAACTAATGTTTAAATCACCAAAGCTATTGCCAATACTTTTGCCAATGCGAACTCCTTGCATAGTCTCAATGGTTGCCATTCCAGAAATCAATAAACGGCTAGCCGGAAACAGCAAATTATGATTGCAATAATTTTGAAAAAACAAGGTTTGACAAGCTCGCAAAGGGTCAAGGCTAGCCCCCGCGAATAGCATCTGATTAATCAAGCCCCTCTCCAGCCCCGGAAAATCAGAAAATGCAATGTCCTTTACTTTCCTATTGCAGTCCGGGGACGACTGGCCAGGTCCGATTAATCCGAAGGCCCAGACGACCCCCCAAGATCCGGTTTTCCCAGACCTTGTCGACCTGGGGGGGGAGGGTTTACTAATCAAGTTCCAACATCGAATTGAGTTTCCTTTCGGGTGGTGATGAAAAACGAAAATACAGAGACGATCTTAGGTTGGGAGCACTCGCCGGAGTCGAGCGAGTTTCCCTGACCCAAGGATGGATTTAGGGACTGCCATTGAATACATGGCGAAACAGGGAAGCGTGCGCGGGGACATCATGATCATCGCTTTGCCTTGCCCTTGCTGTGTATGTGTTGCGGCACAAGCCTTGCCAAGCAATCTTCAGATCTGCAGCGCTATGATGATTTTGTCCAACACGCAGTGGTCTTCCCTAGCTGGAACATTTAGCGACCGATTGCAATCAGCATACCAACATACTAATTTCTGAGAGAGTTGCAGCGAAACAAGCGCATGACCTTCAGCCAGGCTCACCGAACGGGAGGGGGGACGAGGACGAGCTTACGACAGGTTGTTTGTTTGTTTCAATGGCCTGGTGCCACATGTGGTGCCATTCATTTTTTGGCTTGCCCGTTGCTTGTTCTTCCGCGGAAAATGGTCATTTAATTGAAATTCTACCCTCGTGTCAACTAATAAGGAACCCACCAGAGGGTCTCTATTAATGGAACCTGGATGAAAATGCTCTGCCAGGACCCCGCAGTCAGGTTCCATGTTAGGGGACGGGAGGGTATGAGCTTCCCCCAATTTTTTCCCAGTTCATTCGGTCTGAAGGCAAAACCCTCTTGCGACCGCGGACTTCAGATGTCGAAATGGATTCGGACCTTAAAATTGTTCTTTTGGCTTCCCTTTAAGCCAATCCCATTGTTTTGGGTACCCTGGAAACTTTCTTTCAATGAGTTACAACACACATCCTTTTGGTTTCCCTTGAAACCAGCCCCTTTGTTGTGGCACCCTTGCAACGGTACACATGTCAATCAAGGCCAGCTAGCACCCAGACATACCTAGACGCTCCTGGGCCCTTCTAGGGACACCCAAGGGCACTCAAATAGCGGCAATTGCAAACATTGCCATGACCGAGGTGCGAAGCACAGGGTCGCTATGCAAACTCTCAATCCCTTGGAAGTGCATCTGGAATCATCGGGTAGCCCCAATTCGGGTCCAAACTGGTCGGGAGGGTTTGGGTAGTCACGCGAAGAGCTTGTGGATGATAGTACTCCTCTATATCTAAACTTCGAAGAAAGCTTGAAGAGCCCTGGAAGGAAGATACCTAAAAGCGTGTCCAAACATTTACATATTCCCCAGACCTGGATGTTTCACGCAGCCCTTCCATCATCCCAATATCACTGGCTGTCCTCGTATCTTGCATGAAGCATGGAGTGAGGCCTTGTTTCCCAAACGAACCTTGCTGTGACCTCAAGGTGATCCATTTGATGGGTCCTGGGAAGGGGAGGTCAGTCTGAAGCCACGTTTGATTGGAAGGCAGCTGCACCATCCGCTCCACCCTAGCATGATGGGAGGGTGCGTAACCATACAAAACCTATGCCTTGCACGTTTCCGTACAAGCCAGGGATCGTGGGGCCTGATGCCTGTCCCGTTCATTTCGATGATTGACCGAAGCTTTCGCAGCATTTCGGCTTTTGGCAAGAACGCCTTTCAAGTTCTACCGTTCTACCCTAAGAAAAAGATGCGAGTCTTCGCGCGGCTCGTAGTGGCGCTGCTGTTGGCCAACGTGCAAGCAGAGAGCTGCGACGGCCGCAGGCGTGAGTGCAGAGCCGGGCAAAGTGCGGAATCCAATCAACCCATCCAACAACCGGCCCTTGGGGGATATATATATATATATATATATATATATTATATATATATAATATATATATACTATATATATATATATTATATAAAAATATTATACATATATATATATATATACAATATTTATCATAAACCATGCGGTTTGTGTGTTTTGTGTTTAGTTCCCCAACACCTGAAATCTCTGGGGGCTCTCGGGTGGTTTGGGGCAGCCTTTTAGGGATGGATTAAAGGGAGGGTTACGAGGCTGGGGATATCACCTGGGCTTGTTAAAAGAGCTGTTGGGCATATCACTGGGCTCATTAAAACAAGAAAGCCCAATTGCACCTGGGCTTGCTACAGTTAACCAACACAACTCGGACAACCGGAACACCGGCTTCTGAAAACTTCACTTCTTTTTTTTTTGTCTGGTTTTCTCCTGAAAATCCCCCCCCCCCGACTCCTCTCCTTTCCGCCGACTCGGCTCCGGCTCTCGGCGCGGAGCGACTCGGGTGCCAGGTGTCCCACCGCGGGCCAGGCCTGGCTGCAGCTGAAGGGCGCGCTGCACGCGGCGGTGGCGCCGCTGGAGCCGGAGCCGGGCTTCTTCGCGGCGCCTCGGGCCTGGGCTCGAGGCGGCGGCGGCGGCGGTTTTTTGGTTCGGGGAAAGCGGGAGACCGGAGGGGAAACTGGGGGGGAAGCCAGGGAAACCCAAAGGGAACGCCAGGGAAGCCAGAGGGGAACGCCAGGGAAAGCCGAGTAAAACTCGGTGGGTAGGTGAAGATTCAGGGGTTGCGCCAACAAAGTGCAGATTCGATTCCGCCCTTTGTCCATGGAGTTGGGAGGGAAAACGGGGAGACACCCGAGGGAAAACGGGGGGGGGGGAAACCCTAGGGGAACGTTGAGAAGAAAACACGGATGGGATGGGTAGATGAATTGAAAACTAGGGGAAAACCAAGGGAAAACAGAGAGAAACCAGACAGACGGAAGCCAAGAAAACTAGGGGAAAAAAAACAAGTGAAAACTAGGGGAACACCAAGGAAAAAAGAGGGAAAACCAGAGAAAACTGAGTAAGACTCCAAGATAGGTAAAGATTCAGGGATAGCGCCATGCAGTATGACTGCCGGCCTGTTCTGAGCGGTTTTTTGCTGGTGGGGCCCGGAAGTGAAAGGACGGGTTTTTGGATCTGGATGGGAAACCACTTGCTTATGCACCCCCCCCACGTGGCAGCCTGAATGATACGATCAATTCAGAAGTTCAGGGCCTGAGAACTCTCCAAGCTTGCCATACAGGATCATACAGGACTCACAAGGGCCAATTTGAGGTAACATACTGTGGATGGACGAAATCCTGCACCACTTTGCGACCATGGGAAGCCATTGTTGGTTGGTACTTACAGGGGAATCATCAGACACCAGGGTTTCTGAGGTGGTGCGAAATGGATTTCGTCCATACACAGTAACTTTCGCCCGCAGCTCCTCCTAAGACATATTTGCCCCCTTGCAGGCCGTTGGCCTTGGCTTTCCGAAGGAGCATGCCCAGTCAAGATCCCCAAGGTGACATTTTTGTGTTGTGGCTTTCCAGCCCAGTGCTTCCAGTCAACACAATCCAACGCAACCCAGGCATCCAAAAACTATGTGTTGCATCCTGGTTTCCCCTGGACACCTAGTGAGAACTGGAAGAACCTCCCCTTCCTCTTGAAACTGGAAGCACTACGGACAAGGCCCCAGGCCATCCCAGGCCCGTCCGTGCCGAGGTGCAGGGTGGCAGCGGAATCTCCTGCCGCGGGGCGCATGCCCAGGATGAGGCCTCCGGGCACTTCGTGGAGAGCCAGCAGAAGACGTTGGAGGATTGCCACGTGGCGGGAAGCTTTCGGCGGGCTGGAAGCGCCCAGCGCGGAGAGAGCAGGAAAGGAACAAAAACACCTTTGGCCCTACTTCCTCGGGCAAAATTGAGCCGCCGTTGGACCTGGTTTGGCCGCCCTTGGTGAAGGAGAATAAAGGGATCGCGTCTTGGGGCATAAAGAAGCTATGTGAATTGGTCACTTTAAAATGTGGTCATAGGAATATTGCAGGCAACCATAGGCTTACCCTTGCCCATGACCCAGGCCTTTGACCCTGCATGTTTCTTCTGTGGGGTCGCATCGATGTCGCGGTCTAAGGTAGCCCTGGGAAGGAGGCATAGTTCTGGAAATGAAGACGTTGACCCCAAATTCAACACCCCGGCGCCAATCGGGGAGGGGAGGTTCCTCAACGGAAGGATCCCCATTCTGATTGTTTAGGCCTTTGTGGGAATCAATCTCGGGCCCTCGGCCGATCTCAGGCAAGCAGCAGTGCATTGCCTCTAAGGGCTGCAAGGCAGGCCGCGAGAAAACATCGGGCCGTTCTGAAATGCATCATGGCTGAAAACATCAGCTGGTCGTTGCTGAAAGTTGTTTCGCTTTATGGCCCTGTGGCTTTTCGTTTGAAGTCAACGCTGAACAAATATTCAAAACGGCTTGGCTGGTTTTGGTCATGGCGTTGCGGAGATGCGTTGGGTTCCCAGTGCTATGGGCACCTCGCCCTGGACACCCTGCGGAGTTGAGCTCTTCCCTTCCGAGTGCACAAAAATGGATCTCCTTGGGGTTCCAAATGTAAATTCCGGTATGCCTCAAAATGCCCAAAATGCCATTGCGGCGGGTTTCCCTTCACAACCATTAAAGAGCGTACCCGTACCCTCGAAAACACCCCCCCATTGCCCCGCACGAATAGTGGCTGGTTCTCTTTTCAAGCAAGGGTTTCAGACCCAATACATGACCATATTGTTTTCTCTTTATATACCTGGAGCGTCCTTGGCTACCTAAATTTCTGCCCTGAGCCCAAACGTAGTGCAACACCAATGGTCGTCACCAACATATGGCAAACGCACACTTTGTGATGCTTCGAGCGTTTTGCCCAAAACTGAGCTTTTTTGGTCCTCCAAAATGGTCGGTCGGAGCGCGCAGAAATCCAAGTGCAAAACAAGCTCAAATATCCGCAAAACGAGCGCGATTGTTTGTTGAAAAAAACAACGTCGCCTTCCTCCGGATTTGGATCCCCCAAATCCAAATGGCGGTGTTCCTTGTGGCTGCCCGTAGAACCCCTGTGAAAAGGTACGAATCAACATGAAACCTAGAAAGGAGGTCCTGGTTTCAAAAGCAGATTCCTACCTGAAGCACCCAACGTGCCTTGGTTTTTAGGCATACGAGAAAAAACCTCGCGAATTGCCGAATTTTGCTTGACCCCCCCCCAAACATCCTTAAAAAAAAAAAACGATAGATCAAATCCCCTTTTAAACAGACGGGCACAAATTTGCAGGGCCCGGACTTATCCGGATCTCAGCTCAGCCGACACCGCTGAGCGACTGAATCAACCCGTAGGGCATCGACTTTGGCGGCAACACCTGCCGCGTGTGGACGAGGCGGCAGGGCATCCAAAGCAGCCTCCCAGTGGAGGGCCACAACTGCCTCCGCTTCGTGGCAGATGGCGGCGCCGCTGGGCCGCAGCAAGCTTCGGCTGTTCTTTTTTTGTTTTTTACTCGAGCGACAAAACGAAGGCGTTGCCAAGTGGGCGGGGTCCAGAACCAAGAAAGTGCAACCAACAAGCAACCAAGTGGGCAAGGGTATGCAAGGGTAGTTTGGGTCCTCTTTTTTTCAACCGTCCCTATTAAAGACCCATGGAAAGTGCTTTGCCCCAATCTTGGGACCTCAAAATGCACCTTTCGAGGTTCAACATTTTTCAATAGAGATCCAGACCTGTTTCTTTTTGGAGGATCCGATGCTCAGTAATTAAGGACATTCCTCGGGCACATGGGTTTCGAAAGTTTCCCGGATCAAGCAAACCCTCATTTCGGACTAAAATGTGCAGTTCATGGAGGATGGTTCGCATTCATGCTGGTGATTTCCGCTCATTTCCATACGTGCCCGCTCGTGTTGCTCCGGCGTTCGCTCAGGTTGAAAAGGGATGCAGTTGGCAGTTGGCCACTGACAACAGCACAAGATTGATGTCAATGCTTCAGCTCAAATGTCCTGCTGAAAGCCAGAGATGAGCAAGCCACATGCTTGTTGGGTAGCTTCCCACTCAGCCAGGGTTGTCTTTTGCCACCTAGTCATTGGGAAGGGAGATGGTCAGACGAGATCGATATAGCATGGACCCAATGCCGGGGAATAATGCTCCACCCTCTAAGCTGGTGTTCGTGTGGTGTGTGTGTGTGTGTTGTTTGTGTATGTTTAAGGCGTTATTCAGTCCTTTGTTCTACACGTCCTCCTGTTGCCTATCATTGTTTTTGCGCGTCCATGATTTGTCTTCTTTCCAAGAAATATGCTTCTAGGGGTTGATTCCCCATTATGTTTAACCATCGTTCTTTTCAAAAACCAGCTGTTTCCCTGAGTTTTTGATTGCTTCCTGAAAAGAGGGATCCCTGGAAAGAATGGGGAAGGTAGCCCTAGAATGCTGCCATAGTTCGGGCCATAGAGGCACCCCCTGAGATCCATGCGCAATGGCGGTGCTTTTTTGGCGCTGAGGCCATGTTGGCGTTCCTGGAGCTTGGGAAGGGAGGATGCCGAGGTGCCCACAAAGAAGACAAGGACCGGCCCAATGTCCGAAAGGCGTAGGAGCTGCAGTGTAAGAATTGGGTACCTGAACCCTCAAAGTTCCCTTAAAGATGTGTTTGACCCCCAAAATTATGGGGTGATATCCAATTTTTATGGGTAGTTTGAGGGTCCAGGTACATACCTGAAGGACACTTTTCTAAAAAAAACAACTGCCAATCTGTCTCAGTTTCTTGGGGTAAACCACTTTTGGGGGTTGAGTGATAATATCTGTGGTTTTAACTTCGACCCATTTTTGCTATTTTAAAGGAAGCGGGCATGGGAGTCGTTTGTCCGCACATCCTACTTATCCAAAAGTGTTTGGCGGAAGGGGGGGACTTTGGGAGGTTCAGCTTCTTCCAGGAAGGAGGCTTCTTTTCTCGGGGTTGGTTCCAAATCCATTCTTTTCAACCATCCTTTCCAGAAACCGGCCGTTTCCCCAGGGTTTTGATGGTTTACCCCTAGACCTTTCTGACCTTTCGGCTCCAATGTTCTTATGGGTGCTTTGGCTCGGACAGGGTGGTGTGGAATTGAATTCCTTCCGCTTAGTTTGAAGCCCCACGCCCCAGGCCACTATGGTAGGAAGCAGCTATTCTCCTTCTTTGTTGGGTGGGTGTCATCGTTACCTCAGGTAAATGTCACTGGGAATCATGATTGGGCCCAGCCCCGCAAATAAAAAACACATCTTGAATCTGCTCGTGTTTAAACAACCTCCTAGAGTTTTTTTGGCCATGGTCCGTTTGTTTAACAGACCTGGTCTGACCTCGAACCTGTGGACGGAAGCCCGGTTCCGGTTCGAAAACTGGTTGACAAGCCTGGCGCCAAATGGATTTTCTGCATACCATACGCAGCAGGGTTGTGGGATCAAGGGGTTTATCCTCACCTCTGTGATGCAAGGGTATCTCCCGTATTCTCCCCCCTTTTATATTTGGGGGGTTCTTCTTTGGGAAGCCCTTTTGTTGTATCAAGTGGTCATTTCCCGCAACCATGATAAGCCGTGACCCTCTTCCCCTTTGAAGAGGGCAGGCGAATTCGAGGACCCGGGCTACTTCACCAGCACTACCGCTGCCAACATCGAGGAGTGCAAGTCCATTTGCGTCTCCGACCCCGCGTGCCAGGCTTACACGCTGAGTCGATTTTTTGTTTACGATCGATCCCTCGGCTTTCTTGGGGGGCCAACAAGACAAAGCAGGCCGGACAAGTTGAATGCCGGGGCCCTGTTGCTACCGCAATTCGCTTTTTCTGGAACCATATCAGCCAAAAAAAAGAAAAGAACTGCACGGGGTTCCTTTAGCCATTTTTGTCAGAGGAACGACTTGCATTCCTCAAGCCTGAGGGACAAGGGCACAACTCTTGGACGCCCAGGTTTGCTTGTTCCGGGTTGTAGTTGAAAGCATTCCAGCTTTTTGGTCCTTGCAAACCTAAGTTTGCAAGGTGTGGCCAAGAAATGATCAGACCCCCTTGTCCGTCCGTTTTTCGAAGGCTTGCCATTGAATCCTTTGAATCTGGTAAACCCTCAGGTGGTGGCTTGGATGAGGGAAGCTGATTGAATCTGGTTCCCTCAAATGCCAGCAGCGAGCACACAGGTAGCTCTTGAAATTGGGAGCCTTTCAGGGTTGGTGGATTTACCCGATTTTCGCTGGACCTCTTTTTCAGGCACGTCTCTCACTCACTTCCTGAGTTCATGCACTTTGAACTTTTTGGGTTTGGACCATTTCAGTGCTAAGCAAAAAGTTTGGTGACTTTTCTTGGGCCATCCACTTGAGTGAGTGAAGCGAATCGAGCTAATCTTACTTTGGGCTTGGCCTTTCACCTCGGGCACTCGACTTGGGGAGCCCTTAAGGCCTTCAGGTCCGGAGACTGTGAGAAGCCAAAGGCCTGGCTTGGAGGCCCCAAAGAGGTTCAACAAGAGGCCCTGGAAATACACCCAACTTTTTTTTGAAGCAGCTGAAATGAAGCTGAGAAGTCTCAATGACTCCCCAAAGTTAGAGGTCCCCATTTGATTGACTGCCAGGGTCATGGGGCAAGTTTCACCCAGACCTTTGGTGGGTTTCTTCCTTCTTTTCCTTTTGGAGGGGCTTCGCCCGGAAGAAGAAAAAAAGATACCCAAAGTGAATAGAGCAGGGGCGGTTATTCTCCCAATGGCCTGGTTTCGGTTCTGCGCAATTGATCCCTTGTGCTTCCCTTTGCAGGAGATCCCCAGATTCATTCCTAAAGCAGCCCGTGAAACTCCCTGACCAAGAAAACGGGTGCCCCTTGTTCGCTTTTCTTTGCTTGCTTTCTCTTTGAACTCTACAAACATCGTGCGCCCCGAAAATTTCCCCCATCCTACCCTCCCGTTTGACCAGCTCCAGGTCCCAAGTTCGATCTTTCGACAGGGGGTGACCTATTCGCAGCGCGGGCTTTGCGAGATCTGGACGCGCCCAGAAGGCGGGTGGCTGCACTATGGGAAACGTGTCGCCTTTGGTCATATAGGTGTCCCAAAAGGTCTTTGGGGCAAGGGTTTTCTGTGTTTAACGCGTCCTTCACGTATCGTGATTCAGTGGCTGGACTCCAAAACTTAGTCTGCAGCATTGAAAGCTCCGAGGCTTGAGGTGCATAACCGTTGTTTGGGATTGAAATTAGCTTTGCCAGTCAGAGCCATGCTCGAAGAGACCTCAAGCAGAACCAACCATTTCAACGTCATGAGCCATGCTCGAAGAGACCTCAAGCAGAACCAACCATTTCAACGTCATTAGAGACGCCCCTGGCTGTAGTACTTTTGGAGACCTGCTTTATCCACTTTGGCAAGTTGCGCAATTAGACTCTCATAGCGTCTTGCATCTGGGCATGGCTTTGACCCCCAAATTGCCAAAGCCAGAGGCTGTGTCCTCCAAGCCAGGAATGGCTATCAATTCAACTGAATCCTAGCCAGTGCTTGCTTTGCTGTCAGTCCCAACCACCGATCGGGAAGCTGAGTCGGCCAATGCCAAACTTCCAAACTTTGACAACCTGATTCTGTTTTGGGCTAGCCGTGTTTGGTAGTAGGTGCTTTTTGAATCCAACTGCCTCTTTTCTTACAGGCCTACAGGCCTTGGCAGGCTTGAGCTAAGCCAGCCGCATCGCCGCAGCATTTCGCTCGCCAGGAGTCCATGCTTTTGCGGAGGACGGGACTGCAACAGGTGCAACCCAGTGGATGGCAGGCAAGTGCAGGAAGCAGCGAGCCAAGTTCCATGAAGTGTTCAAGGGTGGGGAACACTTTGGTTACATGTACAGGTATGTCAATAGAAGTGCGCAATACGTAATTACAACGAGAAGGTCGTTGTTTCCATAGCTTGCAACCTGATTCTTCAGCGTGGTTTCCTTTGAGGAGCCAGCAGGTTTAGATCTCAAGTGGCGGGTTTCGGGAGGATAAGCAAAGCAGAGGATGGCCTGTTTGGCCGCATCGAGCAACTGAGCCCGCTTGGAAGGATTTCAAGCACCTGCCGGTGGAAAAAACATGGTTTGGCCACATGGTCGTAGACACGCGATACCAAGAGAACCCTTTCAAAGTGGAATGCCCCACTTCCCACATGCTGCGACACTCCTACTAACAAGTTTCCGCAAAGCCATTCCCACTTTCCCCTCCCCCACTGCAAAGGCCAGCCCAGTCAACTTGTTGGTAAAGCAGCACTTACCCCTCACCAAACCCCACAAGACAGGCACATTAACCAGGGTTGGGTCATCACTTTTGGGCCTGGCATGCAAGTACCCCAGTTGTTCAGTGGTAGCTTTGGTTACATGTTCACGCGAACATACAGTGTTCCCCTTTTCTACCAGAGGAGTACTGTTTCATCCACTTCGCACTCACTAAGCTGGCTGGTCATCCAAGTACTGTTTCATCCAATCCTTAAAATCCTAGGACGTACTGTGGATGGACGACATCCACCACCTAAGAAACCCTGGTGTCTGATGATTCCCCTGTAAATACCAACAAACCATGACTTTCCACCGTGGTTTCGAAGTGGCGCGAACGGATTTGGTCCATCTCGTGCCTTCAAAGGCGTCCTTTCTGATTGGCCCGAGGAGGCCGAGTCCGTGTGCCTCACGAACCCCACCCCCACTCCCACGCCGAGCCCCACGCCGAGCCCCACGCCGAGCCCCACGCCGAGCCCAACACCGAGCCCCACGCCCAGCCCGCCGAGCGGGAACTGGGAAAAGCACGCAGGAGCCTTGGCAGCAGTTGGTAACTCAAACAAAAGACCAGGAATTGGCCTAACAGCAATGTGAAAAGGGCAGGCTGGGAGGCGTTTGCTTTTTTTGCAACCCAAGGCCTGCTCTTTGCTTGTGCGAACTGCAACGCCCAAAAGGAAGGATGTGTTTTGGAAGTACTGACTTAACTTTTGTTTGGCAGGTTTTTGCGTCATTTCATTTACTCCAACCAAGTTTGAATTTGCGCCGGCCAGCAAAATCAACAGGCCATGGAGCGGCCATCATTCCTTTTGACCCTCCTTGAAGCTTTACTCCCTTCAGCAACAAGATCATGCTGCCGCGTTATCCTGTGCGGTCTGCGTGGCAGCCTGGTGGTGGTCGTGCACTTGCAAAGATGATATCTGTGCCTTATAAGTACTTAATACGAGATGTGCCACCACTTTGAACTTGACCTTATGACATGGTGCCTAAAGCACGGTTTTGCACTACACATCGTGGGCTCAACTGGGGGTGGAAGGAGCGTACTGGGGGGAACCTGTATTCAGGTTGGGCAGCTAGATGTTAGGGCTGGTTGGTGAATGCCAGTTGCGCAAGGTCGACTCGCTTGATGCGGTTGGTGTGCTTAACTCATTGCAAGCGGCATCTGAATTCTCAGTTGCAATCAACATGCATGCGCTGAAATGCTTCGCAGCAACAGCCTCAGTTGCGAGCCAGGCAAGGACTTAATTAGCTTTTGGTTTGCTTGGCCTTAGCCCTGGACATACCCAACACTTGCAACCACACAATTCGAGCCAAGATGTTGCCATACTTGTTCGCCCTGTTGCGACCCAAGCTAGCCCTACACACCCCCAACACAAATCACAGGTTGCGGCATGTGACATGTGCGAGCTATGATTCTTCAGCACTTGCGAGCTATGATCAATTAGTTCAACCTGGGTATGCGCAATCCCCAAGAAGTTGGGTGCTAGCTCGTCCATGTTCAATTTCCAGGAAGGCAATTTCCTCAATTGGTTCCAGGTCAGTAGTTGCCAATTTAGGCTTCTTGGGATGGACTGCAGTGGGTGCATTCTCATCAGCGTTGCGAAGATGCCTAAGCAAAAGCGCAAGAACAACCCACATGGTTGTTTTCCGTCGCTCCTTTTTGCGTTTCGCCTAGCGTTTTCACCCCTTTTGAACAGCAAGAAGGGCTTCCTGCGCACGGTCGTTTCTGGGCATCATTTACTGAACACATTGGCAGACGTGGTTCATCACGCACCTCGGTTTCGCTTTATTGAAACCAGGAAATTCCTGCAGTGACCAGAAATCATGTTTCTGGAGACCCAGAAAGTTTTGTGGTTTTTGGTTTGGCGCGCCTGGTTTCTGAATATTGTGAAAGCATTGCCTCCGGATACTCTCGGGTCACCGCTCTCGGGTCACCGCTCCTAAATTTCATTCAGATGCTGACCGGTGGCATTCAGAAGCTCCTCCTCGTGCTGGGTGGGACTACTTGGGCGGGGTTGCTTACCATGTGGTGCTTGTCATGCATGTGTTGGGTGGGATGACTTGGGCGGGGGCGCTTACCATGTGTGCGGTGGGGTCGCTTGGGCGAGGGTGTTTACGCTGTGTTGGGCGGGGTCGCTTGGGCAAACTACCATGTGTGGGGTGCGAGCGTGCTTGCCGTGTGTTGCGTGGGATGACTTGGGCGGGGAATCGCTTGGGCGGGGGTGTGAACGATGTTTTGGGTGAGATCACTTGAGCGGGTACCATTTGTTGGGTGGAAGGTGCTTGCCACGCGTTGGGTGGGATCACCTTGGGCGGGGGCGCTTACCATGTGTTGGGGGTAACTTGTGCGGGTGTTTACTGTGTTGGGTGGGATCACTTGGGCGGGGTACCATGTGTGGGTGTGGGGAGCGAAAAAGATGGGTTGGGTGGGGGCGGGAGTGCTTATCATGTGCTGGGTGGGTTGAGTGGGATCGCTGACGGAGAAGCGTCTGATTCCGTCGATGCAAAAAAATGCGAAGGGCTGGGCCCTAGAGATTGCCGGGATAGGCAAAAGTAAGGACGGCCGCCAACCCAACGTCGCGCAGCTTCAAAGAAATTGGTTTCGCCGAGCAAAGCCGCAAACCAGGGCTGGAAAATCTTCCGCGTGGATCTGAAAGCAGCCATGAAAGCGAGACAGCCAGGATTGACTTTCCGAAGAACAAGGTCTGAGTCGAAAATTGAGTTTAAAAATCTTCAGGCGTTTTGCGAAAGAAGGGTCTGAGGAGGTTGTGCTTGCGAGATGTCAGTCCCCGCAAATAGATTCACATGTGCTGACGGGGTGCCCGAATCTTGCTGCAGGCGATGGGTGCAGGCTCACATTCACGACTGCAGATTGTCAGCCAAGCCTATTGAAAGTTGTGGGTGATTTCCAATTTAGCAAACCCATTCGAGATGGTGGCATCCTTCAAGATTCCCTTATGTGATAAGGCTCCTTAGGGCTCCTTGCTGAATTGGGCACTCTGTCGTTGGCAATCTTAAGTCATGCTATTATAGAAGGCAAAAGCATGGGTCTCGTGCGAAACCAAAAATACCATGTGGGGGAGAACATGCCTGAACCACTTGCCCAACGACGACCTGGAATTCAAAGATTGGCCGTGTGGCGCCACGACTTTTGTGAGAGCGAAAGCAAACCAGAATTCTCAAACCAAGGACCCGCAAGGGTAGTATTCAGCAACACTGAAAGTAAAATCAATTGGCGCCGGGCACTTCGAACCTAAAAATCAGCCAAAGCTCTTTTCGGAGCTTCCCATCAACTTCCCAGAGCTCAAAGCCTTGCAAAGCCTTCCTCATTGGGCTTTTAAGCAGGAGACTCTCACTATTCGAAGAAACGAGGTGCCTTTGCCCCCCTCCCCCAATTGTTATGGACGCAATTAGTGTCCGCTGCCGTTTGGCTCCAGCTCGTGGCCTCGCCTTTCACTGCCCTTTCTTGGTGGTCCTGGTGGTCCTGAGAATTGGTTGTGGTTTGCCCGATTCTTGCCTTGGCTCACTCCTTGCTTCGGCACTGGGCCGGGCCTTGGCAGCCTCGATAGGACTCTGTGCTTGGGAGGGCTGGGCGTGACTTCTTTGCTGGGCGCTAAGACAGTGCTAGGATGAGAGGCAGGCCAGGGCGCAGCACATCTTCCAGGAGCGGGGCAGGAAGCGGCAAGAAGCCTTGGCTTGGCGGCAGGATAGTCGGCCGTGCCCCCTGCTCAAGGTCCTGCTGCTCCTGTCTCACAAGATCAAGCGACAGGAGTGCCCCAGCGAGGAGCCGCCGACGCTAGCTGTTGTGGCGGAACAGCCACGCACCGCGGCGAGGTTCTGCAAGACCGGAATCAATTTCGACCTTGAACGGGCCCCTGAAGAGCGACTTGATCTGAGCGCAAAGCGCTGTGTGCTTTGCCGCAGAGCCAAAAGTCCAAGAGCAACCTCGAGAAAACTCAAGAAATTCTTGCACCAGCTTCAGCGGTAGAGATAAGCTGTGGGGTCACTTGGGCTCGGGCTTACCATTACGATGTGTTGGGTGGGATCACTTTAGCAGGGTACCATGTGTTGAGTGGGAGGGTGCTTGCCATGTGTTGGGTGGTCACTTCAGTGGAGAGTTATTGTGTGTTGGGTGGGATCACTTCCTTCCCAGGTGTTTACAATGTGTTGCTTGACCATGGGGTACAATGTGTTTGGGTGGGAGGGTGCTTGTCATGTCTTGTGTGGGCCACCTGGGGAGGGGTGTTTACCAAGTGCGGGGTTGCTTGGGCGGGGGCGCTTGCCATGTGTTGGTGGGATCGCTTGGGCGGGGGTGTTTACAATGTGTTGGGTGGGGCCATGTGTTGGGTGGGATCGCTTGGGCGAGTTACTATGTGCTGGGCGGGGGTGATTACCATGCGTTGGCTGGGGTGACTTGGGGGGAATGTTTGCTTACCATATGTTGGGTGGGATTACTTGGGCGGGGGTGGACAAAACAAAACTTGGCGGGGGCGCTTGCCACATCGTTTTGCATGTGGGTGACCGTGTTGGCTGGGATCACCTGGGCGGGGACGCTTGCCATGTGTTGGGTGGGATCGCTTGGGCGGGGTTCCATGCAGGGTGGGAGGGTGGGATCACTTGGGCGGGGGCGCTTGTTGCGTTGGGCGGGTTACCATGACGGTGCCAAAAGTGGCCTTCTTGCGAAGTGTGCAAAACGTGGGGTTTTGCACGTCCGACCCGGCTGCAAGAACAAGAGCTGTATAAACCTCACAAGAGGGACGCACCTCACAGCCATTCTACTGTTGGTCCAGAAAGTCTGCACTGCGCAGCAGCCACTGCAAAAGCGAATCTGGGTCTGTCTTCTCTTGATTTATCCCCATTTAAAACAACAACCTTCAGATTGGGGGGCCCCTTACACAACAAACTCACCCATATAGCCGGCCCAGTTTCGCTGAGGCTTGAATTGCTACCAGAACCACGGTGCCGAGGGTATCTCCGGCAAAGACCCTGTGGAGGGGCGAATCTCCCTCGGGCAGTGCCAGCAGGAGTGCCTCCAGGAGAAGGCCGGGGCCCGGGCAATTGTTTTGACACAAATGTGGTTTTCCTGGAGGTTTGCCTTGAAAACTACATCAAAAATTGCACCCTCAAACAGAACAAATGCGCCCAAGCCCAACCGAAAGAGAACAGTAGGAAACTGGGGAAGTGGAACGCAACCCAAGTTGGGATGATCTTTTGTGTGTGGCTTGGCTGCTGAGCAAAGGTGCCGGCTTCTGGGCCAGGGAGCACGGGAAACCTGTGATTTGCACGGTGAGGATCTTGAGACATCCTGCAATGCAACATTTGTTGCAGCTCTCTTGGTTTGCACAACCTGCCCTGGGAAACCAAAGGGCTGTTTCAAGCAGCTGCGTCAAGGTCTTTAATCAAGAGGTTGGCCCACGCCCTCCCACCAACATTGTGACATGGAAGCTGGCCGACATTTGAGTTTTCGGGCATGTTCAATCATTGTGTCATGCTCAGAACGTCCAGCTTCTATCTCGGACCTATCAAACATGGGCTTGTCCTTTTGCTATTGTTTCCTTCTTTTGCTTGGCCGCCTTTGGCCCTGTGGTTGTGGCTTGACTTTTTTTCGGGGGTAATACGCCAGCTAGAGCCCCCAGAAGAAAACACAGCTACCAAGTAGATTTCACTGAGTAAAACAGGCAAAATTTGCACTTTTGCCTGGGCAACTAAGGACTGCGTTGCCATTGCAACTCGGCGCAGCTCAGGAGTACCGTTTTGTGCGAAAACTTAACACTCCCCAAACTTGTGGCACTTCGCTATGGAATCAGGTATATAACCCTCAGTTCATGGTTTGTTTGTGAACCCCGGGATCTCGTGGGTTAAAACATAAAAAAACCGCCCCCACCTCCAAGCCATAAATCCAAACCAGTTAGAGGGAAGCTGAGAGAACACAACTTTGCGCGTCTCTTTTTAAGGGACCCGCAGAAATGTTTTGCTTTTGGCATCCCTTTAAACCAACCAAAAAGGGGTGCACTCAAATGACAGGCACATTTGAAGCCAGGCATTTCGGCCACTTGCACATTGATTTTTTACTTGAGGCCGGTTGAACGTGCCTTGGGGTTGGGGAACAGTTGCGACTTCAAGGCGGTTGTTCCGTGCAGCCTTGTTTTCGCAAGTAACGCGTATATTCACTTTTCGGGTGACAGGAGATAACGCGTTGGGGCCACCCTCTGCAGGAGCAGCAGCAGAAGCATTAGTAGGAGTAGTTGTTGTTGTTGTTGTTGCTGCTGCTGGTGTTCCCGCTGCTGTTGATGTCGTGGTTGTCATCCTTTTTGTAATGCTACCTTGGGCCCTTGGATTCGTCGCCCCGTTTTGAGGTCATGCCCAACGGCCACTCGCCTCCAACCACCTGCTGGTTACGAAAGAACGTGGACAAGACGCGATGCCAAGCAGGCGCTTCGGTGCCAAAAGCGGGTCCTTGTTTCGGGAAACAACTTGTTTCGGGAAACAAACGAATCAGACTAAAGCTTGCGACCCCTTCCCGGAAATGAGGCTTTCAGTGTGTCCTCAAGCGTGCCTTTTGTTTGATGAACTTTGGGGAGCCCGTTTCAAGAGATTTGAGGAACAGCGACCTTTGCGACACCCATACGTGCCGATGTTGGGCCAGTGTGTTGCACATTGACGGACTGCAAGGGGCTCCCTTGACAGGATGTGCTCCGTGTTGCCCCTCTCCCCTTGCGAATCAGCATGGGCCCAAGAAAGGGTGTCCCCAAAGGAGGTTCCTTTCAACTTGATGAAGTTCTTGGTTTCATGCTAGTGTGCAGAAGTGTTTGAAGTGACTGAATCATACATGTGCACTTCTCCATCCCAGGCAGCCCCTACGACCTTTGGGTGCGCCCGGGTGCCTCCATCGAGGGCGGCGGCGGCGGCAGTGGGGTGGAGACTGAGACCTGCTGCGCGGGATACGAGGCTTGGCCCAACGTGGATGGCGTGACCTGCGACGGCTGCACCGCCCCTTGGAAGGCACAAGGCAAACGGGCGGCCTGGGTGGGTGGCGGGCGGGTGGGTGGGTGTCTGCGCATCTGTGTGTCTGTGTGTGTTTTTAAGGGAAGCCTGGAAGAAGGCCGCAACTTTCGGGGTCCAAATCCCCCTTTTGACACTGACCCAAATGTTGCCCAACCCCAACTTTCGGGCCCTGGGAGCTCGAGCATGTTCTGTTCCACTGCCGACTCGGCATTTGGTATGACATGTGCTGTCCTTTGAGTTTTTGAGCCCCCGATGGTTCTGTATGTTTTCATGTCAGGCCACCACGTTTCTTGCGAGGCATCATGATGGGGTGGGTGCTTTGTTTATGCACGGCAGCGCATACGGGCAGCCAAGTTCGCTGCACTTTCATGCTATAGGTTTGCTGTTGGTTTGCTCTTTCAATCTATGACGGGTGCGTTGAAAGTTGACCCGAGTTGCATGAGAATTGACTTTTCCTGCAGTGCTTGGGTGCAGGTTGCATGGCACGCAAGGGGTGTCATTCAACGGTTCTGATTTGGCTCGTCCCCTCTCCGCCAGCGAAGGGCGTCGTGTTGAAGGGATCATCTGTGAGACGATTGCTCGGAAGGGCGCAGAAGCTGCCGCTCGAGCATTTGCATTCAAGTGCTCCGAAAAGCTGACCTGTTTCCCAGGTTTGCTTCATGTTCAGCCCTTCAAAAGGTCCCTCTAGCGCTAGTAATTCCAACATGCTCAATTATCCCAAAAGGAAGCCAAGAGGCGATGTTTTTTGGTGATACCAACAGAAAGTCCTTTGTTAGGGTTTGTTCCTTTGGATTCGTATTCCTTTGCCTTTGGTTCCGACCTGGTTCCTTTGTTTTTTTTGGGGCCGCGGGCTGTTCGCTGAGGCCCTGGTTTTGACGGAGCCCTACGGGGGTCGTTGCGACAAGTACTGCGAGTCCTTCGGCCACGAGTGCTTCATGGCCGCGGAGGAGGTGAACGAAGATTGCGCGGTGAAGTGCCTCGATCCCGGGAGACTACCATGGGACCATGGGGTCTCCTTTGTCTAGAGGGCTATAGACGTGAATTCGGACTATCCGTTCCATTAGAGGGTCTCTTTTGTCCTTTCGACTCGGGGCCTCTTATTTCAAGAAGCTGGGGCTGGAAGTTTGCTTTTTCCGGTCGGACCATTTTAGTGGAAGAGTAACCCTTTGATTCCTGCGTCCAGTGGTTTTGTCTCACCTCCGACATGCTTTTGGGGACCAACGCATCCCTAGGCAGAGCTCAGTGGTAAACAACAAGTTTAGACTTTCTTGGCCAATCTATTCAGGAAGTGAGCTTGCGTTTTTCACTTGAGGTGCTTGGGAAAACCACATGGTCCAAGTCATGTTCAAATTTGAGCAAGCAAACACGTGTTCATGTCATGCATTTGTAAATGCAATGCTACCAAATCACAACATGAACAGGTACAGCAACGATCGCTGCGACCAGCCCATCCTGGACACCTCGGACATGTTGTGTGGGTGCCGCCTGAAGCGTGCCTTGAACGAGCCCAAGTGCGACTGGCCGCCCCCATCGCCGCCCACACCCCCCACGCCCCCAACGTCTGAGTGCTGCAGGCGGGATCGGCAAAAACATCGGCGTGCCCTGTTTGGAGCATATATTGGTGTCATTCTGCGGCGCCTGTCACGGGGTATTCTGTTTAGGCCAGTTGTGCATGTGTCCAAGAAGAAATCATCACTTTCAAGGTGAAACCAGGCATGTTTTCCAATTTGTCAGTCCAAAAAGAACTAGCCTCAGTTACCCAGCCACTGACAACAGGAAGGTAGAACGCGCAAACAAAGCGGTCTCGCAAAAGGAAGGCGGTAACTCACAAGTTGGTTGGTGTCCATAACGAAGGTACAAGGCAATCGAAGAAAAAGGAAGTTGGTCGCAAAGAGCACTGGTGATTTTCTGGCCAGTCCCTTCGCATCTTGGCCGAGCTTGGACGCTGTCACCTGCAGCGATTGCATGGCGCTGGTCCAGGCCAGGATTCCTTTTGGATTTTTGAGACCCAGGAAAACGGATTTCGATCTTCCTTTAAATGTGTTCAAAAGCCACTGTGACACTGGTCCCCTCAGAACGGACAGACCCCTTTTTGGATGGTGTGGAAGGGAACCAACAGGAAATCTACCTTGTGGGCAGCCCAACTTTCAGAAGCAGCCATGTGATTTACATGGTTTAAAGCCAAGTTTAACATAGAGACTGGTTTAAATCATTGTTTAATTAATGGCCGTCAATTTTGAGCTGGGTGTTGGTGTCTTTTTTAGGGACCCCAAAATGGCGGTGTTTCTTTCGGTGTTCCCGGGAAACCGCAAGAACCACATCTCCTCAAAGGACACACCCACTTAGACTTTCGACAGTCATTCTCATTCCAGCCTCGAAATCCCTTTTTGATTGTCGCGTGCCCAAGTCAAGATGGTCATCCAAAAGGCGTCCCTTTTTCCCACCAGGGTCACTGGTGGCAACTGGATAGCCCACTAACAAATATTCATGTTCAATGTATTTCTAGTGACTCAAAGTGGGTGGATATGTATATCTATACATATGTATCTATACATACATATGTACATATTCATGTTTGTCTATCTAAATTTACGAGCATCCTATGTGTATATACATATATATGTAGACATGCACATACATATTATGCATGCATACATACATACATACATACATACATACATACATACATACATACATACATACATACATACATACATACATACATACATACATACATACATACATACATACATACATACATACATACATACATACATACATACATACATACATACATACATACATACATACATACATACATACATACATACATACATACATACATACATACATACATACATACATACATACATACATACATACATACATACATACATACATACATACATACATACATACATACATACATACATACATACATACATACATACATACATACATACATACATACATACATATATGTATGTATATTCACATATTCTGCGTGGTTGGCCATGTGGTTTGGCACATGTTTCAGAGATCTCTCCCAGGCGGAGCCTTTCGGAGGCCGCTGCGACAGATACTGCGAGTCCTTCGGCCACGTCTGCGTGATGGCCGCGGAGGCGATGGGAACCATTGGGAGCCTAGCCACCTACACCACCTACCCCACCTACCCCACCTACCCACCTACCCCACCTACCCCCCCCCCCAGAAAAAAAACGGGCTCAGGTGATATCCCCAACAGCCTGCGGTGCTCTTTTGAGTGCTCGCACCACCTTGCAGTTTTTTTCAGAATCTTGTAGAAGCCTGGTGGAAATCTGGTGGAACCGTTTTGGTTTTGAGGCCCAGCTGAAAGCTTTTGCAATCGGTTCTGTTGTGGATGTGTCAAGAGCTTACCTGGCGGTAAAATGATCTCAATGTTGAAGCTTCCAGTGGGAGCCCAACATTGACCGTTCCGAGTGTTGAGATTCTATGGAAATCCAAACTCTAAGGGCAGGCAGCTTTGCGAGCTAGCAGCAAAACCAGGCGCCAAGCAACCGAACCCCAGCGTTCAACCCAATTGTGATGATGATTAACCTTAAGTAAGAAGTGTTGGTTATACGCAGCCCCGTTGTTGTAAGGGTGGTTTTAACCCCAGGGCTGAGTTGCTTGCTTGATCTCATTTGCGTTTAGTTCCCTGGATGAAAACCACTGAGTTCTGGAACCATGCAACAACACAAGCGAGACTGAGGCAACTGTTTCTCGGAGGCAAAAGTCAAGCTAAGCATAAGAAAACACATTATCTACTACTACTGACATGTCTTGGGTGGCTTGTGCATGAGCAACTATCTCGCACACACAGTGCTCGGAACTTAGTAAGGCATGCAAAAGCTGGACCCCTGCAAAACGATGATGTGTGAACACGTTGCCATGTGTTTGTTCCACTCAAAAGGGCACGGATGCATATAATGAGTTTGATTTGGCCAGAAAAGGACCCCGGAAAGTTCACAGCTAGAGTCTCCTCGTGTTCCTTGCGGCCCAGCTCACGCGACACCGTGGATGGGCGACATCCGCTTCGCACCAGTTGGGATGGATGAAGCCTCATGAAAGCCCAACTGCTGCGAAGTGGATGTTGTCCATCCACATGGATGGTACGCATGTGCCTCACTGTGCGAGGAGCAGGAAGAGAACTGTGAGATCAAGCCGCGCGCCTAGAAGAATGCGGTGACAAGTCCTTGGATTTCAGGGCAGCATTGTACGACTGCCCGCGCGATGGGAGACTGGTTTACGAGTTTTAGATGATGACATGATCTTTTTCGTAGACTTGCCCACGGCAAAACGGTTCAACCTTTCAACCTGGCATGGCTTATTCATTCATCGCTGGCTTCTTGGCCGATGACTAAAGCTTGTGGAAACAGGAGGTGGGCCTTGTTGGCACCTGAAACCCCCGACGGCCCGACGGGTCGGAAAGGAGAGGGATTTGCTGAGGTGGCCTTGGGTCATAAGCCGAATCGTACCCCCAGTGAACATCCCAATCCAACCACTAAAATAGACTCAAATGGGTGGTGAATTCACCTACCCCAAAATATTACCATTGGTTTTGACCACAGCCAGGTATGAGAAGGCCTGCAACGAGGCGATCACCGGCACCAGCGACATCCTCTGCCGCTGCGTGAAGCCCGATGCTCCCGAGACCTGCCCACAGAAGCCGGAGGTTCCCACGCCCTCGCCGGACAAGAGGACTGTGGATGTCGGTTTGTCACATGAGGTGGCCACCACAGGAGGGCATGTTCCATTTGTGGCTTAAGTTGTTGAACGGTGTTTGTTGATGAGGTGCGTGTAGTCATGCTCCATTGGCGTGGCTTAAGCTGGTTGTACGACGTGCTTTGGGGTTCCATCTCCCCTCTGCACGCCCCGCAGGATCCAGGTGGTGGGTCGACAGCTGCTGGTGAACGGCGCCCCTTTGCACCTGAAAGGCGTGGCTTGGAACCCGGTGCCCAAGGGCGGGCGCCACCCGGCAGACCTGGACTTCGCATCCTTCGTGGAGCGCCTCGGGTGGAGAGATGTGGAGGGGTGGAGGGGGCAGATGGCCGGAGCTGGAGCAAGCCTGTAGCCAAGTCCAACTCAAACCCAGGCTTTGTCCTGGATGTGGCTGGCTCAGGATTTGCCCATTTCTCCCGAAGTGGCACTCAGGAACATGGTTGTGGACACTTAGGCTTCAGCTTGCCGCTGTCTGCAATGCCTAAGAAAATTCTCCTTGTAGATGACAAAGTAGCCACAGGAATGGCCCACTGAGTCACAGCTCAGGAAAGATGCCGAGCTGATGCAGAGCATGGGGATCAACGCAGTGCGAACCTATGAGCCAATCACGGACAAAGCCGTGCTGGACACTCTGTGGAGCAGAGGCCATGGGCAACATTTGCCGGGTGCTGGGTTGCACGTATGGGTGCATGTTTTTGAGGGTACCCTTTTGAGTTAGTTTCACGGGACACCAACAGAAAACACCTCCGCTTTTGGGGTCCCCCTGTTTTGCGCTTTGCAATCTACTGCTCAAGTGGGACAATGCAAAACGTGGCCCAAAGTCCACCTCTGGCTCTTTTGGGTGTCCATTGCCCTTTTTCCGGACCCTTTTGGGCAAGTTGCATGGGCATCCCCTCGGTTTAGAAAAGCCTGCCCCAAACGGCTTCCAATTTAACGGGTCGCTCGTTGGGCCCTATGAAGAAGCAGAGCGCGCCGTAGCACACCCTTCCTGAATTGTTCAAGCGAAGCAAGCGAGGCGGGGCACGTTTTCTGAAAAATCGCCAGGAATTCGGATCCAGAGTTCGCATTTGTTAGGTTTTTTGGCTTTGATTTTCTTCTTGGGAAAGAGGTTGAATTTCAACAGGTTACTTCAGCGTGATTTGGGCCACTTAGGCTACAGAGGCGCCACTTGGAAATAAGTTCCTCGTGGCCACCTTAAAGATTGTGCATTTGATCCCCAAGCAAACTGGGCGCAGTTGATGACGAGCCAGTGGCGACACCCGAATGAGTTAGCACACTGCATTAAGTGGCTTCTTCGTGACCCCAAAGTGACCTCGGTTCGCTTCCGTGCGAGGCTCAAATGACATGCATTGACACTCATATGGCCATGGGGCACAACCTATGGCTCCATTTTGGGGTGGATGAACATCCATTTGCCACCTATTTTGATGTTCACCAGGGGTTCAGGGCTTTGACCCACAGCCATAATTGAGTAACATCAGGCAATCCACCGCTGCCACGTCGTTTGGCCATGCTTCTGTCTACAAGCTGACTTGAGACTCAAGCCTCGCTCGGCAAAAGAGGCCACTTTGAAGCGCCGAAAAGACGCCACTTAGGGCGTGGCCTCGTGTCATTTGTCTAAGTGACAGAAGCTGGACGCTTTTGGGGTGTCTTTCCTGCAACTCACTGTTTAGAGAGAGTAATTTCAAGGATGTCACTGTCATAGACGCAGTTCTGCATGTAGCATGGCAAGTGGCCGACAGAGGCATTTGGGTGGTGAACAGTGTCTACAACTGGGGTGGGGCTTCGGCAGACTCCGCCGCAAATCCCGTGAATGCGGTGAAAGACCACCCGGCGATCCTGATGTGGAGCACCTTCGATCCTGATGTGGAGCACTAACCTTGCTGGTGCGATAGGGGAATGAGTTGGAATGACCCCTAACCATGCCCTATGGCCCTATGGTTTCCTTTGCGGGATGGGTTCATTCCCACATTCCCTACCTATCGCTCCAGCAAGTAGCTGTTGAACGTTCTCCTTTGGCTTCTTGCACTATTCAACAAAGTTCAAACATGTGTTCATGTTACTATTCAAGGATGTGCAATGTAGGCAAGAGAGTCCAAACATGCATTTGTGCTCATAGCGGGGCGCTGAACAGCAGTGGATGTACACGACAGTGAGGCATTGGCAATGAGTGGAACTACAACGGCCTCTACGTGGGGAAAAGCTTCTTTGACTGTGTCAGCATGATCCGTGATGTGGCTCGAGTGGTGCGCCAGCACGACACCAGCCACCCAATCTCCTCCATCTTCGGAGATGTCGGCAAGCTGGATCAAGCCTCGGATTCCTTGCCGGAAATCGACGTGTGGCTCTGCCCAAAGCCGACCTTCTGACCTTTTAGTTTCCCCTTGTATGTCCCTGGACCCTCAAACTACCCATAAAAATTGGATATCGCCCCATAGTTTTGGGGGGTCAAACCCATTCTTAAGGGAATTTTGAGGGTTCAGGTCCATTGTTCTTCACCGTCAAATGGGGCACCTGAGGTGGGGCGTCAACGCGTATCGCGGGATCAGCTTCGGAGATCTCTTCACATCCTTCGAGAAGGCAACTGACAAGCCCTTGTATTTTGGAGAGCTCCTGGCTTGCAGTGGCATGAAAGTCGGAAGTAGTCGGCACAATTCCCCTCATCCACACGAATTATCCACCTACTTTCACCCGGAACCACTTTGGCGCCTTGAGGTTCGAAGTGTGCCTCGTTTTGTGGAAGGCTCGATTCTTGCATGGGCCCAATCCCGGTGAATGAGTGAATGTCCATAATGTCATGAGTCATCACGTTCAGCCATGCCCTGAGTGCCCTGTAATTTCACCAATTCACCAGGGCTGTTTGGTTGGATGTGACCTGTTTTGCTGAATTGGCGATGTGGCGCCATGCGAGCCAATCACTTGCGAAAGAGCCGAGGTATGGTGCAGATGCCTTCAACGCCAAGATCGACAGGGAAGACCAGGAGTGGCCAACAAAAGCGCCGACAGCCCATTTGGATTCAACTGTCGGTTAGGAATTAATGCCCAGAAATCAATTGCCAAGGTCCCTGCTGTGTGAATTCGAAGCTTCCAAGCTTGGCGCATTTTGGCGAGACTTAACAGCGGCATGGGACAGAGAGAGCCCCCTGGCATGGATCGAAAGAGAAGTTGGCTGCCGGTAGCCTCATTTCAAGGAATCAATTGGAATGTTTGGTAGGTTGTACCTTCCATTTCCATTCTTAACCCAGGGATCCGGATCTTTCTAGAAAACCTTCCGGAAACCCAGGGAAAACGGTCAGTTCTTGGAAAGAACGATGGTTGAAAATGGAAAAGGAATCAACCCCTAGATTGGTAGGAGAGGTGTAGTCGGTGGTTGGGCATGGTAAGGATGCCGCAGGGACCCACCTGGCGGCCTGGCGGTGGCCCGTGATGGCAAGCTTGGAGCAAACACGAGGTCAAAGATGCAGCGGGTCAACGTTAAACGAGTTAAACCACCAGGGGACCGCCTGTTTTAGTCATGGGTTCCATTTACCAGGGTTCCATTTTGGGTACTCATTTTTGACCCACAGCCATATGTTCTGTGGTACGTTCACTGTGATGGCCGCTATTCCTTTGCTGGAACCGAGCTCACTATGATGAAGCTCTAGGATTTGCAGATTTGCCAAGGCAGTCCGTCTTTTGGCTTGCCCCTTTTCTCGGCATGGCCAGCCCAACGCTCAACTTAAATTACTGCCCAGTAACACCCGTGTTGTTTGGCTTGGAGTCAAATTCTTGCCAATCGGCAAAGAGGAGATGGCCCAGCCACACATGTGCCTTTTCTGGGAGGGCGTGTCCTAATCTGTTGGCCAAACTTAACCATGCGCAAAAAGAGTGGGGGGGGGGGGTAGCTGCTTTTTCTTACTGGCGCTCAGTCGGGAATGACCTTCCTGGTGTTGGGAAAGAATCGGAAGAGCGGTCCCCTGAAAGGAAACCTAGGCTACTATCGGGTTCCCTGAAAGGAAACCACCTGAACCCTCAAAATTCCCTTAAAAATGGGTTTGACCCCCAAAATTATAGGGTGATATCCCATTTTTATGGGTAGTTTGAGGGCAGGCACAAAAAAGTGGGTGTTTTTGCTCGGGGTGATTCCCTTTCTCATTTTCAGGTTGCAGGCCGCGGAAATCCGAAAGCAACTCCGCAGGAGTCGCAGGCGAAGGCAACCACTCAGCTCACTGAGGCGAGAGTTCTGGAGAGTTCTCGGGGGAGAGACGAGCCGAACGCCATGCTTGGACGGGGGACCGATTCTGTGGAAACTGCAGCATGCAACTCGTGGTTTTGTTCGGGGATCCCTGACTTGGAATCCCAAACTGAAGCATCCAACTGGTGGTTTACTACGGAGTTCCCGCAGAGACCTGGTGCCGAATGGCTTGGTGAACGGGATCAACCCAAACGTTTAGGTTTTTCCCCCTGAACTTCGCCAACCTTGGCGATTTGGCTCCTCTGAACCAGTTCCTTGCAGCTCTGAGCCAAGAGACTTCGTTCAGAAAGTTTGCGGCTAACCTCGGTTTTCCCCTGTTCGTTACGGATACCGGTGGTGTGGCTGCCTCGGTTTTCCCCTGTTCACAAGGGAAAAAGTGGTGCACCCCCCCTCTTTTCTCCGTTTGCCGTTTGTACGAGGTACGGGTAGAACTCGCAACACAACCAAATCGCGGCCCATTGAAAACGACGATGATTGAGACATAGTGGCTCGAACATGTTAGACCATCGTGGCTTAAGCCGATTTCCAGGGGGCTTCCTTTCTCACGTCTTGAACGAGTTGACGTTTAACAGTGGGAAGGAGGGCAGGAATCTTAGAACCTCCAACAAATGCCTTTGGAGGTCGACATCTTCAATGTAGGCCCCCACAACGCCCTCCAATGAAGGGTGAAAGGCCAAGTCAAAGGCCCTATATTTCCCATGTGTCGCTTTCGATGGTTTTTGTTGTCCGTTCGTTTTATTTTATTTCGCAAAGCCACAACCAGTCAAAGCAGCAGCTTGACTAGGAGATCTTGAGTCAGAGCTCCGTGCTGAACCGGGGCCCCTGCATCGGCGGCTTCATCTTCGAGTTTGCCGACGAGTGGCACAAGGACCAACGAGTGGCACGTGGGGCAGCTGTGCTCTCAATGGACTCAATGGGTTGCTCGTCTTTGCAGGGTACTTTTTTTTTGAAAATGGCCAGGGGCACAAAGGAAACCCAAACTTTGAGGCGACTCTGAGACAAAACCCACATCCTTTTTCCCCACAGCTGAAGGCAACCGGGTTTCCCAGTTCCAGGAGGTCTGTCGGAATACCCGGTCTTCTTTGGTTTGTTTGGGTGGCTTCCCTGCCGCCAAAATTGGATCACCCCAAAACTCAGTTGTTCAAAGCGAATCGACCTTTTGACCTTTTGGATTTTCCATTTTGGTCCATATTTAGTCATGGCCCCAAAAGGTGAACCTTTTAGTTCTAGGTGCTTTGGGCAACTGAGAAAAGGGAGGTGGCCATCCAATGGAGATGCTTGCCAGGACAACGATGGCAGCCCGGACCGCCATGACAACGCTGGCACTGCTCCTGGGGGAGGCCCTTACCCGGATATGACGTTTAACGAGGACGGGCGGTGTGGGTTTGCGTTGTTGGAGCGTGCTAGTCAGATAAGATGTACGGCTGAGTGAAAGTGGTTGCTCATGACAACAACTGGCCATGGTCATGAGGCACGTGGATGCTCTGAAACTCATGAGCCCCCTTTGGATAGACTTTAACGGGAGAACCAGAAAACCAATTTGTGAATCCCCGATCTCTGGAAATACCCATTTCTGGGCAAACGCTCAGCGCTTGCGGCGTTGAGGAGTGGTGGGGCCTGGTCAGCATTGACCGGGAGCGCCGGCTTGCAGTGGATGCATTTGCCAAGACTGCATTGCCCAAGGCTGGAACTGGAGCATCGGATATGAATCCCTACCGCTGAGTTTTCTCACGAGCGAGTTATGCAAATTTTAGTGGTGTCGCTACAGGATTTCTTGGAGGTTTAGCCGGTGAGACAGGTCCACAATTTCAGGCCCCTAATTGAAATTCATAGGAATGTGCCCAAGGGGGCCTCCCCTTGAAAACAGAACCAGCTGTGAAGCCGCGCACGGAGTTATGAAGCGACGCAGCAAGGTTCCCTGTGCCCAATGAGGGCCTTTTGACCTCTGCTTCCCAACTCACGAGTCTCATTTTGGCGGGCTTCCTAGTCTCATGTTCTTTGCCGCCACATGCACGCAACAAAGCTCACAGCATGCGCGCGTGTACTTGCGCGCGGGGTTGACCATTCCCATGGGCCAAGTATGTTAACATGCATAAAGGCTGCTGTTCTTGCACTCCGAGGGGTGAGGGGTTGTTAGAGTGACACTTTTATTTAGCAGCAGGTGGGATGGGGCACGCGATTTCCAATGACTGGGGTTGGGAGGGTTTCCTGTCGTCAGTTGAGAGCCCACATTGTCAGGCAAGCCTGGTGCAGAAGCTGACCAGCTAGATATTTGCCGGGGCATGTCACGACTTGGATTCGTCTGAACTGCGAAGCACAGAAATGATATGGAGCAGGGAGGGTTGTGAGGTTGAGGTTGTCCGTTTCGAGAGAGCCCCATGCCCCCGGCGCAGTGAATCCTACAGGAATTCAATGCACACAAGAAACGTTGCAGCCTGCCTGATGTATGCGCGGCCAATGCAGCCATGCATGCCTCATGTGGCAGCTTTGGACACGGTTTTGCTACACGCAGCTGGGACGCGACCGAGTGGTCGCCCTTGGGCCACAGCTGCTAGACTGCGTAGAGGATGCCGACTCGGGTCAGAGGCACCTGGAAGCTGGGGAAGTGTATCAGGGGAACTTCGGTTGTTTGAGAGCTGGACGACTTCTGATGCGTTCTGGGCAGACGTTCTTCTTGGGAGAATGGCCTGGGCTGGGATACCCTGAGTCGCATCCTGGTCTCTTCCTTTTGCATCAAGTGATATGTTCTATTCCCCCATGGCGTAGGAAGAACTTCACTGGCCTACATTTGTTTCTTTCGTTGCGCCTTGAGCAAGCGGAAGGTTTGGACGCGAGGTGCAACCAAGCACTTTAAAGAGCATGGCCACTTGAATATCCTGTGCGCCATGCGAGTTTGCACGCATTTCAACGTGGACTTCACGAATATCCTGCCAGAAAAAGACGGCAAAGACGGCTTTGGATGATGTTGTTTGGTTTGCTGCGAAGGCCTCAAATTTGTTTGGATCCCAGTGGGCTTGGGCCAAAATGCGTGGCTTCCTTTGGTTTGCCATGAAGATCACCACGCAAGAATGCCCTCAATAAAATATACTCTAAATCCTTTTTCTTGGACACTTACACGGACTTGTACCCCCCCCCCCTCCCCGCTTGTCGCTGAGCGGAGGTTCTAATCTTGCTGGTTTCGCAGAAAGTCTCCAACCTACGCTTAGCGGTTCCTGCGAACGCGCAGCCAACCACCCAACCCAACCCAACTCACGCCACCAGAAACTACCCAACTCACCCAACCCACCCCGACCCAACACAACCCACCCGACCCAACACAACCCACCCAACACAGCCCAACACGACCCAACACAGTCCAGCACAAACAACCAAGCTTGGGGGTCACCTTTTGCTCAGAGAACACGCTACTGGAATGGCCACTGACTTATTCATCGATCCTGCGGGTTCTGGTTCATGGAAAATTATTCCGCAGACGAATTAGGCATTGGAGTCGCTAACCCTGCCCCGACCGCCCACTTGGAACCTGCGAAGGGGAATTGTATGTATAAGGTGCCAAACTCACAGTGCCTTCTCGAGTCCACAGCTGAAAATTTGGCCGGAAGGAGTTTCCAGGTCTGGAACCCAAAAACAGGCTCAAATGGGACCGAACTGGTAGAGAGGCGTAGAGAGGGAGGCCATCTTTGGCAGGGCTTTTTTCAGAGCCCGTGAGTCAGCGAGGCACCCCCAAATACACGGGGGTTGATCAATATTCCCTTCGGCCATGGGTAACTTCTCGCATGTGGGAATATCATCTTCGTAGTGGTTTTCCCCAATGGTCACCCCATGTCAAGGCCCGTTTGATCAACCCACATGGAAGTCAGGAGAGGAGAGCTTGTGCAGAATGAAGCTCACTCAGATGGCGTTGCAAATCCAGGCCCCAATCACCTAACCCTAGATAGGAGACAAGCACGTAATGGGTACAAGAGAGCCACAATATACCATCTTTCGGGGTAAACATGCTTGGGCCCTTGGATGCAGGCCGAGCTTCGTCCTAGCAAAACATTTAGCAACCTTCAACATTGGCCATCAAAAACCCTCAGAATGTCGGGGAAATCTTGGAGCAGGCTTTTGGGAAGAGGCACAGTGACTGTTGGAAAGTTAAAGCTATGGAGCTTATTCACCACTCGAAGGAGTACTACATATGATGAGTTCAATGTTCTCAAAGGAACATTCTGGCCATGTGTTTGAAGCACGTTTTGGCCAGCTGCTTTATAGGACCATCTTGGTAGCGTCCAATTGTTAGATTCGTTTCTTTCAGGCTTTTGTTTTGGTGTATCGTCATGCATGTAGGGTAGTGCAATGCAGTTTGTGTTTTGCGTGCTTTGCGCATGCAGCAGTGCTTTGATTTCCCTAGTTGCTTTTGGCAGGACCGAGTTGAACATGTGTCGAAACTGACAAGACAGAGGGCTTTCGGGTTTGTGGCACACGTGGTCAACCATGTGTTCGCAGAGCTTGGGGCATCCATATGGTTTGAGTGCAAGTTGCAACGAGCTTACATAAAACGAGAGCACATATGATGAAGGCCCTTTAGTTCCTGGAGTTTCTTTAGTTTGGGAGATGCAACAATTTAATCATTTGCCCCGGCCTGCATGGTCAGCGCTGAAGATGCAGAGCTGCCTTCCGCTGAGTTTTTCTGAGAGGCTCTAACAAGAGTGCCAACAACTGCGCCGCCGATCGCGTACACGGCTTGCGTGCAGGTGCAGTTGCTCCTGAGACGCACGAAATTGACACGATGTGCAGCGAGACCTGCGAAAAGTCAGATCGGCGGAGCTTGACACGGCCGGGCGGTGACGTTTGTGGGATAGGTTGTGAAGAAGCCTACGCTGCGAAGACAGGCTGTCACTTGCAAGAATCAATGGACATGTTACATATCCTTGGACACGCAGAGGTGTTCAACAGAAAGTTCTCAAAGGCTTGGGTCAGCCTGTGTCAAGCCTGCAAATATGATGGGGGCCTCAGGGCCCCTTTACTTCCGTTTACTTGGAACCCAAGCAGGTCCCTTTGCCGGCAATCTGGTCTTAGGAGCCTTTTTGTCAGGTCCCAAGTAGGACAGAATTGCCCAGCCATTGCCGGAATATACCAGTGAAGCTGCCGCACCCAAAATTCCAAAATCCCGATAAGGGGCAAAGCAATGGTTGAAGGTTGGGCGTCTTTGCCTGCTTTCCCCCCATGTGTTTCAAATGACCTTCAGGAAACCGCCGCTTCCGCCTATTTGGACCATCCCCCATTAACCCCTCGCGACTGGTCCCACCGCAGCGCGGCTCAGAACACCTGAGACGGAAGGCAGCCATGACCTGCATGTTACAAGATGTCAAGCCTGGTGTCCCTGATTTTCTTGGGGTTCCAAATGACATTTGTTTTCAACTACAACCAGATTCCTGACTGTTCTATCATTTTTGGGGGTTCCCTATAGTAATATATTGCTTTGGACACTTTGGCATGTTGAATCGAGAACTGTAGTATTGCAAGCAGGCCGTGTTGGCTTGCAATGTGCGGTTCGGCCTTGCATGTAGCCGCGCAGGTTCGGTCGCAAACACGCAGGGGCTTACCTCGGTAGGATGGGATTGTGGCAGGACACCTACCGGCCAGGGCCTTGGTTTCGTTGGCGAAGGCAGGAGTTGTTGCACATGTTTCGCCTAAGCTGGATACCAGTACTTTTTTGTCATTTGGATTTGTATGTCCGGATGGCGAGGTGCTTGCAGATGCTTGTCAGTTGGAAGTATGTCCGTGGCATGCTTCTTCTTGGGCCCTTTGAAAGGCGGCCAGAAGTATCACCAGGGTCCAAGCCAAATCGGCTCTGTGTTTGAATCGGCTGGCGGGCTTCTGACTCTGCTAGCGGTGGTTTCCTTGACTTGCCTCTTTGTCACAACACAAGAAGTGGACCCCGGGGATTCCCAGATCCCCACACAAGTCGTTCGTGACCCTCCGGTCAGGTTCCATTGGGAAAAGTCCCTTCATACCTTTGGGTGCAAGATACACCAAAATGGCTTTATTTCCCAGCATATGGAATAGTGTTATGAAGAAACAGGCCGCATCCTTCTCTTTCGGGGTCCGTAAAAGACTGCATCAGCCAGATGCAACGCCAGTTTTACTCAGTGGTTTAGCGGATCCTTGAGGATCCAAATCGACCCTATTTGGATGATGACAATCCTTAGGTAAATGATGGTGGTTATGTGAACCCTCATTGTGAAAATTGTGGTTTGAACCCTAGGGAATTGGGTTCAAAAGTAATTTCTCCACAAGCCCAGCTTTGAAGAATGATTTAAGGCAATAGGTTTCAGCTAAGGCCTCAGCCCTTCCACGTGCTGGGGCCTGGTATCCGAGGCAGGCCAAGACATCTGCCTGATGCCGGCGACCCTGTCCAACTCAACCCCAGCCATGGTTGTGGGATCAAGGGGTTTATCCCCACTTCCGAAATGGGGGGGTTAGTCTTTGGAAAACCCGTTTTGTTGTATCACAGAAGTGGCCACAGCCCTGACCAAGCCCGAACTAGCCCAAGACAACAACCTAATCCAAACCAAACCAGCCAGCACGCCAACAAACATGCTCATCGCTCTGCACTTTTGAAGAATCAGAACGCGTCTCACTTGCAACCAAAGGGCCTAGCAGCAAAGGGTGTGTATCTTTGGGATTGCCGTGATAGCTGTTCAATAACTTGCTGATGCCAAAAGGAAATCAAGCCGTCATCCCTTTTGGCCAGTTGCAGAGTGTCCCACATAATTTTACAATTAGGGTGCCCCACATGTCAGCGGCTTCCACATTTGGTTTAGGGCACCCTCAAAGAACACACACTGCTTTGCTTGGCTTGGCTTGGTCCGTCGGTCGGGCGGCTGGTTGGTTTCTTGCTTGGCTGCTTGGCTGCTTGGTTGCTTGGTTGCTTGGTTGCTTGGTTGCTTGGTTGCTTGGTTGCTTGGTCGCTTGGTCGCTTGGTCGCTTGGTCGCTTGGTTCGCTGGGTTTAGCTGGTTGGCTTGCTGGGTTTGGCTGCTTGGTTGCTTGGTTCGCTGGGTTTAGCTGATTGGCTTGCTGTGTTTGGCTGCTTGGTCTGCTGGGTTTAGCTGGTTTGCTGGGTTTGGTTGCTTGTTTGCCTGACTGCCTGCCTGCTTGCTTGCTTGCTTGGCTGGTGGGTTGGTTGGTTAGTGGGCTGATTGCTTGGTTGCTTGGTTGCTTGGTTTGCTGGTTTTGGCGAATTTGCTAATCAACTAGTTGGCTAGTTGGCTAGTTTATTTTGTTTGGTTTGTTTGTGTGTGTGTGAGTGTGTGTGTGTGTGAGTGTGTGTGTGTGTGTTTGTGTTTGTGTTTGTGATTGTGTTTGTGTTTGTGTTCGTGCTTGTGTTTGTGTTTGTGTTTGTGTTTGCGTTTGCGTTTGTGTTTGTGTTTGTGTTTGTGTTTGCGTGTTTGTGTGTTTGTTTGTTTTTTTGGTGTATGCTTGTGTGTTTGCTTGTTTGTTTGTTTGTTTGTTTGTTTGTTTGTTTGTTTGTTTCTTTGTTTCTTTGTTTCTTTGTTTCTTTGTTTCTTTGTTTGTTTGTTTATTTGTTTATTTGTGCGTTGTGTTGGTTAGGTTTAGTTTGGTTTGGATTGGTTTGGCTTGTTTGTTTGTTTGTAATATGTGTTGCCCTGCGCGTTTGTTTTGTCGCTTCCTTGTGTGTACTCGTTGCTGTTTTGCTTGCTTCTTGTTCAGCTGATCCGGTTTTCTTTGTGTGCTTGCTCCCCTGTGTTGGTTATGTGTTTGTTAGTTTCTGGGTGTGTGTTGTCTCTTGGTTTATTGAGTTGTGTCTTTTTTTATTCTTCTTTTTCTGGTGTTTTTGTGTGTGTGTGTGTTCTTTGTTTGGTTGTTTGTTTCCAGGTATGGTTTCAGCGTGCGCCGGTGTGCGCCTGATCCGATCCGGTCTTGGCATTTTCCAACGGATAGGTCAATGCTTTCAATGTGTTTCGACGACTTGCGTGGTACTACTCGTAGTTCCCAGCTATTTACTAGCTACTACTTCTTCTTTGCTGGTGCAAGAACTGGTACTAATCCGAGTCCTAGTTTGCAGACAAACAAAGCCACTAGTGCAAGTAGTGTTCGGCCTCGTGAAGACAATGTTGGTGCTGCATTTCGTCTCGGAAGCGAAGCTACCATCAAGCATTAGGTGTGCCGCCCACGGATTCACGCATATCAATTGTGAGCAAAGGTGTCCCTCCTTCCCACGGTCACTGGGCAAGAAAGTGGGTCAGCTGTCGTGGGTTGAGCCAGACGGACTGGGCATGTGTTGTTTGCGTTCATTCTGCCAGATCACCTTGGAGTTAAACAAGCCACCCCCTGATGGTGGGGAAATATGACTTGTTTTTTGTGTAGATGCCATTGTGACATAAACAGAAATTAGGTCATGTTGGACGCAGCTCGATTTGTCATGCTAACGGTTGACCCAGGCTTGCGTTCTTGGTCCGCCCTTAATCCTTCTAATCTTGGCAAAACACCACCTCCCCCCACCCTTAATCCAGCACCTCAACTCTTGGCAAAGGGCTCAGTTCGGCCAAGGCAATTGCGAAAAGGAAGCACGCGGGGCAACACCGGAAGAAAATGAAGTGACCAAGCCCCCTGAAGATGAGTGTTGGGTTACCCCGCCCACCCCCAAACAAAAAAGGAAGCACGCTGCCAGCATTTCGGCTAAAGGCCCTGTGACACTCTAAGAAAATATGCCGTGGCTCCTCCCAGCGCTGCTTTTGGCCACGGCCTTTGCAACGGACTGCGATGGCCGCAGGCGGGCTTTTGGATGAAAGACATGGAGCCGATGGTCCAAATTAGGGCCTGGGCCCCTGTTTATATTTATGTGTTTCATGTTTTGCATATATATATATATATATATTTAGTTATATGTTTTTTGCAGCATACATATATATATATATGTATGCAGAAATATGTATGTATGTGTATATACATACAAAAAGTATCTATCTATACATACATATGTATATATGATGTATTTCGAAATGTTTCCAAACACTTTAGTGACATTGAACATGACGTCTTGGGCCAATCTTTAAATGTTTTTGCCGAGATGATGTTGAAAGCGGGGCATGGACAGCTCGTGCAAAGACAGGGGTATGATTTGAGTGCGCGTTGCCAGACACAAGCGATATACTTTGCTTTGCTGCGTGCTTGGTTTGGACGTATTCACCGTCGTGACGAGCGGGTCTGCCTGCGAATGGGGAGACCCCGTTCTGCGGGCTGGGGCACCAGGAAAGAAACAGGTACTTTCTTCTGTATGGGTCGGTCTCAAAGCGAGACATTGAGGCCCCCGTCTGCATGGCACCAGTTCCCAATTTTGGAAGCCATTTCACATGAATTGGTGCAGTTGAAAGGTGTCTTGTGAAAATGCCTGGATTTGCCTGCTGCCCCTTTCTGACCCTTTCCGGATACATTTGGGCCAGTCAAAGTGTCACTTTAGCTGACTTCAAGGATCCCGCGGGGAAGTAGGTGGTTTGCGCAGGGATCTTGTCAACATTCCTGCTTGAAGGCTGCCTTTGTTTTGTGGTAAAGGGGTAAAAGGTACACCCTGACGTAGATCGGCATCAACCATGAGTGGCTGTTCCCTCAAATGCCAACAGCGAGCACACAGGTAGCTCTTCAAATTGGGAGCCTTCCAGGGTTGGTGGATTTACCCGATTTTCGCTGAACCTTTTTTTGAGGCACGTGCCTCTCACTCACTTCTTGAGTTCATGAACTTGAAACTTTTTGGGTTTGGACCTTTTTTAGCGGGTGAGCAAACAGTTTGGTTACTTTTCTTGCGCCATCCACTCAGCCAGTGGTAGCCGCGCATGTCCGTGGCGTCGAAACCGGTGGCCTGCCAGGTGCCCGGTGACCGCGGGCCAGTCCTGGCTGCAGCTCAAGGGCGCGGTGCAGAAGTTGAGAGCGCCGGCGCCGGGCTTCTTCGCGGCGCCTTCGATCCGGGCGGGCGGTTGTTCGGAGGGGAAAGCGGGGGAAGCACCCGCGGGAATACGGGGGGGGGGGGGGAACCCGCGGGAAACTTTGAGAAACACCCGGGTAGGGTGGGTAGGTGAATTGAAAACTGAGGGAAAACCAAGGGAAAACGCCGAGCTGAGTCGTTTCACTCTCAGTCGATTCCAAAGTTCCTTTTCCTGAAGGGAGAAAGAGAAGCTTCCCCTATTCTACACGGGATTAGGGGACCCTGGAATTCCAGATTCCAAAGGGGGAAAAACCTTGCCCTATCGGGATTGGGGGACCCTGGCATTCCATTCATGTTTGCATGTTCCCTTTCAGAAGGAGGACTAGAAATCTGGCATTGCGGCTTCGCCCTGAAGGCAGGGCGGATCTGAGAACTGTTCCCAAGGGTTTCCTACAAGAGGTTTGGTCATCCCGAGGTGCCTCCCTGCCGAAAACATGCTGATCTTTGCTTGAAAGCCCAGTTTGGGTAAGGGGGTGAAACACCTCCCAAATTAGACTGGTTGGGTTTGTGATTCCATTCAGAACCGAGCCAAGTGCGGAAACTCCCTGTAAATTGGCAACATGTGATGTCTAAAACACTCAGGGGAGGAACACATCTAGGAGTTGGTTGCACATCTGATTCAAACCCCACCCGTTGTTTTTCCTGCAAGGGAAGGTGACTCGAAAAAGAGGCGGAGATATTCTCAGACCAATGTTTCATAGGTAGCCGGTTTCCCTTTCTTCTGGTTGGGTTCCCCACTACAATGGCCAGCCTCCAGAAAAGGGTTCCCCTTTTTCTACCAGGATCACTGAGCAGGCATGGCTGGACCAGTGCCCCTGTACAACAATCTCAGGGATCAAACGAAAGACAGACACCTGGGGGGGGGGGGGGGGCGTTTGCTGCCTTCCAGGCACCACCCAGGCACCGGAGCTGAGCCGAGGTGCAGGGTGGCAGCGGCATCTCCTGCCGTGGGGCGCATGCCAAGGATGAGGCCTTCAGCCACTTTGTGGAGAGCCAGCAGAAGACTTTGGACGATTGCCACGTGGCGGGAGGTGGAGCCCGGGTAGGAGGAGGGGGGGAGAGGGGGGGGAGGGGGAACTATTCACTGCAATCAGGTTTGTTGGCTTTTTTGGAGGAAGGTACTATCATTTTAGTTTAAAAAAAATGCCTCTCCCCTGTCCACTTTCATGATCGTCAGAGTGAAGGAGTGAAGAATTTGGTAAACAGGAGTTGCGATTGTTTTGGCCGCGTCTCTGTTTGGCAACGTTACAAGGGACCGGCATTTGTTCTGGTACGATGTTTTGAAGGGCCCCAGTAGGTTCGTAGTTTCCTGCCGAGGGGTCAAAGGATAAGCCCCCCTTGGGGAAGACAATGAAGTGGATATCTTGACTGCTGTTGGGTTGGATCTTTAGAATTTAACTTTTTGGGAAATAAAGGCGTTTTCCACTAAACCTCAAGAAGTTAAACTTTTCGCAGGGGGTCGTTGCAGCAACCAAGATGTGGTTTTGGATATATCATCCGGCTAAGGTTGCCGCTGCCTATGAAATACATGGGGTAAATGCTGTTTCCAGCGGCCATTTCCCGCAGCCGTGGAACCCGAGTTTACCAACGTGGCCTTTGGAAGATGGCACCCGGGGTCAAAGGACAGGCCCTGCAGGGCACATCTCCCCCGCTCCGACCCCCAGAAGTCAAAAGCAGAGGAACACGGCGCTAACGTGATATCCCAACCTCAGCCTAAGCCCTTGCGGTGATTCCAAAACCCAACCGAACCACCAGAAGAGGCCCAGTAGTTTGAGCGGGAGAAGGCAAAGTTATTTGCAGTCATACCTGGCTCTATGCGGTTGGCTCGCTTGCAATGTGTTGGGGGACCAACCCTAGCCAACTATATGCGTATTGCAAGGGGAACGCTGGAAATCCCATGTTTTGCCGAGACAAATACTCGACCCCCATATTCCATTTGAGTGGCAGCGTAGCCGACACACCCCAAATAGAAGCTTCAGCGATTTTCAGGACCAACAGAAGCCACAAGTGAACTTTTGCGCGCAGCCTTCTGATTGATTGGCTTCGATTGCTCGAGGCGAATTATCATCAGCATGTTAGGGATTGTCACACATTCTATTTGACATGAGCTATGGCTCACAGCCAAGAATCGCCGCGGCGTAGTTTGTTCCACGTATGCAATGTATCCTAAACTGGCTCACTCCCGACTTGTTTTTCGATGCGGAATATCCTTTGTTTGCATTGCTTTAGGGAAATGGATGGCCGCTGACCAAAACAACGCGCACACCTCTCAGCGAGTTTGCTCTCTTTTCCAGTTGTCACCAAACATATCGCGGTTTCTGATGCTCGGAAAGAACTCTTGTGCGGTGCAAACCCTTTCCCGAATGTAGCGCACGTTTGTGCTCTGTTTAAAGGCCCCAGGGTCTGGCGCGTTTGTCACTGAGGAATCACCCGCCATATGCCATGTCTTCACCGAGGTAAGCAGCGGTGCATGAGCTCCCACATCTGCAAGGCGGTTTTGCTGCTTTCAACGGCCTGTTGTGATACAAAGGCTACAATTCCCACAATCCCTGCTTCTTGTTTTTAAAACGCACGGGCCTATGATAGAATAGGGGAAAAACCAAACATGTTGTGCTCCTTTTGATTGATCAAAACGGTACCCTCAAAACATGAGACCTTATTCCCTTGGGATTTGACCATAATTCCTGATGGTAATTATCATATTGTGTTGTTTCCCAAGGCAAGCCAATGACGCGACACGTGTTTCACCTCCTTGAACACAGAAAGCCGCACTTGAACAGGGACGAATCGCGCGTGCCCGGGGGGGTGCAACAATTTCAAGGAGGTGGTGCAAACGACCCTCCCCTCCGATAGGGAGGTCCTTTTATCTTCCATGTCCATGCGGGGTACAAAGACAAATCGCGAGTTAGGTGCCCAATCTTGGCATCTTATACCACGAAGGTTTCAAAGAGCAATTGTCGTTCATGGTTCTCACAGGTCCCTCGCAAATCACATCATCCCAAAAAACAGCTTCCTCTAAACATGGCCTTTTTTAAGGATTCCAATCTGTAGAACTTCATCTCGCACCCAAAAGCATTGAACAAGCAACTCTACACCCCCCCTCCGGTGCCCGTGGGCAGGGCATCGACTTCCACGGCACCACCTGCCGCGTGTGGACCCAAAACATCCAGGCGAGCCTGCAAGCGGAGGGCCACACCTGCCTGCGCTTCCTGGCAGACACCGCGCCTCGGGCTGCTGAGTTGGGCGGCAGCTGCTGGAATACGTCGTTTTTGGTTGGGTACCCCTTTGGATGGCGTTCCGTTGAAGCTATATATCTAAGCTCAGACAGGCAAACATTTTCGCTGGTTTTATCCGTGGTGGACGGCTTCTGAGCATGGTCGGTAGATCTCCTTATGAACATCAGCCTCTGATGCTGGTTCCCCTTTTTGCCACTTGGATCCCTACGACCGTGTTCCGAACATGGAATGTAGGGTTGATGCCAGGTGAGATGCGATGACTCCTTGCCAGCATGGTAAACACACTGGACATTGACCTGGTTCCTTCCAACTGACGGATCCAAACGCTTCGCCTTTGTCTTTCCAAGGGCCAACTGTGCGGGCAGAGTCCAAAAAAAGGAGATTGGGTCGCTGAATTCCAAACCACGCCCACTCAATGTGAACAGCATGATGCTAGAATTAGGGTTTCTATTGATTTCAGGCCAGGGTTCCTTGTTGTTTCCGTTTGCTGTAGAATGCGGGGTTTAGGTCCACTTTCTGTGATACCAAGGGAATCTCCAGCCACTGGCGCAAGTCCGCCAAGTGGAGTCAAGCCTACGTGGAGAATAGCCTGGAGCGCCGATCCGCACCAGTTGTGGATGAATCCCTATGCAAACTGGTTGAGAAACCATAAATCCCACCATTCACCCCCATGAACCCTTGTTTTTTGTCTGAATTAACTCAACCACTTCCCGAGTTCCTGGACTTGACATTTGTTTGGAACTTTAGTGGAAAACAAGAAGTGTGGTTACCTTTTTGGGCCCATCAACTCAGTCAGTGAGACATGCACCACTGGTGGGTCATATTTGTAGGGGTCATTCCTGCATTCTCGACTGAGCACCAGCAAGTTTCTTCTGAATCAAAACCACCACTGGTTGGTGAAAGCAATATCCGCCCTACTGGTGCAAATCGATCGATCCGAGGCGATGCTGGAGTTTCTGGAGCTGGGAAACGCGTGCAGGGGCGCGCACAAAGGCGACAAGGACCGTGTTCGATCTCGTTTGGACCGTGTTCGATCTCGTTTGGTGCTGCCTTGGCAAAACGTGGGGACGCCAGTCACCGGACGCTGAAAGTATACACTCCCTGATTTCATGGACTTTAATTTTTGTGGAAAGACTATTTTAGAGGTAACTAAACTTACTAAACAGTTCGGACTTTGTTTGGTCAGCCGACTCAGGAAGTGAGAGAGGAGATAACAGGAACAAGCATTTTGTTTGAGACCTGGGACATGGCGATATAAGTGGTTGTTGCCGGCATGAGTGGTGCTCACGAGTCGAGCCGCAAGACTTCCAACGCTGGAGGCTTGTTGGGTCAGCAGGTTGCAAACATCAAGTACTTCATACTCGTGATGAATAACCTTAGTATAGTCCCGCACTTATTATCAAGGGGGGTCTCGTTTTAGTGGAGAATCCTTGCTTCCCGGGGGCCTCCCCTGACCACTGCAAGAGATAGGCAACCAGAAATGGCACTGAGCGGTGGGTGGTGGCCCTGCTGAATTTGTACCAAAAGGGGGCCAAAGGTGCTTGGGGCAAATCCTATTTAGTCATCAACCGCGCACTCAAGGGGTGCTGTCCCCAGGCGGGTAGGCGGTGGGGCTTGAATGCTCGGCAGAGTTGAAAGGGAACTACCCCCATTCGTCTTATGAGTGATCCTGCCAGAGGCATCGCAAGGGGTCCTACTGTTGATGGGCACAAAAACCTTCTCCAGTTGGAATGGGTTTCCACCCAACTGTTCAGACCACTTGCCCGGTGCGATTCCATCGGCCTGGATCTAGACGGGATGGTTCAGTTCAAGGTGATTCAGCGCTGCCAAGTCAGCCCCCTCATCACCCCTGCGCTGGGCGATTCATTCCCTGCCTCTCTCGAAGGCTTAAGCCAGGACCCGGCCTACTTCACCTCCACCACCGCCAGCGACCTCGAGGAGTGCAAGTCCATGTGCGTGGCGGACCTCGCCTGCCAGGACTGGGACTTTGGGCCTTTGGGCCTGTGGGGGTTGGGGGGGGGTTCTTTGGGTGGTTCTTTGGGGCTATGGGGGGGGTGTGTTTTTTTTTTTTGTTTGGTGAATGTCTTGAAGCTCCTGGGGCTCGGGGCTCGAGACATTGGAAACCTTGTCACTTGGCTCCCAGCTGACGCTTTGCCTACATGCTGTTGGCATGTTGAGTGCACCTTATAAGCTCTTGGACTGCGCTGCAAAAGATGCCCGTATGTGAGGCTACGTTTCTTGAGGAGCCGCTTTCCACTTCCATCTCGAGGTCGTTGGACAAACCCGCTTCAACGGACCCAGGACGCCTATGTTCGGCTTTGGACATCAGACCCCTCTTGAAATTTGCATCCATATCTCAGGGGTCCCTTCAAATGGGGCAGTTTCAACAGAAACCGCCAGGAAATGAATCAACTTGAAGGGAAATCCTGTGACCCCTGTAATTGTTTCAGCACCTTAGCCCTTTGAACGGAGGTCCGCGCAAGTCACCGGCCCAGCAGTTGCCCCCCCATCTATGGCCAGGGGGTGTCCTACACGCAGAGCGGCGTCTGCGAAATTTGGACGCGCCAGGAAGGCGAGAGCGAGCCGTGTGGGAAGTGTCTGAACTCAGGAAAGACCATGGCCCTGACCCTGAAAAACCGAGCAGCCAACTAAGGAAATATTTCAATAGTTGAGACTTGCAACCAGAATGTGCAACATGCATCTCAGTGTCAATCAATCATAGTAGCTGTGAATTGGAACATGAACTATTTAGGACGTGAGGTTTGATCACAGACGTGGTACAAATTTCTAGACTAGTACTTGACTTTGGATTTGTGAAATGCTGTTTAATGAGAAACACACATCTTGTTGTTGAATTGACCAGGCCTGATTCAATTAGGAAGTCTGTTCCGTTTTTGATCGCCAACGTAAACATATGATTGACACCTTGCCGAACAGGTTGCTGAATTGTGGGCTTTCTTGCTTCAACTATATTCAAGTGTTATGAAACAAGTGAAAGACCCTGCAGTTGTGTCTTTGGTTTGATTGACACATCATCCAACACAGGAAGCCAATGGGGCACATCTAAGACAGCTTGTAAATTCCTACGGGGTGGTCCCTTGCAATTCCAAGTGGAGGTCCCCGGAAGAACTGTCCAGTTCTGGCACCTGTTATGTCTGATAAACCTTGGATCTGCTATGGCTGCCTTGCCGTTTTTGATGCAGCGTTCCCTCCAACATCAACCTGAACAGAACCGTGCTTCCTTGCGGTGGCCCATGGCGGCTGTGTAAAGTTCGATGTTGAAGTTGGAATGCAGATACTTGGCATGGCCTCGAAGGAACGTTATTCACTTTCAACTGCATACCACAGTGGTTGAGGCCACTTCCCGCGGTACCAAGAAGGCCTCCTCAAAGTGCCAAAGCAGCCATCGGTCATCAGCCACGAAACGGTATCAGGTCAAGGAGCAGCCATTTTTCACGCCCATGCTGGAGCTTCGTATAAACAAATCCCTAGTTTCACCTCTTGGTGAATTTCTACAACCAGGCACAGCTCCATTTTGCCTCTCACTGGGATGTGTTTATTCTTGAGGTGAATTTCCAATCACCCTTTTTGGGGCTGATTGTCGGGACCCCACTCACATCCAACCCCAAACCACTCAATGAGGGATATCCAGCAGCTCAGCTGTCCAACTCCGACCTTTTGACCTTTTGGTTTTCCGGTGTTGGTCCCTTTTTACTAGGTCCCCCAGAAGTGCCCTTTCTCACCAACTGTTTTTTGGGGGAGGGTTTCCCTACTAAAATGGACTACCGAAAAAAAAAAAAAAAAAAAAAAAAAAAAAAAAAAAAAAAAAAAAAAAAAAAAAAAAAAAAAAAAAAAAAAAAAAAAAAAAAAAAAAAAACCAATCGGGTATCCTTATTCTAACCTCTCTACTGGAGGACCTAGTATCTAAGAGTTTTTGTATTACACCCTGGGAATACGCCCACTGGGTATTGACCGCATTTCGGCACATGTCCGAATAAAACATCGTGTTATTTTGATCCATTCTGGGTTATTTTGGTTGAAGGGTGTAATTTTAGGGTGCAATGCAAAACCTCTCAGATAGTATAATACCGAACAAAATCAAGTACCCTTATTCTAAGCTCTCTGGAGGAGCTAGATTTTTCGTGACCCCAAAAGCTTCAGCTTTTCCCGGGTCCTTCGGGCCGAGAGTTCCCCCGAGCCGAGCTCCGGAGGCATCCAGGCGACCGCCGAGGAGGCGGAGTCCGTTTGTCTGCAGAAACCGGGGCCAAGCCCCAGCCCCAGCCCCAGCCCCAGCCCGAGCCCGGGCCCGGGCTGGGAGAAGCATGAAGGAGCCTCGGCAAGTACGTGGAGTTTTTTGAGTTTCGGGACTTATGCGTTCTGGATACATGTGCATGTATATATATATATATATATATATATCTCTTTCTCTCTCTTGTGTGGGATCCTTGTTGTGGGAAACAACAAGTCAGGACTCGTGGGCCAATCTGCGGATGTGAGTCTTGGGTCCATTCGACGGTGGCCTTCTAACTGCTTTCCGGTTAGCCGGAGGGATGGTACCAGAAAAATGGGGGGATGGAGTTAGGATACATGGGTGTGTCGTTTTGTAATGTTCCTTATGTTGTTTCCTTGCATTTGTTGCTACATTTTGCCGAGCTCCAAGCAGCGTTTTGTTTTTGCCTCTTTGCCTTTTCGGGGTGAATTCACGCTAGGAGGGGTCATGTTCAAGGCACACTCAGTGAATGTGGCACACGTTGTTCCTAAACGACGGTGGGTTCTGTGTAAAGTGCACCTTAGCATTGCTTCACAGTTTTTTGTTTTGTTTTGTTTTTTTTTACTTGTTTTCCTGGCTTCGCTCAGTTCCCCTGCACCTTTCAAGGCGCCCTGCTCACGGCCGATGCCCAGGATTGAACTGCTACTTGCACCATGGCGCCGAGGGCATCAAAGACAAAGATCCCCTGGGGGAGAAGAAGACATTGGAGCAGTGCCAGCAAGAGTGCCTCCAAGAGAAGGAGTCTCGGCTGATTTACATCCTTTGCTTAGCTGGTGTCAAATCCAAACACGTTGTGTGTTTTCTTAGCGTCCTTCCTTGATGTGCAGCTGGCTTTCCCACCAAACACAATCATCACAACTGTGAACCAATTGGAGGCTTCGAAGCGTTTGGCGGACAAGGATACCTAGTCCAAGAAAGGGGCCTATTTCCTGCAAGGCTCCTCTAGAACTGATGAATTCTGGGGTGCCGTGTCAATCTTAGAGCCAGGACAGGGTGCCCTCTTACGCCTTTGCCCCTGCGAGTGAGCAACTAAGGACTGCACCGCCATTGCCACCTCGCAGAAGAGAACGTGATTGTGCGTGTGTGTGTGTGTGTGTGTGTCGATTTACGTCGGCCGCAAGCGATTGGACTTGCTTTTGTTGGGTTTGTTTGGTTTGTATAGTCATTGTTTGTGTGTGATTCACATTATCTTGCTTGTTTGGTGTGTTTTGGTTGTTTGGCTTGCCTGGTTATGTTTGTGGGTTGCGGTTGGTTTGGTTTGCTTGGTTCTTTGGCGAAGCGATGTGGTTTGAGCTCTTTACGACGATTTTGGTTGTTTCCGTGGTTTGTTCGGTGCGGCTGTTGCTTATTTTTGTATTGGTTGGTGTCGATTGGGCTTGTTAATGTCTTTGTGAACGAGGCTGTTCGTTTGTTTTGTTGTTATCTTGTTTGGTTTGTTTGGATGGTTTGCTTGTGCGTGAGTTGTTGTTGTTTATTGTTGTCTTTTGTTGTGCGTTGTTGTGTATTTATCTGGCTGGTTGGCTGGCCGCCTGTCTGTCCCTTTGTTAGCCTGTCGGTATGTTAGTCTGTCGGTCTGTCTGTGTGTTTGTTCGTCTCTCGGTCTGTCGATCTGGTTGTTTGTCTGTTTGTTTGTTTTGTTGGTTTGTTGGTTGTTTAGCTGGTAGTTCACTTGATTGCTTTGATAGTAGCAACCTTTGCTTGTTTGTTTGTTTGTTTGTTTGTTTGTCCGCTTTCTTGCATTTCTGCTTCTGATTCTGCTTCTGCTCTGCCTGCTTTGCTTTGCTCGCTTGCTTCGTTCCCTCGCTGGCTGGCTCGCTTGCTTTTCCCTTGTTCTCGTTTCTTGTTAGCTTGTTTGCTTGGCGATTTTTATTTTTTGTTCGAAGAGTGATGCGAGCTGACCTTCACGCAATGACCTTCACGCAAGACCGAAGCCAAAACCTCAGCAGGACGACAGCTGTTGACAAACCAGGGCTTGAGAAATCCCACGTTCCTGCCCTGCTTAGGCGCAGGATCCCTGCTTGTCAGGAGATTCCTGACAGGCCCTCCTAACTTTTTTTTTTTTTTTTTGGGGGGGGGGGTTCACAGCCACGGAACAATTAGGTTTAGCTTTTCACCCCACCAATTCAAGAGTTCAAGATAGCGGGTGCCACCCCCCCCCAACAGCAACCTTGACTGCTATTGGGTTGGATCTTTAGACTTTAACTGTTGGGAAATACAGGTGTTTTCCACTAAACCCGCAACAAGTTAAACTTTTTGCAGGGGGGTCAACAGTAACCAAGCAACGAAGCAAACAAAATGGAGCCGTGCTTCCCTGGGTCCAAGCTGAGGTAATGCCCAATGGCCACTCGCCACCGGCCACCTGCTGGCTGCGGAAGAATGTGGACAAGTCCCGGTGCTCCACAGGCGCGCGCTCAACCCGCCCACGGCCCTCCCTGCTCAGCCGAGTTCATACGGACTTGGGACTCTGGACCATTTTCTTGGTACAGGATACAAGTTCTATTGGGAAACAGAAAAGGTTGGGCGCCTTCTTGGGCCAGTCCGCTCAAGTGAGTCCTAGGCTCTACTCATTTTCAGGCCGGTGGTGTAGTGGCGAAAGAAACACCACGATAAAATGGGAGGCGCCCTTTTTTTTGAATGTACCCGAATTAATCGGAAGGAGCCCAGGGAGGTTCATTTAGCGATCTGAATATAGGGTGTTGTCGTCCATGCTAACCTGATGGATGGGAATTTCGGGAATGAGGATCTCTGAGTTTGTGGGTTGCTCAGCGGGGACGAACCTCTCTTGCTGGTGTCACTTGGTCGCCGTTGTCCATGTTTATTGATTTGAGCCTACTCGTACAAGGGGCTTGCAGATGTACCCTGGTTTACTCAGCCAAAACCATGACGTTGGGACTTGCCATTGGCTGCCAATTACTAGTTAAAACGCCACCCTCACCCGCTTTTCAGCTCTTTAAATGTTTTTTGGTATGTTTCATACATATATATATATATAGCCCAGCCTGGTAACCTTGGGCAGCAAGTCATGCCGTTTGTCAGGTGTGTCCCGCCATTTTAGAGTTTTCTCCCCCCCTGGACTTAGTAAATGGTTTTGCGTTGACCATTCAATCGGCAAACAACAAGTTCAGACTTTTGCTGGCCAATTCTACTCAACCATGAAGTGGCCAATAAGTTCAGATTTTTCCTGCCTAATCCACTCAGTAAGTTAGTTTTGTGTGGGGGAAACAAAGGGGGGTTTTGGGTCAGTTGGGATCCGCAGGCAGCCCCTACAGCTTGTGGGTCCGGCCCGGGGCTTCCATCGAGTCGACGGATGGCACCGTCATCGAAACGGAGACCTGCTGCGCCAACTACAAGGTGCCCGCGCGATTCCACCGCCCGCTTGTACACATGTCCGACTCACTCGCACATCGTGCCACTCCCTAACCCCCTGGTAGACACCGCAAGCCCTTAACCCCTTGCTTCGACCGCTTGGCTCCGGCTTTTTCCCCCCTTACGTCTTCTTCTTTGTTTGCAGCTGCTGTTCATCAACCAAAGTGCAACTATCTCAATGGCCTCAGCCCCCTGAGTGCCCTTGCCATGGTTGTTGGGAAACATTTTACATCTTTGCTTATTGTGGTTTAGTAATTTAGTGGTGGAAATCCAACCACTTCAGTGCTAAAAACTATTTTTGTTGCTCCCCTTTTAACGTCAACCAAGTTGCTAGGGTCTCACAGAAATGGAGTGGGTTGATTGCCTGGGCGATCTTTTTTGGTTTTATATGTTTAGTGCTAAGCACGAAGTTCGGACTTCCAATCCACCCAAGGCACACGGCCGGAGCAACCGGCTTCCAACTCCCAGCCCGGGTTTTGGAGCAGGCCTTGACCAGCCAACTGCCATTTGTTCAAGCAAGTTCCTTTGGGCGTGAATGGTTTCAATCCTGCTGCTGGTTGGACACTTTCTTCCCCATCAATTGTCCAGCCAACAGTCATACTCGTATGAGAGCCTTTTCCTTTGGCGGGGTACCGGTGCCCATGTTGGTACCTTGCGAAACGTTCATGTCTTCTGAAAACTTGTGCTGAGATGGTCCAGGGGTTGGCTATGTGGATAGCAACCTCCAGTGAACCCCCACTTCACTTCCTCGGTTCATGGACTTGAAACCTTTTGCGAAGACCCTTGGAGGGGAAAGCAACAGTTTTGACTTGTTCTGGCTAATCCACTCAAGAAGTGAGCCAATTATTACAGAAAAAGGGGTACCCTTATTCAATGCTCTCTACTGGAGGCCTTAAAACTATGTAGCTAAACCGGGCAATCCAAGTGCCCGCTTTTTCGCCCCGAGGACTGGCCCAATGTGGATCGCGTGACCTGCGAGGGATGCACCGAACCTCACCTGAGACGATGGATTTGTTGGTATCAGGAGCGGTCGGTCAGAACGACAAAGTGCTAATACCACATCAATTTTGCCCGGGTTTTGCCTAAAGGCAACCAAAAAGGGATAGACCATACTTGCGATTTTTCCAGAAAGCTGGACCCTGCCAGGTTCAGGCTTCTTGTGAAGCCGGCAATTTGGGTGCCCAGATGCAAGAGGTAGCCCCAAACCCAGGACTGGCTAAGACCCCTTTCGCTGGAGCATGAGACACGAGCGCAGATGGCCTGAACATACCGCCCGCCAACTCCCATGTGGTTTGCCAAAAATGGACAGCTCCCAACGGTCCCAACGGTCCCAACGGGTCGATGGTCGCTGAACCAAACCGCGCCGAGGCCCTGGTGTTGACGGAGCCCTACGGAGGCCGCTGCGACAAGTACTGCGAGAGCTTTGGCCACGAGTGCTTCATGGCCGCGGAGGAGGTGAACGAAAACTGCGCCGTAAAGCTGCTTGGCCCTAAAGCTTTCAACCTGTGGTGACCAAAACGGGGTGGAACTCGCTTGAGGGACTTGTAAAGGGAGACTAGCAGGTTGAAACTACAAGTAGCCTACTTCATACCGAATAAATTTCCCTTTTTGCTCCTTGCAAATAACCTACCGGAGTTTCCTCTATATGTAGGGTGATGTTCGGGGGAAATTACAGGTAACCCTGGACCAGAAACAGCCAGGGGCCAGAGTCAAATCACGGAACTCTGCGACTCCGCGCGGGAGGAGGGGGGTGCCCAGTCTGGTGCTGGAAGCACATGCGACGAATGAGGCCATGGGAAAACCACGAAAGCCTTGCTCCAACTCATGGTTGATTATTTCAACGCGCCTCCACGTTTCCTTCATTTTCCTTCATGTTTCGACTGGCCACCACAATATGGACCAGAGGTACACCCAAGAGCGCTGCGACCAGCCCATCTTGGGCACCTCCGACATGTTGTGCGGGTGCCGCATGAAACACGCGGTGGACGAGCCCAAGTGCGACTGGCCCCGCCCAACGCCCTCGCCACCAGTTCCACCAGAGACGCCCACACCTTCGCCAGACAAAAGGACCGCGTGGGTCAGCCCCCACAAAGACACCCTGGTCGGGTGCTCAAGTCAGGAGGGAATCCTCACCTGAGTGCCTTCAAGCCACTTTCTTTTCGCAGGGGTGATAAGTTTAGGCCAGAGACCAGAGGGTGGGGCAGCCACCACTGCGCAGCGCAACAACGTGAGCCACGCGACATACATGCCTTTGCACTGGAGTTCTTGGCTTGCGTTTTTTCATACAGCATAAGGGATATGCATGGGGCATGGGCCAACAGTCCCAACCAGAAATTGGTGCAAATGTTTGCTTCCCCGGCTCGTGGACGCTCGACTTTTTTGGGAAGACTGCGAAGCCAGCCATTTTAGTTTCAACCAACAAGTTGGGAGTGTTTTTGACCACTCCACTGCACGCGGGGACTGCGTTGCCACTGTTCTTCTTTGCCACGGGTTTAGGGCAGACCCCTTCAACACTCGGGTTTTGATTATGACTCCCTTGAAATTCCACACACCGTTCTAGTCTGTGTGTCCTGAAGGCCTAGGTTGACCAGCTCCGGCTCGGAATGATGTGTCCATGGGCACATGATTTTTGGAGGTAAGCGTGCTCAACGTCAGAAAGCTTTTTGTTGCCTTTTGTTGTTTTCTTTGCGGGGCAGGGGGGGGGTTGGGCGAAATCAGTCAAAGATTTCACAAGCATAACCCCTGCAAACCGAAGCAAGGAGTTATTAGCAGCCGAGGGGTACGAAAGCCCCAAACCGGAATGAGGGTTGTGGGAGTGTGCTTGTTGCCGACACTTCTGTGATAAGGAATCCGTTCTTCCAAAGATTTGGCCATGGTGAAGGCCGCCGTCCCGGCGGCACGGAAGTCAGCGATCTGGAGCGTGGAGTGGCACTGTGGGGATTTGGTGTGTTTGCACACAACTTGATTCTTGTTGGGTTGGATCTTTAGACTCTATTTTTTTGGGGAAATCAAGGGTTTTTCGTTGACCCCACAAGAAGTTAAACCTGTTGAACTCTTTGCAGAGTGGTCAACAGCTACCACGAACATGTGCCTTCTCAGTTTCAGCCCACCCCTCTCTATCCCACCCAACTCTCACGTTCCATTGCCCCTTGCAAGTGTGGCATTTCTCGCCGTTTAGATGTTTCGCCGATATCACCTCATCATTCATGTTAGACCTCCCCGGGTTCCATGTGCCACCTACTTATGGGAAACGGGAAGGTCTGACATGAAGGTCTAAAATGCCATTGTACTCATTGTAGGCCTTTGCTTCGCTCAACCCTGCAGGGTCACCAAGTTTAGACCCTTTGTAGCCAAGGGTGGGGCATCCCGCCCGACTCATCCACTCCCTTCCCATGGCATTCGATGTCATTTTATGAGTAGCAAACCGCAACTCAATCCAGAAAACCACTCCTTGGCTGATCCCACATAATCCATGCAAGATGTTCCTTAACATTTGACCCATTTGTTTAGTAAATCTAGATCTATTCCCTACATGGCCTGTGTGTGGGGATGTAAAAAAAACCAAAGCGACGCGCGCGCGAAGTTTTCCCAACAACGTCGCCTGCTCCTGGCACCCCAGCGAGCCGCAGGATCCAGGTGCTGGGTCGACAGCTGCTGGTGAACGGCGCCCCGCTGCACCTGAAAGGCGTGGCTTGGAACCCGGTGCCCAAGGGCGGGCGCCACCCGGCGGACCTGGACTTCGCATCCTTCGTGGAGCGCCTCGGGAGAGACGTGCAGAGACGTGGAGGGGTTTTGTCCCTACGTTTGAAGGGGAAAGGGAAAAAGAGGTTGGTTGGCGTTCCACTGGGGCAAGCATGACTGGTTTTATTCGTGGTGAAGTCATATTATGTTCTAGTGACACCCTGGGCAAGTGGAAGATGAAGCAGCCACCACACATATATATTATTCACGTATGTGTACATAGCGAGAGATAGATTCTCGCTGAGCTTTTCGCAGGCGGTCCACAGGATCCTTCTTGCGGGCTCCCGGCAGAAGTTGTGGGTTGAAGTTGGCGGCTTCTTTTCTGGGGACTCCCTCATTTTGCGTTGGTGAAGTATTGCAAATCTATGCATGATGGCTATTAGGCAAAGCGTGGGGCACATGCTTTCAACTAGCGCCGCGCTTCAATCGCAACCTCACATGAGCAACGAACGGACCATTTGCCGATACGGCTCAATTTTGCAGAATGCGGGATATCAGTTTCGAGTGGTCCCCTACTCGGATGAAAGTAGATGGCACGGTCACCGTTGTTGGAAAGTGACCCGGGGGGTTGTCGGTTTCTTGTGGTGTCCGCTCTAAGTTTCTGGTGGTGAGAAATGGATGTCTCCTTTCGCGAGCCCCAGAAGGGAAATCAGATCAATGGGTACCATGCTGCCAAATTGGGACCTTGTCACCCCCGCACGGGATTGAAAGAAAGCGTGGTGGACTCAACAAGCAAGGGCCGAGCAGTTGAGATTTGCAGTTTCGTCACTGCCTCAGTTTGGGCTTATGAGGTTTGGGACCCAACTCACCAGACGGCAACAAGCCAAGAACAACCCATTCGAATCCAGGCGGACCCCGCTTTTAGTTGGAGGCTTCCTTTTGGCCCAAAGCGAATCGACTCTTGACGTATTTCAATTTGGTCCATATGTTTGGTTGTGACCCCTGTTTACGCAAGTCTTTCCAGGCTGTTTGGGCAGTCTTTATGGCAAGCTGATGCTGACTTGACTAAGGTCTCAACGTACTGAAGGTTCCTGTCACAGCGGCTTCTTCGTGTTTGCGATTGCCTAGATATAAAAAAAAATGCCCATTTACACCCAAGATTGCGTTTGATTTCACCATTTACTCTGGCTTCACCATTGGCGTTCGCTTTGGGAAAGTTCCTTTTTGGTTCACCGACCAAGCTTGTTTTCCAGCCCTTCTGTTTTTAACTCTCAAGCCCTGTTTTGGAACCCTCTACGGGAACCCCTCGGGAAATTCGCCGGAGGGCTGGCCAGCCCTTTTATCAGGAAAGACGCGGAGCTGATGCAAAGCATGGGCATCAACGCTGTGCGAACCTACGAGCCGATTACCGAAACCTGGGCAGATTTATTCATAGACAGGTGTCCCTGGGTTTAGTTTAGAGGGAGATCAGATCACTTTTGGAGAGGGGCGCATTATGATGGACGTACCTGGACCCTCAAAATTCCCTTAAAAATGGGTTTGACCCCCAAAATTATGGGGTGATATCCCATTTTTATGGGTAGTTTGAGGGTCCAGGTATAGATATTCTTCCCCCGCAGTTGTGCAGCGGATTCCACCCTCTACTTCCATTTGTTGAAAAGAATGTGTTTTGTTGCCCTCTGGTGGTTTCAAAGGGAGTTTATGGGGGCTTAAGCAAATGGAAGTCTTCCGGCCCCTTTTCTTTGGTGGCTTCCTTACTAAAGTGCTCAACCCAAACAAAGGTTCCACTCTTTTGGCCAGGAGCACTGAGCAACTGGGTTAAGGTAAAGCCTGGGCGGCCAACTGCCAACTTCTTCACTTGTGAGAGCATCTAAGCGAAACGCGGAAGCAACAACTCGTATTTCTGGTGCGTTTGGCTGGAACACTTTTAAACATATTCGCACTAATTGAAATGTTTCTCAAACTTATAAATTTCAACATTCTGGGTTCAATGCTACGAATTTACAATTTCTAAAACATATGCTCCCAAACTACAATTTTTACTAATTAGTTTGTAAAGTTTGTTAAATTTCGAAATACCAGGCCAGAAGCTGGGAGATGGGAAAAGGATGATCTTTCTCAACCAAGCAAGCACAGGTTGGAACCCATTCACCCTTGATGCTACTTGTTTCCCCTGGGCTTTGCCCCCAGGCGTTTGGAAGGACGAAACGTCGACATTTTGTGTTCGGGTTGGCCAGTTCCAACCCCAGAGGGCTCCGTTCTAAGTTGGGTGAAAGGGAAACAAACTACAGAGCCAGCCCATAAATCTAGTGCTATGCCCTTAAGGGTGCAACAATACGTAAACACCACCCTTGGTCACTGGGTCATACTGTTGGTGGACGAAATCGTTTCGCACCACTTGGAAACCATGGGCAACCATTGTTGGTTGGCATTTACAAGGGAATCATCATGCCAGGGATTCTTAGGTGGTGCAGGATTTGGTCCACCCACAGTATGACTCAGTGACCAGGGTGGTTTTTACGTACTGTTGCACCCTGTGCTAAGGGCATAGCACTAGATTTGACGGGTTGCCTCCATGAGGTCGGCCATGCGGGATTCCCTTGGCTCCATTCGGCTGAAACCTTTGTGGATTTGTGTTGCGCCAGGCCCCTTCTGGTCCAACAGTGGGTTGATTTGAATCGCTGTAGCCGGCCGTTTTGCAGGGCATGGCAACACTCAGTCACCAACTATTCCTGTGGACCAAAAAACAGCTGCAGAATAGACGGATTATTTTTTGGGCGGACGGTCGTTGCATTCTTCCGAGCTGAGAACTGGGTGTCAAATAGCACAACATGCCAAGGACAGAAAGGTGCTGGACACTCTTTGGAGCAGAGGAATTTGGGTGGTGAACAGCGTCTACAACTGGGGAGGAGCAAATGCAGAAATCGCCGCGAGTGCTGTGAACCAGGTGAAAGACCACCCGGCCATTCTCATGTGGAGCGTCTCGCTCAGCAACCAACTCTCCAGGCTTGCCCCTCTTTTAAAAAAGCCTGATACTGTGGATGGAAGAAATCCATTTCGGACCACGACGCAGTATGACCTGGCTGCGGTCTTATTGGGAAACAGGGGGAGGGGATTTCGCGACTTTGATCCACTGTAGATGGCGATGAGTTTGGCCGCTTGCAACTGCAAACGGGCGAAGTGAGGCATTGGCAACGAGTGGAACTACAACGGGCTGTACGTGGGCAGCAGCTTTTTTGACTCCGTTGGTAAGATTCGGGACGTGGCTCGAGTTATCCGGCGGCACGACACCAGCCACCCGATTGCGTCGATTTTTGGTGACGTCCAAAAGCTTGATCAAGCGGCGGATTCTTTGCCAGAAATCGACGTGTGGGGCATCAACGCGTATCGCGGGATCAGCTTTGGCGACCTCTTCCAGTCCTTTGACAAGGCAACTGACAAGCCCATGTTCTTTGGAGAGTGGCTGGTCAGCAGAAAGACCCGATGCCTTCCCCTGTCGTCTACCATCATAGGTGAGTAAACCCTCCCCCAGCAACCTCCCCCCCGTCCAAATGCAAACAACTCAGTAAGACTTACCGAGTGTTGTTGAGCACTTCTGAGTGCTACTGAGCCCAGCAAGGATTTGGCATTTGGGACCTCAGACCTTTGACAAACACAGCTTTTTCCAATTTTGCATTGCAAAGGGTTGGATTTGTTTGCACTGTGATATCAAGCTTGCCGGGGGCTGGAAGCGTTGTTGCGCGCTTGCTCAGCCTGCGACCGCCCATGTGCTGTTCTTGAGTGGGCGATTGAGTGTTCCTGACTGCCACTGAGTGCCTACAGTGTTTGCTGTTTTGGGTTGTTATTGAGTGTCACTGAGTTCTTGCTGAGTGCTGCAAGTGTCTTTTGAGTGTTACTGAATGCTTACTAAATACTAACAAGTGCTTGCTGACTGCTACTGGGTGCTTTTGAGTGCTACTCGGCCTACATCCGCTGATGTTCCATTGACTGGCGTCATTGCGCAGCGCAGTGGCAGCCCGCTAAGCAAACAACGGTAAACGTCGGAAGCATTACGGTTCCAAGTTCTCAGCAAGTCTCAGAAGCACTCAGGTTACTTTTTGATCAGTAAGCATGCCCTACTGAGAGTTTCTGAGTCTTACTAACACTCGAAACAAAATGAATCATTGACCACTACTAACCCTTGCTGAGGTCTACTGAGCGCCTGTGCTAGGCCCCACTAAGCCGTACTAAGCCCAAAAATCAACATGGCAGTGTTCCTTCATTTTGGGACCCGAAGCCTCTCAAAACCATGTTTGGGGGCGGGGGGTTACACCGGGCGGCGGTGGGAGTTGCATCGCGCACAAACAGAGGAGCACCCTTTCTTCACAGGATGCTATGCCCACCCCCCCAAAGCTCCAAAGCTCCACCAAGTCCTGAGCTTCGGAACATTTCTGGATGATTTAACGCAAGACCAGAAGGATTTGGGTTACGCCGGGCGGTGGGGGGAGTTGCGTACGCGTACAAACAGAGGGGCACCCTGGGGGATCAAATCAAGATCAGAAGGAACACATTCCCATTTTGGGGGTTAAAGGCTCAAGCAGAGGTATGGCGCAGATGCCTTCAATGCCCACATCGCCGCGGAAGACCAGGAGCTGCTGCAAAGTGTGATAAGGTTAGTGACAAGCTTGGTGACCAGGTGGGTAATAAGGCTGGTGACAAGCTTGGTGACAAGCTTGGTGATAAGGTTGGTGACAAGCTTGGTGAGAAGCTGGGTGATAGGGGTGCCCTCAAATTAGACAGGGATTGCAAATGCCCGCCCCTCCTTGAGGTCCAACTCCTTGAGATTCTTTTCCCTTCCCACCCCCAATCGTGCAGGGGGAATTACATTGTCTTACATGAAACCGACCAGGTCACGTTAAAAGAAGCATATATTAGTTGAGAATACCCCTGTGAGTGTGGTTTCTCTTTTGGAAACCCAATGGTCACGTCGACCTCAAAACATCCAAAGGATCCACCCAAAGCTAGCCAAGTTGAGGGGTCTTGCGGGAGAGGGAGCTGCAGAAAATGAAGCCATGGCTACCTTGTCATTCTGCAGGAAGCTTTGAAGCTTTTGGCCGAGCGTCAATAGGCGACGTGCCGAAACCTGGGACACCTGCAGGAACTCGTATATTTCGAGTAGCTTCTTTGTGGGGTCACAGCAACGCCCTGGAAGTTAGGATGGACTCCTATGCGGCTAGGTGATTTTCCTGCTGAACATGGTTGAAGAAGGGATCCTTACATTATACACCTGAACATTGTCTTGTAAATGGTGGTTTCCCTTTGTTTTGGTGGAAATAGCCATGTTTCAAATGGGCAGAATGTATCTTTTAAGGAGCCACGTTGAAACCCCACCCGAAGCGCCGCCAACCCCATTTAGGAACCCCATTTAGGATTTATCCAGAAGAAGAGCTAAATCTTATACAGGGCTCCTGAAAAGATCACCATTTACAAGGCAATGTTCAGGTGTCTTTCATGTAAGGATCCCTGTTTCAACTATGTTCAGCAGGCAAATCCCTAGCATAGGAGTCCATCCGGGTTTTTGATGGTTTCCTGAAGAGGTTCGGATCCCTGGAAAGAATGGAAATGGAAGGTACCCCTAGATAACTCTTATACCATGTCGGCCCTCGAGCAGTTCGACCGGTGAATGCCTTCGCGAGGAGTCCCAGGCGAAGGCAACGACTCAACTCACGGAGGAGTTGCTGGCGCAGAGCTCCGTGCTGGGACTGGGCTCCTGCATCGGGGGCTTCTTGGACTCGGGGAACGGGTTGTGTGCCATTCGAGTTTTTGTTGAGGACACCCGTTTTCAGATGTTGTTGTTGTATTTTTCTTCGGGGGGTGGGTTTGAAGTGAAACCACAAGGGTCTTGGGTTCCGCCTGTCCGTTTGCCCAGCTATTCGTTCAGATCCGCGCAAGTAGTGAGGTCATTTGTCCAAGAGAAGTCGCTAGTGACGTATGGGCTTTGCCATTGTTGCATGGCGGTAAGAATGTACAAAGGCCCTCACAATGTGTGAAGACACTGCTGAGTTTCAGGTATGTCTACAGGAGCTGAGAACAAAGTCTTGTTTCATCGGCGTTTGAGCAAGGCGGGGTACCAGTGTTTGTTGCTGTAGGGTGGCGGGCGATGCTTTGCGAAGTAAATTGGCGCTCATCCAGGACTCAATCGTGTGAAGGTCAAACAGCACAGGCATGTGTAAAAGCTCATAGTTTCGACATGCAGCTGCTGTAAGGTGATGTTGCCATTCCAGTGAGCAGTGATTGAACTTGCTCGTGTGATTTGTAGGGATCCATGGGTTGTTCTTTCAGGATCTGGCTGGAGCTTGCTTGGACGTGGCCCCCATTGGCAAAGCCTTCTCATGGCCGTGACATGTCGGCACGCGGCTCGGGACCTGGTTCCATTTCGGGGATCCCTCTGACGAGCGAGCTTTCGGGCTGCGCTTGGCCGGACGTGAGGCTTTATTTTCGAGTTCGCAGACGAGTGGCACAAGGACGGGGAGTTCGGGCCGCAATGCTCGACACAGACGGCTCTAACAAGCTTTTTCCGACTTTAAGTGGGCAATGCCAGCTGCCGTCCCCTTGCCAGATTGACCGGTTTGCCTTATTGCCTTTCGGGGTTTGCATCAGATCAGAGATCCCTTTAACATGGTCCCTAGATTTGGGCCACCTTTTTCAAGCTGATTTCGAGTATCCCCTTGTTTTACGCAGAGAAAGGTTCGATCCGAGCCCTTCGATGAGAAGCCTTCGATCCGATCCTTTCCAACGAGGTTGCCTTGGGTTTTGTCCCTACTATCCTTATTCTACCGTAAGCCTGCAGAGGTAGCGTGGAGGTGTCAGATCCTCATGGGCCTTCAAATCCCAAGATTCTTTGGACCAATTCGGGAATGAAGGGAAGGAGTCGATCCCTGTGCCATCTAACTGGCGGTTTTCATTCGGATCCCCAGATGCAACTCGTTAGGACAATGACGGCAGCCCGGACAGCCATGACAACCACGGCACAGCTCCGGGCGGAGGCCCTTACCCGGACATGACCTTCAATGAGGACACCAAACCCGGCAGCGGCTTTATCCCACACCAGGGGGTGCGTTTCCTGCCTGGTTGATTGTGAGTTGTTTTTTGTTTTTTTTTCCGGGCGGGGTGGGTGTTTTTTTTTTGTTGTTATTCTTTCAGCAAGGCCTGTAGAACACGATCCATAACCACCTTGGTCGAACCAAAAGCCAATTGAGCAGCGTTCAAATCCACATCAAAGATGTTAGCAAAGTGACCCGCCTGAATGCTGCGCGGCGGCAGCGCAAGCTCGAAGCCTTCGAGTGTTATGAGTCATATAGTTATGAGCAAGTCACTTGGCAGCCTATGTCTAGCTGAAGACATTGGATTTGGGCATTGAGTGGCCCAATGACAGACCTTACGCAGCATATGATTTATGCTGTACTTTGTTTTCCTGTGTGGGCTGATGCCCTCGTTTTTAGTTTTGGGGCACAGAAGCTGCTCTGGAGTCGAGCCTCGCAGGAGTGGTGGGGCCTGGTCAGCATTGATCGAGAGCGCCGGCTTGCAGTGGACGCGTACGCCAAGACCGCGTTGCCCAAGGCTGGGGCCATCCCCACGCTAAAAACGGAAGTAGGGGAGGCCTGGAGGTGTTTCCCTCTCAGTTGCTCTTAGTTTCTCCTGATTCGGGGTTCACTCTTCATACATTCTGTTAATCTTGGTGGCACTTTGGATGCTAGGAAATGGAATCAGGGCATGGAATGCTAGTGATATGGAATTGGGGACCCGTTCCCTCTTAAAGTAGGGGGGATGCTGGGACGATGCTTTGCCAAGCGAAGCTCCCAGTGCCCACACACACACACACACGCACAGACAGACACACAGACACACAGACACACAGACACACAGACACACAGACACACAGACACATAGACACAGGCACACAGAGGCACACAGGCAAACAGACACACAGACACAGTCACACACACACACACAGACACCCACACACACACACACCCACACACACACACACACCTTTCTGAGCAGACCTGAAACAAGAATGAGTCTCCAATCGAAGAAAGGTCTCATAAAGGGTTTCCCAGACTTCAACTCTCATGGGGATGCACCCTTCAGATCCCAAGCAGGGAGACATTTGGGGAGCAAGCCGTGACAAGAATTTATTCACTAAGCACAAGCAGGGAGACAAGCGGAGAGATATGTGGGGAGACAGTGGGGGGCACTTCCGCATCACATTTAGGGATGACGTAGCTCCCTCCTGATTCGGGGTTCACTCTTCGTACATTCTCTTGGTGGCACTTTGGATGCTAGGAAGGTTTGTGCCAATGAGCATTAGATGGCTGCCTTGCCAGGAACCAACAAACGAAAGATCAAATTGGACGTTTCCCAAGCACCGCCCATTCCTCGAGGAAATGGATAGGCATGGAGTCCCATTCCTCGAGGAAATGGATATGGAGGACTTTACTTTGTCCAAGGTCAGACGTTGTTGGTACACCCCCAAATGAGTTGTCAGGATGTTCTCTCGGAGGAAGGGATCCTCACTACAAAGCTTCCCTAGGATTAGCTCCCCGTTTTATGTCTTTGCTTTTTTGGGGTCCCCTTTGTTTTCCACTAACCAGGCGAAAATATGTTGTTTTTTGCCGGGGTCCTAGTTCCAAGAAGGGACCCATGATCGGAGTCATTAACTCTACTGCTATTGGGTTGGATCTTTGGACTTTAACTTTTTGGATTCCCCTCATATTTTCTTTTAACCACCAAACAAATAAGCTTTTTGCAGGGGATCTACAGCACCCAAGTCAATGAGCATCATCTCAGCATCACGTAGCCGTTCGCGTCAGGCGAGCTTGGTGCAGAAGCTGACCAGCTAGATTCTGAATGAAAGTGCAGCAATAGCTTCCGAGACGACCCATGCCCCACAGCCAACAGTGACCTGGCCATGGGTCAAAATCCAAATCGTACCCCCAGTGAACATCTCAATCCAACCACTAAAATAGGTTCTAAAATGGGTGGTGCATTACCCCAAAATAGTGCCATCGGTTTTGACCCACAGCCATCAGTGACCTGACGTGTTTTCCAGTTGAACATAGTCAGGCCATAGTGCCTTGAGGGTCGTCACCTGACGTTTTGCAAGCTTTGCTGTGCTGCCTGGCAGCCTGACGGTTGCACTTTAGGTCAATAGAGCTTGTGCGCAGGCTTAACCTGCGGCAAAGTTTTGAGATAGCCGAGCTCGTGGCTTTCATGTTTGCCCTCAGCTATCGGATGAGAGCGGTGAGGAGGTGCGCATGTGGTCCACTTCAGCAGGCACGGACGTGCACAGCTGCACCGTGTCCACGTCATATTTTCCGAAAGTGGTTTGAGCACCAAGCCATGTTTGCTTTGCAATATGCTGGATCCTTTTCACACAAAACGACACTTTTCACGCCACGGAGATGCACTCCAATCCCATCTCATATCCTAGTGAGGCCAGGGGCAACCAAGCTTGCCTGGACAGAAAAGTGCCGAGCAAAAGAGCCCCCACTTTTGACGTAAGGCATCCCAAGAGCCATTCCGTAGGTTGGGGTAAGGAAAGCTGAGTTCTGGATTATGGACTTTTTGGCAAGGCCACTTTAGTCGTAAACAACAAGTGTGGATGCTTTTTTTCGCCAACCCACTCTGGAGGTTAGTGAACCGCATGTGAACATATCCCTGCTGAATAGGTGGCCCAGGACGCTCGCTCGGGTCGCATATAGATGCATTTATGTATGCATATAAGTATAATATATATATATATATGTATACTATATGGGATATAAGTATACTTTTTCACAATGCCTAGTTTCCACTTGCATTTTGTGCTAGTTTGTGTTTGCCACTTTGAACTATAGGCCTGAGTGTATGAGCACAGTGGTCAAAGACGAGGCGTATACCTTAGGTGCTTACCCCGGCAACTACCAAGCACAACTTAGTGTAAAGCATGTAAAGCCAACAATCAGCGGCAATTTGTTTGAACGCTAAGTTCGTGGGTGCAAATTAGATTTCGACCGGGTTCCCTGACGTTTGTGCCAACATCACGTTTCGACCGGGCTTTGAACACTACCAGTCACTGGCACTAAGCGCGAAGGAAAACGCGCAAATAGGTGTCCTTTTAGGGGAAATAGATGGCTGAAGCCACCAGGTAAACCAGGAATCGCCATCTATTTTTCAATCAAAGCAACGAAGAAGGACACCTATGCCCATATTGGGTGTAAGGCCTTCATATTTAGGGTCTTGGGCTCTGGATCTAGGGCCCACGATCGCCGGGATCGCCAGTCAATACACGACAGAGCCGCATGGGGTTCTTTGTTGATCCCATGAAGGGAACTTGGGCTTTTCCTGGGCTTGGTTTCCTTCTCGGAACTCTGGCCCGTTGTTGGCTGGGATTCGCCGGATGCGCCTTGGCTGTTATCCAGTAGCAGGACGTTAAATGTGACGCTGACGAAGTGGCTTTTATCTTTGGTGAAGTCCGCCTTTCCCTCGGGTCCCATTCGACGGGAATTTGTAGATGCGTCAAGTCATTGGACTTCAGAGCTCGTTGCCACTGGCCCTCAAAGGACACCTGAGCTGTTTACGGCTCAATTCGTCTTGTCAACCAGCTGGAAGCTGTCGGACAAACAAATCAGCATCTGACAGGCCACCGGATGCCACAGTCGTCCTTTCTGGTTTTGGTCGGGTTCCTCCTGAGGTCCTTAAAGCATGGCAAATGGGGAGAGAGAGCTTTTGTTTGCTTCTATTTGCCTTGCTTGGTGTTGCTCCTTGATGTTGCCAAATGCAAGTCAAAAGGAAAGCGTCCCTGGTTCAGAGGTTTTCGCCAAAGCATTTGAGAGAGAGAGAGGTGTGGGATTTCACGGTAAGAACAACACATGGTCTGCTGGAACAATTGGGGGACATGCCTCCCTAAAATGATAGGTGTTTGGGGTTCCGTGCTCTTCTTTTGGGAGGTATTTGCACAGGATCCTTTTAAAGGATACACTGGCTCCAGTACAAAAAAAGCTCTTACCAGCTACGGGCGTTTAAGATTCCATGCCCATTTGGGGGGAGGGGCGCCAGCTGGTTGCGCCGCCTGCTGCCGCATCATAGGCTTCGGGGACGTGTGGCGTCAAAGTCGGGCGGCTACAGCCATGGCCGATTTTGAAAGAAGTGCTGAGTATGTACTTGTCGAAATCTCGGATTTTCACAAGTCCTCATTGGGTCGTTGTCAAGCGTTTTCTTGGATTTGCACACAACCATCGCAAAGATCAACTTGTTGGAGCCTGTTCCTCAAGATCGGTCAGCGTCGAATTCGAACGAATCTGCAAGGCCAAAGAGACATAGCTCCGAATCGCCTTGAGGCTTCAACCTGATTGGGCTTTGTCTGAAGCCGGCTGAATTCAGTGCTTGAGAAAAACTCGGGCCATGCATCGCAAGTGACAAGCTCGTCGCCGCTCCCCGGCTCCCCGCTTGCCACAGGGTTGCTCCCCCAGAGCAAAAGAAAGCCAAGGGGCGTGGCCGGCTTTGTGCTGTTCGTTGGTTTGTAACACCAAAAGTACACGCCCTTCTTTTGGCGACGTCGAAAAGAAAAACACGGGCTTCACACATGTTCCTGGGGGGCAGTAGTGATCTGGGTCCCCCCGCGCTCGGGTTGGGGTTGCCCATCTGCTTCCATGAAATTGATTACTAGACGTTGTTCAGCAATCTCATGTCTCATGCCTGACCAGATGCGGCTGTCGGGATGTTTCATTTGCATTACAAAAGGATTCCTTTCCCCCTTGGATTTGCAACCAGGTGTGGCTAGTGCTTCAGTGGGGAACGGGTGCTTGTCAAGTAGAAGGGCTGGACGTACGCCCAGGGAGGCTAGTGCTTCTTTTGCAGCCTCCAAAGGCCGAGGCTCCTCAGCCGACTTTACGGTCTGAAACTTTGCGCAAAAGGTGCCGATCTGTGCTGCCGCGGGCAGGGCACAAGCCAGCAAGTCTTGGAAAACATGTGGCTTGTGGTTGATTTTGGTGGGGTCTAAAGCAGGTAAGCACGATGCCAAGCTGACACACACACACACACACACCAAAGCTCAGACCAGTTGGGGGGGGGTTCTAATTTGACCACTCCGTTGAGCTAAAGCCGCATGCAATTAACAGCCCTCATGGGAGAAGCATCCGCATCCCATTGCGGTTTTAGGTGAGAGCCTGAGACCTGCAAAGATAGCTACGTAAATGCAAGCAATCGCGACTACGTCTGGATTTTGTCAGCACCCTGGTCTATAAAGAGCTCACTTAACATGTGACATGCCTCCAATTTCCCAAGGGGTACGCAGGTTAAACCGCTCAAATCCCAGCCTCTGATCCCCGAAGCTGGCGGGGAGTTCGCGCCAATGGGTCCCTTTCACCAGGGTCAAACTTCTTTGAGCCAAGTGTAGGATGCGTTTGGCGCCGAGTTCAAAGAGACAAGACAGTTATGCACAGACGCAGCACTTTTTGCTTCAGTGTCCGACCTCAAAAGTTTGGTTTGGGGTAATGAGCAAGGGTGAGTAGTACCAAACACACACACACACACACCTCCGTGTTCTGTGTACATGTACGTATATTTTTATATGTATCCCAGCCTGCAGAACCCCCCACCGACCATCGACCCGACCGCTGGACCGCACCGCATCACGGCGAGGCGGGGAGTTCTCGGTGCGCTTCGATGCCGAGCTCTTGGACCTCGTGGCGTGACTCGGCGCTGAGTCGGCAGTCGCTTTGGACGGCTGAGTCGAGGGGGGGGGGGCAGCGACGGGGAGCGTTCGTCCCATTTCTCTCCACTATTCTCACTTCCTCAGTTCATGAACCTTAAACTCTTTGGGAAAACCCTTTTTAGAGGAGAACTTTTTTTGGGCTATCCACTCCGCAAGTGAGCACTATTGGGTGGGATCTTTAGACTTTAACTTTTTGGATTCCCTTCATATGTCCTTTTAACCGGCAACAAGTTAAACGTTTTTGCTGGGGGATCTGCAGAACCCAAGATTCTGCGTTTCATGGTTCGTGTTTTCCCTGTTTTTTTGTTTGCAGGGGAATCCATCACTACTGGATTAAAGGGAATCTGGACAGGTTGGTTATCAAATTGATAAAATGGTTAACATGTTGATCTGGTGCCGGGCTTGTTCAATCAGGTCCTTGTAGGCAACGAAACATTTCGTTTCAAGAACTATTGGCCGCCAATCATTGCTGCAAACTCACGAAATCACTCCCACACTTGTGGTGTGCGACAGTATCATTTCCCGCCTGTGCCCTCAACAGCAAGGGTTTCATTCTTCATAGGACCCTTATTGGTTTGGGTTAGCAGTTAGAAGTGCTGAAGCTGCAAGTTGGGCATGTCGCTGCAAGACATGTGTCCCGCCCAAACGTATTAGGGGGCGCTTTAGACCCCAATGCTAAACCGGCCAAAGGCACATTTACAACCTAGTTGGATCCAACTAGGATCCGTCACAGACCGATACATGATTTCTGCTGCTTAACTTCCTTGCTCGGAATCGCATTTTTGCAAAAGAGGAGGGACCCCGCTTGGGGGGACCCCCCGTACCTCAATGTACCCTACAAACAAATATCATTCCCCAGGCGAAGCATTTCCAGTTCCTTAGGGCAAGTGTGCAACGGCAGACACGTCATAGTCCTTCTCCAGCCAGGTTCCACACGGATGCTATCGTGTTTGAACCCCTCCATGAAACTAGCGGGCATTCCACGGGTTTTGCCCAGGATGATTCAGAACTTCATGAAGTGAGCCTTTTTGGGAGTGGTTTTTCGGGGGGACCGCCCCAACTTTTCGGCCGGCCCAGTCAAAAGGAAAAAGGCCTCCGAAAATGTTGTTCAATGTTGGGGAAAGAGCTGACCCAATTGAAGAGATTTCCAGGCATCCCGGGCCAAGTTTCTACCCTCCCGCCCACTAACATAGAACCTGACTTCTTGGGGTCCTGGAAAACTGCCATCCTTTGAAAGGGGGTTCCATGTACAGGAGGGTGCCAAATTTGCGGTGGATTCTGCGGAAACCCATTTGTTTTGCTTAGGATCACTGAATCGAACCATTGATCGCTGAATCGAACCATTTCATCCCATTTCGTTCCAAGAACATCTCGTCGATTTTGATTGAACTCTTTGGCGCCTTTTTATGAAAGGGATGATTGTTCAAAATTTCGGGGTCCTGGAAAGACTATACCCTCCTTTTAAAGGAAACGGCTGGTGGGTTCCATGCGCAGGAGGATACCCTCCCACCAGCTAACATGGAAGATCATGGAAGTGCACAGACCGTAGAAAGACGACTTTCTTGGAAGGGCCTTGTTGCCCAAACCCATGTCAGTTGCTGGGAGGGTCAGCCGGATTTTTGGTTTTTTCGCGCGCGCGCGAGGCCAGTGCCGAAGGACCAGTCGGAGTCGGCTACGGAGTTCGAGCTGCCGCTGCTCTTGGCGCAGAGGTGCGCGGTGCGTGTGGCTCCGACGTGCGGGTGCCCTGGGGTTCAAAACCAGCAAAACCAGTGGGAGGGCGTCTGGGTGGCTCCCAGCCATCCGAATCCTGAGCTTTGTAGCCTTCTAGTGTTTAGTGGTGGTTTCCATTTAGCCCACTAAAAGTTATGCTTTTAGCGGGGGATCTGAGGGCAGCCCTGTCATATCAGCACCTTTCAGTTGCCTAAGGATTGTCATCGCCTAAATTGGGTGGACCTTTGTTTTCAGGGGGGTGGATAAGCCTCTCTCTCTCTCTCTCGCGTGGATTGTAACATGGCATTGTCTGTCCCTCGCATGGAGCCCATCGTGGGATGTCCTAGGCCTCAGACGGCCGTCGTCTCGGGTTTCGACGCTTCGACCAACCGCCCGCGCTCGGCTCGGCAGCTCGGCAGGCCTCATGAGGATCCAGCGGTGGAGGCCCGAAGTCGGAGGCGTTTTTTCCATTTCGAGCGGAAAGCTGCAACGAGCTGATTGAAGGTTGGGAAACTGGGGGAGTTTTTTTTTTTGGCGGGGTGTCAAAGTCGGAAACTGGGGGAGCTTTTGGCTGCGGTCATGTTGACTTCTGGGGGTCAAAGTCGGAAACTGGGGGTGTTTGCTTCATTTGAAAGTTCTCCGGGCATGACTTTGACAATGGTCAAATCAAGCTCCTGGTTAATCTGCCAACTGGAGCTCACTCCCTGAGTTCATGGACTTTAACTTTTTGGGAAGACCATTTTGGTGGTAAACAAACAGTTTGGACTTTTTGTGGCCAATCAACTCAGGAAGCGAGTGAGTGTACCAGATTTATATAGCCAACCAAAGGCGCCCAAGGCGCCCAGGCCGCGCTCTGTCAGGTTTGGCCTAAACCCTAGGGGACTACGTGGGTTACCTTCAAACCTCTCGCACACTGGCGGACACTTTCCCTGGGAGAGGCCTCATAAAGCCACGGTACCGGGCCTTCCCAGGGCTGAAGGGTGGTCCACTTGAGGCATCTCGATCGAGTCTACGTCTTCGGCTTCCTGGCACATCGAACGATTTCAGATGTTTGGTTCTAAGCATTAGGTGAAACCAGGTTCCCAAGGCAAACGCACTTGAAACTTGACACATTTACCTGGTCTAGTGCCAGTTTACTATTGGATCTGTTTTCTGCGAAGGCGGTGCCGTTTAACTCAACCACCAACGGCGTCCTGCTTGTTTTTAAATGGGCAAGCGAATGATACAGCGGACTTTTGTTTCGCATTTGCCAACCCCGCCCAGCAAGCCCCAGATTTCCACTCTCAGGTCTACGCAAGTGGCAGCTCTGGGCCACATCCCTAATGTTTTGAAGCTGACCATCGCCGGAGAACAAACAGTAGACCCAATGAACCCAGAACGGCTTCTTCCGACATGGGCTAACGGCTAGGGCATGGCCATGTGTCCAAACACCGGCTAGGCGACAAGGCCCGACCCTTATTAGGGCCTTAGGGAGTACTTTTGGGAATGCCTTTTCTGTGGAAACAATCCCAGATGCAGTTTCTGGTTTCCACATCTTGCCGGTTTCCTGTATCACACCAAGTGGGGCTCCGCAATACCCTCCACAAACCCCTTGGCAGGCCTGGCTGTGCAGGTGCCTGGACACCGGAGCGGCGCCGAGCTCAGCCAAAGCCAGGGCAAATGAAAGGAGCGTGAGGTTTAGTTCTTGTTTGCTTGGTGGTTCCCAGCCATCCGGTTCCTTAGCTTTTTAGCCTTTCAGTGTTTAGTGGCAGTTTCCATTTAAGCCACTAAAAGTCAATCTTTTAGCGGGGGATCTGAGGACAGCCCAGTTTGGTCGGCAAGCAGAAGACATCGGTTCGAATGTTGCCGCCCCCAATACCGTACTATCCGCGCAGAGGCTTATCCCCACTGCAAACCAATCAACCTGAACCTGAAATGAGTCACAATCAAAACCCGAGTAGATGAAGGTTAGTAAGGGAGAATCCCAACCATAAATAGCTGCGGATATCCGCCTTCTTAATTCTTTATGGGTTGACCATTTTACTACCGGGTTTTGATTGTGACTCAAATGGGACCCCTGGAGAAGCCCGCGGCTGACCCAAAATAAGCCTCGCAGGCTGAAAGGCTGAGCAAACCTTGGATTTCCAAGTCCTCTGAGCCTATCGGCCTATCAGTCGACGGGGTGTCCAATTTTTTTGGCAGGTGCGCCCCACTTGAAGGCGTTTGAAAGAGACCATGCATACAAAAGCACATAGCCTGGGGCCTCCCATCAGATACTTGGCCGTTTAACAAATGACCTTCCTCCACCAGCCGAAATGGACAGAGCTACTTTTGTTGTTGGGCGGGGAGAGCCCCCCCGAAATGGGAATCGGATGGTGTTTTCTTCATGTCTAGGGTTATCTATAAACAGGTTTCTAAGGATTTTGTGCATTACACCCTGGGAATACACCCACTGAGTATTGACCCCATTTAGGCACATTTCCAGACAACACCGTGTTATTTTGAACCATTCTGGGTAATTTCATCCCGGGGTGTAGTACAAAAAACCCTCAAAAGGTTTCAGCATGGGGGCTAGGCATCCCACGCCCTTGGCCAAGCCCTTGGCAGAGGCGTTGACGCTGGAGGCTCTGGATGTCATTTGCGGGCGTTCGTTGCCAGGTCGCCAGGGTGAGAGGGTAGCTGGCACAAGTTTGTTTGTTTATACATATATATATATATATATATAATAATTTTATGTGGGTAAGGGGTTGACCAAACCAAAATGGGGAGAGGGCGCCATGATTCTGAGGAGACTTCTGGAGCCTTTGTTTGTTTCCGACCAAACCTGCATGCGTCGCAGTGCCAACAGTGAGAAGGTCACACTAGGCCATGGCAACCCTTGAAGAGGGAAACTCCGAAGTTGTTTGTCCAAGATCTTTTCTGACACAGAAAGGGCAGCTATGAGGGCCCCTGTTGCTGTTTTTGAGACAGAGCTATTTTGTGTTGATTGGTTTCTGACAAGGGTGGACCCCGGAAATCGCCAGTGACAGCAGGCTTGGCCTCTCGACCCGAGAGGCGCGGTGCCTGGTGAAGCTGCAGAAGGCGGTCGAGGAGCAACCGGAGGCGGGGGGTGGGTGGGTGGGTGGGTGGGTGGGTGGGTGGGTGGGTGGGTGGGTGGGTGGGTGGGTGGGTGGGTGGGTGGGTGGGTGGGTGGGTGGGTGGGTGGGTGGGTGGGTGGGTGGGTGGGTGGGTGGGTGGGTGGGTGGGTGGGTGGGTGGGTGGGTGGGTGGGTGGGTGGGTGGGTGGGTGGGTAGGTGGGTGGGTGGGTGGTGTGGGTGGGTGGGTGGGTGGGTGGGTGGGTGGGTGGGTGGAGTGGGTGGGTGGGTGGGTAGGTGGGTGGGGGTGGGTGGGTGGGTGGAGTAGGTCAAGGGGGTGGGTGGGTGGGTGGGTGGGTGGGTAGGTGGGTGGGTGGGTGGGTAGGTGGGTGTAGGTGGGTGGGTGGTTTGGGTGGGTGGGTGGTTTGGGTGGGTGGGTGGGTGGGTGGGTGGTGGGTGGGTGGGTGGGTGGGTGGGTGGGTGGTGGGTGGGTGGGTGGGTGGGTGGGTGGTGGGTGGGTGGGTGGGTGGGTAGGTGGGTGGGTGGGTGGGTGGGTGGGTGGGTGGGTGGGTGGGTGGGTGGGTGGGTAGGTGGGTGGGTAGGTGGGTAGGTGGGTGGGTGGGTGGGTGGGTGGGTGGGTGGAGGGTGGGTGGGTGGGTGGGTGGGTGGGTGGGTGGGTGGGTGGGTGGGTGGGTGGGTGGGTGGGTGGGTGGGTGGGTAGGTGGGTGGGTGGGTGGGTGGGTGGTGGGTGGGTGGGTGGGTGGGTGGGTGGGTGGGTGGGTGGGTAGGTGGGTGGGTGGGTAGGTGGGTGGGTGGGTGGGTGGGTGTGGGTGTGTGTGGGTGTGGGTGTGTGTGGGTAGGTGGGGGTGTGGGGGTGGGTGTGGGTGGGGGTGTGGGTGGGGGTGTGGGTGGGGGTGTGGGTGGGGGTGTGGGTGGTGGGGTGGGGTGTGGGTGGGGGTGTGGGTGGATGTGTGGCTGGGATTGTGGGTGGGGGTGTGGGTGGGGGTGTGGGTGGGGGTGTGGGTGGGGGTGTGGGTGGGGGTGTGGGTGGGGGTGTGGGTGGGGGTGTGGGTGGGGGTGTGGGTGTGGGTGTGGGTGTGGGTGGGTGTGGGTGTGGGTGTGGGTGTGGGTGGGTGTGGGTGTGGGTGGGTGTGGGTGTGGGTGTGGGTGTGGGTGTGGGTGTGGGTGTGGGTGTGGGTGGGTGGGTGTGGGTGTGGGTGGGTGGGTGTGGGTGTGGGTGGGTGGGTGTGGGTGGGTGTGGGTGGGTGTGGGTGGGTGTGGCTGGGTGTGGCTGGGTGTGGCTGGGTGTGGCTGGGTGTGGGTGGGTGGGTGGGTGTGGGTGGGTGTGGGTGGGTGTGGCTGGGTGTGGCTGGGTGTGGGTGGGTGGGTGGGTGGGTGTGGGTGGGTGTGGGTGGGTGTGGCTGGGTGGGTGGGTGGGTGTGGCTGGGTGGGTGGGTGGGTGGGTGTGGCTGGGTGGGTGGCTGGGTGGGTGGGTGGGTGGGTGGGTGGGTGGGTGGGTGGGTGGGTGGGTGGGTGGGTGGGTGGGTGTGGGTGGGTGGGTGGGTGGGTGGGTGGGTGGGTGGGTGGGTCGAACAAACACGGCAGGTCAGTAAAAAAAAGCGCATTTTTTCTGGGGTGTTCAAAGGTAATCCTTAATCCTTACCTTGGGTTACGTCAGGGGCCCCCTTTGTGGCGGCTTCCCTATAGGGATTATGGATTAGGATTGGCAACCCTCCATTTTGAACAGCTCAGTTTTTTAGAATAGAGGAACCGCCTCTTCAGAAAACCCCCTTTTGCAGGGGAGCATTGGCACGATCTTTGGGCATAGCTAAGGATTGACTAAAGGGAAATGTCATGTTTGAAGCATCAAACTCAGAAACTCGTTTGTTTGTTGTTGCCTTTTTAGCTACCATTTAGCGGACGGCATTGATACTGGCAAAGCAACAGCATGTGCCAGCAGGTCACACCCTACTGCAAAGAACATATACGGTGCCGATCAAGAAGCTAATCCTCAATATCACTTGTATGTTTGCCAGCAATGCCCGAACAAACACCTCCCCAATGCAACAGCCAAGCCTACGACTTTTATTGTCAACATGTTGTCAACTGGGAAGCTGCCCTGATGATACCAACTCCTACTGTGGGTGGACAAAATCCTGCACCACTTTCAAAACCATAGGAAACCATTGTTCGTTGGTATTTGCAGGGGAGTCATCATTCCAGGGTTTCTTAGATGGTGTAGGATTTCGTCCATCCACAGTATGGAGCACATCATCAGCGTTTTGTCGTTTTGGCTGCCAGTGCCTGAACAAGCCCCGCTTCCCCCCGCCCCCCCCCTCCCCGATTTAGCCATTTAATCTGATTGGCAATTGGCTGCGACTGGCAGCTCTAGGCTGGTGGCAGGATGGCGGCCAAGGCTGACTGATGGTTTCTCTGATCCCTCCGCAGTGGTTGCTACATCACGTCTAGGGTTTTTAAGCGTTGCAAATCGCATTGCCTCCAGTAGCAATTAGATACTGGGAAGGAACGCCTGGATCATGTCCCTTTGCACCAAGAAGCGGGGAAGATTTAGCTCAGCTGCTTTTCCGGATGTGGCTTGTTGCTGGGATATCAGAAGGGCTCCGCGTCCTTTGCGGCCATGGCCTTTTCTTAGCAAGCCGCAGTCACATCGGGGTCGAACAAATGAGTATCTTCTTGTTTGCTGTTTGTGTTTTGTGTGGTGTTGGCATGGCGTTGGCATGTTTGCGCATGGGGTTGTGTGCCAGACCAGGAAGGATGTTGGGATTGCAGACCGGTTGATTTTTTTTCCGGGAAGGGGTGACTGGTCAACAAAGTATGGACCCCCCCGCCGCGCAGGTGTGCCCGGTCTTCCGGAATCTCTTGTCCCGCTTCGAGGCAAGTTGGGCACACTCTTGTTCAGCTGGGTGTCCTCGAACTCAAAAACTTCATACCCCTGCTCTAAACCTCCCAAAGATGATCAATCCCCCGATGGAATGGGTCAAACGGGAGCAGCCCTGTATCCATTCAAGACGTTCCGTCACCGTCGAGTTGCTGGTGTTTCTTTCCCTCAGCCCAGTCGCATCCCGTTTCAAATGACCCAGGCTTGATATGGAGGCCTGAGTACTTACACAGATAATACTCGGATGATCCTGACCTGGTTTCCAAAACCCTAGTCTACGATTTGCGGCACTTGCAGTACGCTTTGTAGGCCGCTTGTTTACAATGACCCGCTTTGTGAGCTACGTGATTCATTCTTTCAGCTGGTTGCAAGGGCGTCGAAGGTTTGGCCATGAGCCCAGTCACTGGATCCTTGTGAAGCATGGGATCGATCCGCCATGGGCTCAGGGGTTCATATGTGGATGTGCCAGCTCAAACTTGGATGTTAAATCCACTACGTCAGCTGACCATAAGTAGGGTTATAACCATGGTTATGGTCTACACCCCACTTCTCCAGTGCCGACCTTTTTACTAGTGTACACATCTTGACTGCTGCTTGGGTTGGATCTATAGACTTTAACTTTTTGGGAAATCAAGGAGTTTCCCACTAAACCCCAAAAAAGTTCACTTTTTGCAGTGGGGCCGTTGTAGCAACCAAGACATGTTGGCATATGCTTGGTCGTGGCCCCCACTGGGCGATCGCCTTGTGCAGACGGCCCTTGCGGGCTGGCTGGAGCAGTGGCCGGAAAAGGAGCCGATGCGAGAGGCGCCAGCTGCTTTTTCGCCAGGGTGTTTGGTATTCTTTCCATTTGGCGGTGGTAGGTGGTCAGTCATGTTTTTCCAGGAGCAGTCAAACATAGCCAACTACTAGTCGCATTCGAAGATGTTTTGGGGTCGCTCTGCTAAATTGGGTTGAGATCACTGAGCTTATACCATACCAGCAAACATATTGTTTGGCTTGCCGGCTTGCCCTTTGCGGCAAAGCGCCGAACTTATCCAAATGGTAAGCCGCCTGCGAACGATTGGTGTCTCTCGTTAAAGTATGTTAAACCCACCACTGAGGTTGTTTCTAGTTTTGATCCATTCCCGTGTCCACCGCTTGGCTCGGAAGAGAATGTGAGGCAGATCTTATGGCGTCCGAGGGCCCTTTTGCCCTTTTTTGGGGGAGGGTTCCCCTAGTAAAATAGACTACGGAAAAACGGTACCCTCACTAACCTCTCTACTGGAGGACCTAGTGTTGCATCTTAGAACTTAGGATCAACTTAAAATTATCTTTTGTGTGTTCCATTGGGAGGGGCCTTTTGGGGACCCACTTAAACTTCCCACTGAAACCAGAGGATCAGTACAGTTGACAAATCTTGGCCAAATCAGGCCTTGACATTGGGGCGTATTGGGGGATCAAAGGCCACAACTTATCCAGGCGATCAATTAGCCAGCGCCTGTCAGCAGGAATTCACCTGGGGGATGTACGTCTTTTAGTTTGTAGTCAGACTTACTCAGACGCAGGGCGGTTTCCTTGGATAGTCGTGCTGACCGAGTCTGGGGCTAGAAGCGCTTCAACCGAAGGTCTCCCCATCTTGCACTCGGAGCTTCGCTCAAGTCGGTCGGACGGCTCCCCGACAGCGCAACGCACCACTTCACGGCCATCGAGCCAGAGCTTTTGTGGCCTGGTGGCTGGGAGATGTCTCATTTAACAAGGACAAGGGGTTCAAACCCCCCAAGCCAGGGCTCAAGCGCCCAAACCAATCCAAACATCAACCAAGGGTAATTAATTGTTTTTTCTCATTTGGTGGGTTTCAGGGCAACATCCATTCGGGGGGGAGGGAGTCCTGGCAATCTTGGCACTTTCGAGGTCCAATCCCTTGAAAATGGGCACGTGCGGACAGTGCGGACCTCTCCAAAAGCCCCAAAACATGGGGCCGGAGTGACCCCAAAGTGAAGAGACCCCGCGGTCCTTTTGGGAGGATCTGGGCACTGGACCGTCCCCATCCTTCCCCATCGGCACACCTCCCCCGGCACCGATCGCTGGATCGCCAGGGCCTCTGTGCCCCGTGGCTCTGCTCCAAGCAAAGCGCCGAAGAGCTGGAGCCATGGGCCCGAAGCTCTCCGTGCCTAAGGGTCGCCTCACTCACTCAAACTCTTTGTCAGGGCTCCTTAAAAGATCTCCATGTTGCCCATCCATTTGAAACACGTGGCTTTTTCAACACCAAAATAAAGTTGGAAACCACCATTTACAAGTTGCAATGTTCAGGTGTTTTTCATGTAAGGATCCCTGTTTGTGGAGGTCCCTTTGTGTGGATCGAGTTCCGTTTCGGACTTTTTTGGCATTTCTTGGGACTTTTGGATACCCATTTTGGGTATACATGACGAACATGAAAAGTCAAAGGACGTTTGTTTTTGGGCAATCTGCTTGATCAGAAGTGAGGACAACTCGCGAAACTCAAGCAGAACTAGAATACACCTCCACTTCGGTCAGATAGATTTGTTAGTTTCTGTGCCGGTTTCTGTGATACCACGGGAACCATTTGTGAAGATCTAAAGTAGCCAGTGAGCATGCGAATCGGCTATTCCCCATGACATCCCATAACCATGCCCCTTTTTTGCCCCCTTATTTCGACATGATTTTCTCAAATATTAAGGTTCAATAGGTATGAGCCAGAATCAAACACATCTGTTTGTTTGGTGGCCTTCGTCTAGTCGCCTCCTCAGTTGCTTGGTGAATTCCACCCCCAAAATCCCTGTTTGTCGCTTGCTTGCGGGGTCGCCCACGTCAAACTGCCTCAAAGCATCAACTCCAAACAAATCCAATTCTTTGTTGCCGAAGCGGGTCACTGGTTTCAACTGGACTTAGTCAACCTTGAGTATGCCCGGCTTTCGGCAGCGTGGCCCTGAAACTGCAGAAACCTGGTAATGGATTTTCTGGTTCCTTGGTGTCAGGAGCCCCGTCAAAGTGCCAAGGCAGGCTGGTATCACCGAATGTCTTTGTTTTCAGCAACCCGTAGGACTGCGCCAATGTTTGTTTGCCAGCCAACCCAGGAAAACTCAACCCATTGACCAGCTAGAGTGGAGTGCACAGGCACCGTAGGCATAGCTTCTCCATTTGCGAATGCCTTCCCCGCTCAGTTGCCACGTGTCCATAGGTTTGGACAGGGCTTCCTCTTGACTTTCTGTTGCCAGCGACCCGTTGAAACTCGCTTCTTCTGTTTCTGGACTTTGCACTTTTAGGGGAAAACAGGTTGGTGGCAAACGACAAGTTGACTCTTTGTACACTTTTATGCATTTTTGGTGCTAAACAAAGTTTACTCTTTGTTCGGCCAATCTACTCAGGAAGTGAGTGAAAGGTTCGACTGCTTCTCTGCCCCGAGGCTGGAGCTGCACAGCGTGCTGGCGCTGGTGGGCGGTTTGAGAGGCCAGGTGCCGTCCTTTCAAATGGACATTTCTGCAGTGTGTCCGTGCAAATATTGGTTGAGTTTGCTTTTGTTAGTTGAGGGGGGCACTGAATTAAGTAAATGAGATGCTTATTTATATATCCCTGTTGGATGAGCCACCCCAAGAACACGTTGAACCCGGGACGTCAGCTCCGCAGGGGAGGCACCCAGATCCCCGAGAGGTCAGCGTGGTCCTCCGCTACTGCCCGACTACAAGGACTACGCCAGCTAATCGGTTGAGGGAGGGTACTGTTGGCGGCTGGA